ATTTACGATGAATCAGACAGTAAATTTGATGATATGATCTCCAAATTGTCAGAAAATGTGATATATGGCATTTTGATTGTAAAAAATGTGAAATGGTAAAATTTCAAAAATATTTGACAAATTTGGGAGGGGAAATTTTGATTTTAGTCAAAATTTTGTGATTTTCAGTGTTTATTTACTTTTCAAAATTAGTGGAAAATATTTTAATGTATGATTTTTACTTTTTCTGCATTATAATTGTTAGACGGGAAGAAAGTATCATAATTTCACTCAATTTTGCCTAAAATTGGTAACAAAAAAACAATGTTGACATTTTCTTCTGCGTAGGTCTACTTAAGTAATATTAAATATGCCATGGTATGGTATGCCGATACTTGAAGGGTGGCTACAAGGCGTTGAAAGTCTAACTTATTTTTATTTTCACCTAATTTGTAATGTTATCAAGATATCAACTGTGATTTGGCACTGTATTATTATTATCGACAAGAGTCATGCCTGATGGGACTAGGGAGTTGATAATGTCATGGGCTTGGCAAGTGAATAAATGTAACGATCTGCATTAAGCAAAATTAGGTTTAGTCTAAGTATAACATAATGCATCTTTATAAATAAAGCTTCATTTATTTACATTTTAATTTTGTTCTATTGTGCTTTTTTCTTCAGAATGATGCTCTGATAGTCTATTGAAAAGTCTAATGCCAAAGTAGAAATTGGTATGTAAATGGTTTTATCCTTTGACAACAATTCTGCTTACGTACTAAAAATAATAAAGTGCCCATTGTTCGTTCCCGGTGTTGACTAAGAAAATTCATCTCGATTTTCCGGCTTGGTTTCATCTTGTCAGTGAGTGGTGCAGAACATAGGGCCTTGCAAGGTCAGCTGCCTAGTCGCTCGGATAGAAAGAATAACCGAGTTCCCTTGCCAGTAGGCCTTAGCGCTGCTGTCTGGGCAAAATGTCATTAGCCCAGTCAGAGCAGTACAGTAGGACGTTATACCTCATTTCATTTCCATAATATTGGGAGCCCCAAAGTCTCAATGAGTAAAGTGTTGGTTCGCTGATTTGAACATCCTGTGTTTGATTCCTGCATTGGCTGGGAAAGTTCATGTGGATTTTCCGTGGTCTAGGACGGAGGGCATGGTAGTATAGCAAAATCAGTCGGATAGCAGAAAAAAACAGGTCCTTGTACACATTGGCATGCACATTTAAAAACGCTTGACTGTAAGAGTAGGCCATAGCACCTCTGTCCAGGCAAAATTTCCCTCGTAGCTCATTGTATGATGTTTGCCTGTTTTTATTAGCTCAATTGGAAATTAAAACCCATTTAAGTTTATTTCATGTTATATAATATTGACAATAACAATCGTTATCATTTTAGGCGTGCAGTCCTGAGAAAAGAAAAGAGGCTTTGGTTTTAACATTGTCAACAATAAGGTTATTTCTTGTTCTTGTAAAACTCTTATTATTCCGCGCCGAACATAGTACGAGGTTTGTCCGCCCAGATTTCATTTACAAAGCATATGTCATAAACCGTTTAAAGTATCTTTCAGACTCGCCTATCGTGGGTTTTTCCGGGTCCTCCTGGTTTCCTTCCACTGCTAAAGACTCCCAATGTGCAAGCAAATTATTGAAATAAAATTGAACCATATGTTAGTCTCGAAATGACCTAGTTTGTGTCCAGTGGATGTGTTTTTATACGCCCACATTTTCATGTGGACGTATATTGTCGTCGCCCCCGTCCGTCCGTCCGTCCACAATTGTTTGTGAACAGTCTACAGGTCACAATATTTATCCGATTTCAATGAAACTTGAAATATAGGTTTATCACCCTAAGATCTCGGTTCCGTTCGATATTGGCATGTATCGGACTGTAACTTCATGGATTATGGCCCCTGATTGTACGAAAAATCACGTTTTTAGCTTGTGAACACTGTAGAGGTCACAATTTTTATCCGATTTAGTTTAAACTTGAAATGTATGATTATAACCCAAAGATCTCGGTTCCTTTCGATGTTCGCGCATATCGGACCGTAACTTCCTGAATTATGGCCCCTGATTGTACGAAAAAATCACTTTCTAGCTTGTTCTCTATCCATCTCTCGAAAATGTGGGCGTATCCTGCCTGGCAGCCGCTGGTTATGAAACTTCATGACATTGTGTTGTAAACTCGCATCTAGAACTGTCTTCAGTTTGTTGATACTGTCTACTATGACTAAATTCATTTATTAAAGACGAATATTTACCATTATTCTTTCAGGCCCTGGGATTCCAATTAGTTAAAATTTATTTGTACAAAACTATTAAAAAGAAGATTCAGGAAAAAATCTGTATTTGCAATACCAGAAGAAGTGTTACATTTACCATATCTCCAGAATTGCAACTTCGTGTTTGTAATCTCGACAATTTATGTGCAACATTTTGTTGAAAGAATCCTTAGTATTTGTTGTGGTGAAAAAAAAAATAAATATTGGATGTCAAGAGGCAAATTGTATGCCATTGGCTGAGAAAGTTCATGTGGATTTTCCGTGGTCTATGGCGGCCTCCATAGAAACTCTTTGTTGATCAGGTATGATTTCCAACAACCTTATTTGACATTGATCGAACCTTGAACTTTGCAACTCGATTGTCACATGTAGACATTTTACCTATAAGCGCGAGACTTGATAATGATTTCCAACAAGCTTATTTGACATTGATCGAACCTTGAACTTTGCAACTCGATTGTCACATGTAGACATTTTACCTATAAGCGCGAGACTTGATAATTTTTAACGAAGGAATCTGATAGGATCACAAGCTGGGCTTTTCCGTGGTCTATGGCGGCCTCCATAGAAACTCTTTGTTGATCAGGTATGATTTCCAACAACCTTATTTGACATTGATCGAACCTTGAACTTTGCAACTCGATTGTCACATGTAGACATTTTACCTATAAGCGCGAGACTTGATAATCGTAACGATATTTTTAACGAAGGAATCTGATAGGATCACAAGCTGGGCTTGTACCCAATCAAAAATAGTGCCAAAATATGCAGGGTATTACGTGAAGGGCTTGATAAGATGTACGTAGTTAAGGTGAGATTAAGCCTTCTATTGAAGATGAGCTACCTGTAGTAAAAAAATAATGTAGGGTCTAATTGAAAGGGTATGTTGGTGTGGGTTTATTCTTTAGTGGAAAAAAACTACGGACATAGTCTGGTCTCCATTACTTATCATAGACATATTGCTCAACCAATGTCAAACAGATCTCCTTGCTCGTCAGACTAGGCGCTCCACCCATAATTTCTGGGTAAACACCCCGCTCACCAACACTTGCAGACGACTGTGACCCCATTAACGATATAAATATTGGGCTTGTGCGTCATACAGCATCAGCAGTCAACGCGCACCTGAAATACTGTTCGATCCCTGCATTGGCCGAGAAAGTTCATCCAGATTTTCTGACGTGGTTTCCCCTTGTCAGTCGTGCAGAACGGAGGGCCTGACAAGGACAGCTGTCTAGTCCTTCGGATGATACGAAAAACCGAGGTCCCGTGTATATATTGGACTGCACGTAAAAGATCCCCTGGCAGTTGGAATTCGATATAAGAGTAGGCGATAGTGCAGAACAGTAGGACGTTAAACCACATTTCATTTTCGTTTTGAAATACTGTTACCAATTCGTGGGCTGAGGATTAACTAGTTCTATGTCCACTTTTTGTTAAATTGAGAAAAATGGGTGTGAAGTTTGGCATCACAGTATTTTGAAATTCTATGAATTTTTACCTAATTTTCACAGTTGTTGAAACTATCAATATAAGAAGCTAGCAGAGTGTGTGGTGTTTCTTGATGCAGTGTGATTCAATTTGGTCAAACTGAAATACGATAAATGGAGATAGGTCTTTGTGGTTTACAAAATGTAATGAATTTGTCAGAAACATATCATAGAACTTTGTGCCCAAGAAGGTCTGGTAGTAAAAGGGGTGTTTTTCATAAATCTCATAACATTCTGATAAATATCACGACTTTTCGGGACGAAAACAATGTTTTTAGCCTAATTTCATGCCAATTTGCGAAAATTCTGAAAGAAAACGGAAGCAAAAAGGGAAAATGAGAGCCAGTGGTAGTCAGAACTAAACGCATGCAGCCTTTGTAGTTAAAAATAACTAATGTCGAAAACTCGCGATCTCGGCGTTTGGCATTCTATTGGAAATAACCTGTGTCGAGAACTCTCGACGTTCGGATCTCGGCGTTTGGCATTCTATTGGAAATAACCTGTGTCGAGAACTCTCGACGTTCGGCACCAAAAAGCAATCCATCTCCATGCACTGTGTGCATTTTAGATGTACAACAAAAAAATAAGTCGTCTTAAGGCAAGACTTCCTTGTCGGACAATATTCTTAGCGCCTACCGATGATCTAAAGAAAACTCCTGTTGTGGGGCTAATCCGAATAAAAATGTTGCTGTGAGGCGGCAATCTATATAACATCATTGGGTCCATAGAAATACTAATATTATTATAAAAATATAAATAGACGGGAACATGCAATCCTTAAAAAATTGTGGTTTGCGCGCTAATATACAGAAAAATCCATCCGGGGGGGGGGGGGTTAATCTGAGCAAAATCACTGCCGTGAGGGATAACCTAAAGACAATCCCGTTGTCGTGGCCGATGAAGAAAATCCTGCTATGACAAAATCTTGTCTAAATAAAAAGAAATCCTGCTGTGGGAGCCAATCTAAAAGACTATAATAAGCTATAAATATGATGTGTAGGTGTGTGTGGGGGGGGGGGAGGGGGGGAGGTATATCTAGAAAAATAAAAACATTATTTAAATATTTATGTGGGGGTGGAGGATTAATGGCGTTATGGGTGAAATTCAGGTTGTCAAAGGTAGCCTGGAATAGCAGGAAACCGGGTTTTAACATTTATGTAGTAGTCGATGTGGTCTTCTTCCAGTTGTTCAAATTGTTTCCCTTGATATTTCCAAGGTGAAGGCTGACAGCTGTCAAGCATTCTGCACTGGTGACTTTGATGCCTGTCACATTTTCGTGACGACGAAAGAGTATTCACCCCAATGGAATGTTGTAGAATACTAGGCCTACAGAAAAAAGAATTCATTCGTTAGATTTTTTCACATGGATATAGATTCGAAATAATTGCCAATAGGTTTGTATTGGATCGGTAGCTTTTTACAGGTGAAATTTCCTATATCTATTCTTATTAACCTAAAATCCTTAAAACAATATTATTCTAAAATGTCACATAGTTCACCACAGCTTTCAATGAACCATCAATTCTGTCTAAATCTTGAATTAGTTATTGAGCAGTTTGCTGAATTATCCATCCATGAAAATCAACATGACACAAGCAGTCCACAACATGATGTTCAGCTTTTGAGAAATCAATGTGCCAAAATTTTAAATAGATCCAAAGATGACTATAAAATCAACTCAACCTCACAGATTGAGTTTAAACATGTGATCCTGGCTAATTGTGAAGAAATAAGGACTATTAAACGAACAATAGTTTTAGATGGCAGCTTTCATGATAATAAACAGCTTCTAGAACCAGGTCAATACCAAATTATTAGACCTAAAATTAACGGTCAACCCATCGATCATTGTTCACTGCTGAATGTTCGAGAAAATGACATGGATGAATATTTTGACCCATTCGGCTATCCACCGCCCAAATGGATAAAAAATTGTCGTTATAATTTTATATGCCTTCAAAATCCATCCCATAAAACCTGTGCAGTTCATTGCATGTGTGTTCTGAAGTTCTGGAATCAAGGACTGACACTGCCACAAATTATTGAGCAATACCATGACCTACAGCCAGATTTAAATACTGACTACTACGATGATGTCGTCATAGATTTTTACTTGAGAGAATTACGATATAAGTTAAATGATTACTGCTAGGTGAAATGGTTTGAAAACTCAGGGTAGGATGTGTAATTTGGTGCAATCTGAGATATATTCGGCACATGCCAAAATTCCTATTAGAGAAGCCTATTACTTCCTTAGTTTACCTGCCATCATCACGTCAATGCTGAAGTCACGGTCAAGATTGCGAAGATTATCTTTATACAAAATATTACTGCCAGTTTGACGGAGATGTTAATTTGGGGAGATCCAAGCAAATGATTTAAAAATTAAATAAAAACAAAATGAAAATACGACAAATATAGATTCTGCTAAATCAAAAGATATCACTCTTAATGGTAGAGTCAATAAAATGAATAGAACATTGGGAAATAAACCCAATAAGATAAATAGAAAATTGGGTAAATAAACCCAATAAAATAAATAGAAAACTGGGAAAAAAGCAAACTGAAAATACGACAAAAATAAGATTCTGCTAAATAAAAAGATATCACTCTTAATGGTAGAGTCAATAAAATAAATAGAAAATTGGGAAATAAACCCAATAAGATAAATAGAAATCTGGGAAATAAACCCAATAAAATAAATAGAAAACTGGAAAAAAAAAACAATAGAAAATTAGGAAATAAACCCAATAGAAAACTGGGAAATAAACCCAATGTAAATAAGATGTCATTCAGACGCGTCGTCATTTCATTATTTGATAGGCTAAAGTCAATACCACGTGCAGTCGATAATTTTACACGTGCATTGTTGAAGATTGTTACGGTTATGACGCAGATTGCGATGGGCGTTTAACATAATACAGTGGAGAAGATCTAAAGTTCTAGCAAGAAAGCAAGATAAAGAAATACAACTATAACGCCACCGCTAAGGCTTGCTTTCCATGTACGCTTTTCCACGCGCGTGGGAAAAAAGTTGCTATACCCTTAATATCATATTATCAGAGAAGAATGTCAGAATCAATGAGACCTCTAGTCTAGCATGGTAGCTAGTATACGACTCTGTATGTATAGGCTATATTAATGATACCCGATGTGTAATCTGTTTTGCTGTGTACAGAAGATCCAGTTCCACTCTTATACTGAACTGTGTAATGATTCAAGCTTTCACTCGACATCTTGTACAATGTAATAAAGCCATATACAATATCAAGTCAATATTCAATGATTCCAATCTACTGAAACAGAAATGGAAAATGGTCAAGTTTTAAGAAGAAACCCTTACCAATCCTGACCAATGAACACTCCTAATGTCATCTATTGAAATAAAATGCACCATGATCTAGTTTGTATTTTAAACTCTCTCTCTCTCTCTCTCTCTCTAAATTGAAAAATCGTACTTCCCCCTCCACTATTGTGGAGAAGGGTTGAGTAGCCGACTCGCAGCAAATAAGAGTTCACACTGTCTTGAAATCATACCATAATTATTTCATGTGGACGCATTATGTCTACCTGTCTACTTGTAAATTGGACACTCATTATCAAAAATAATCAGTCAGCTTTAAACTGGACACAAGTACAAATTATAATTAGATGATTTTTGGTGATTTTAAATGATTTTTACAAATTTTTAAACAAAAATTTGATATTAAACATATGTGAAAGAAATTAGTGCTAGATACACAAGATTAAATGATTCCTGGTTGTTGATACAAGATATTTCGTATCTTTCTGGATTTTGATATAACCTGATCCTTGTGTAAGTCATGTTTATAAGATAAATTTATTTGTACTTTGTTTTATATTTTTCAGATAATTACACCAGCCCACCAGATCTTCAAAAAGAGGGGCCAATTATATTCAAATATTGAGTCTCTCTCTCTCTCTCTCTCTCAATTAACATGATTTACCCCAGGTGAGTAAACACCTTAACTGCTGGACAGAGTACTTGGAAAAATCGTACTTCCCCCTCCACTATTGTGGAGTAGGGTTGAGTAGCCGACTCGCAGCAAATAAGAGTTCACACATATTTATATCTTCACTATTTCATTTAAATCTAGTTGTTTGTAGACTTGGCACAAATTTGATAATTCAGTTCATTCTTGAATAACATAATTATTTCATGCAGACATATTATGTCTACCTGTAATGGCATTATAAATTCTAAAGTTCTGGGCCCTTATTCACGAAAACTTAAACTAAGATACAATCGAAATTGTATTGGCTGACCAATATGCAAATTGATTTTACTGGTCAGCCAATCGAATTGCAGTATTTCTTAAATTTTCGATTGTATCTTAGTTTAAGTTTTCTTGAATAAGGGCCTTGGTGACTAATTTCAGCCTGTAATAGCATTAGACATTCTCAAGTTCGAAGACAAATTTTGGTCTATATATAATCGAGTTGATTGCTTCTCATCTTTCAGGGGGGTTGGATGGCCGGTCTGTCATTGAGTCAACTGGCGGGGTTTCGATTCCCCGGTTGTACGTGACAAGGAGTAGGGATGCCTGTCCAACCTTGTGGGTTTTCTCCGGGTCCGCCGGTTTCCTCCCACTTCTAAAGATACCTACGGCCAAGCGATTTATTGAAAAAAAATGGAACCATGTATTAGTCCCGAAACGACCTAGTTTGTTTCGAGTGGATGTTAAACACCATTTCTCTCATCTTTCATAGCAGCATAACTATAGCAAATTAATAATGAAATACTGAAATAATTTAAATATCGGTGAATTCTCTATACTTATTAAAGATGCAATATGTAAGGTTTTTTTTTTTGACTTCAAATGATATATAAATTAATATTTAGACATTTATTTAGACTATCAGATGTAAACAGATTGAAATACAATCGCTATTTAATGATTTAATTTTTAAAAAATGAGTCTCGATTAACAAGTAACGTTGCTATGGTAATAAACAATCTATGTCAAAACTTCAAACAGTTATAAAGTCACACAGAATAAAACAATTTGAATGAAATTTTCAATATAATTTAGTTCTGAATGATCTATTTTTGAACTATTATAGCAAGAACGGTCAACTCTATCTGAATCTTACATAATGCATCTTTAATTGTGTAATCCTGATTTTATTTTTATCTTTTGAATTTTTTAGTTTCTGTAATTACAGGCCTGGAAATAACGGTTTTAGATGTACCTGACAAAATGAAATAGTACCGGACATTTTCAACTTAGTGCCGGACATGTATTAATAATATCAATAAAAAAGACAAATCAGCGCTGGACAAAATGACAGGCACCAGAGGCTTTGTGTGCCTGACATTGTCTGTGACAGGGGCCTTATTTCCAGGCTTGTAAATTTCCTATTTCACTATCCTATATAATGTTTTAAATTATAACAATTTTTGTAACATACATATATATTTATTTATTAAATTATACATTTACTTCAGATATTTAGTTATTTAGTTAATTGCGTGTGGTGCAAACTTGTTTTTTTTTTGTAAAATTGAAATGAAATGGGGTTTAACGTCCTACTGATCTGCTCCGAGTGGGCTAATGAAGACGGCCATGCGCCATACAGTGTGCTATGAGGGACATTTTGCCCGGAAAGTGGCGCTAAGGCCCACTCTAGTATGGAATTCTAACTGCCAAGGGATCTTTTACATGCACGCCAATGTGTACACAGGACCTCAGTTTTTTGTCTCATCTGAACAACTAGACACATGTTCTTGTCAGGGCTTCTGTCCTGCACCACGGACAAGGGGAAACCACGCCGGAAAACCCTGATGAACTTTCACGGCCAACAGCGGGAGCAAAACCGCGACCCCAAGGCTAGCAAGCCAGCCTCTCACCCACCGTGGTTCTGACTTGAATGCAACCCAGCTTTGTGAAGACCTGAGACTCGACTTGATACTATCTTCAGCGACTTTGGGCTTGATTGCGACTTGAGGTACCACGACTTCTTACCCTTTTGGTAATTGGATATACAATAACAATAGAAATTTAGGATTGGTAATTGGATAAACAATTTAAATTTAGGATTGGTAATTGAATAAATCGTGTAGTGAGGATGAGTATGGCAGCTTTGATGGACACACCACATGTCACCTTGCTACAATAATATAGAAGGGACTGATGGATGGGTGAATAAAGGGTGTGGGTGGGGTAGCTGGGGTGGATATGTGGGTGAATGAGGGAGGGTTGGATTAGGTGCGGCAGATATGTGGGTGGGTGAATGAGGGAGGGTTGGTATAACTGGGCCAGATATGAAGGTTGGCTGGGGCGGATATGTGGGTGAATGAGGGTAGATTGGGTTGGCTGGGGCAGATATGTGGGTGAATGAGGGTCGATTGGGTTGGCTGGGGCAGATGTGCTGAATGAGGGAGGGTTGGGTTAGCTGGGACAAATATGTGGGTGAATGAGGGTTTGCTGGGCCCAACATGTGGGTGAATGAGGGAGGGTTGGGTTGACTGGGGCAGATATTGAGTTAGAGGTTTAGCTACTTTAAGCTGTAGCTTTCAAATGTGCGAGATTGGTCAATAGTTGACAAAAATCAGAAATAAAAACACAGAAATCATTTTAAGTTGTGATTTATTTTAATGTCTTAATTCTTTTTCATAATCTGAACATGGTTTACAATTTGATAACTCAATATACAGTATTGATATGCGATATAGTTAACTCAATATACAGTATCTAAAACTCAATATACAGTATCTAAAACTCAATATACAGTATCTAAAACTCAATATACGATATTGGTAACTCAATAATATGCAGTATTTTAAACTCAATGTACATTTTTTCAATATAGTTACAGTATTTTAAGCTCAATATACTTGAATATACAGTATTTCTCACTCAATATACAGTATTTTAAACCCAACATATGATATTGTTAGCTCAATACACGATATTTCAAACTCAATATATGATATTCTTAACTCGATATACGATATTTCAAACTCAATATGACATTTTAAACTAAATGTATGATATTTCAAACTCAATATACGATACAATATTTCAAACTCAATATCAGAATCAGTATACATCATATCTTAAATTTGATACACAATGTTTATAATTAGATATATTATGAGCAACTTTAAATGATGACAGACCTACAAAGAAAGAGAAAGAAAGAAATGGGTTTAACATCCACACGACACAAACTAGGTCATTTAGGGACTAACATTTGGTTCAATTTTATTTCAATAATTTGCTTTGCGTGTAGGGGTCTTTAGCAGTTAGAGGAAACAGAAGGACCCGGAGAAAACCCACAAGTTTGGACAGGCCTGATAGACCAACAAAAGCTAAGACAAAAATATGGACAAATGAGATGGGGTTAAATCTTAGGTCAACACAATACTTTGGTCATCTGAGACTAACACATAGTTATTTGCATTTCTATGGTAACTGAAAATTTAACCTAGGCAGCGGTGTTACAAATTCCAACTGCCAAAGGTTCTTTCACATCAACACCATTGTATACATGTATTGACTTCAGGTTTTTTTCGTCCCATCTGAATGATTAGGCACCTTTCTATGTCAGGGTAGACAAGAGCAAGCAGAACTGTCACATACCAAATATTGTATTTCAGAATTACCTTAAGATATCTTATTTCACAGTTGCTATGACGATATTTGAAACCAGGAACAATGAAATATAGCAGTTTGATGAAAATCAACACACCCATGATCTTCGTTTTATAAAGATCATTAACAAACAGTACAGGGCCCCGTTTCTCGAAATCTTAACTAAAGATAAATCCAAATTTTAGTAGATACTTCAATTTTTATTGGCTAAGCACTAAAATCAATCTAATATTATCCAATCAAATTTCATGAAACAGGCCCTAGGTCTACAGGTCCTAATTCATTGGTTAAAATCCAGGTGCAAACTTAAGCTTTTAGCCAATTATAGGGGTCCATAGTTTAATATTTGTGAATAATGCTCCAGGTCCATCTATATTTACATAATAAAGGTTTGAGTTCCGTGATATAATGGATCGACGAACATATTATACTATTCAAAAAAAGTAGGGGATATTTGATTTTGGGGGCATAATACTAAAATATGCAAATGACTACGAAAAAAGTCACTATAGAACCTAACAGAAGAAACATTTCCAGTTACATGTGACGCCCAAACGCACCAATAGCTACCGCATGGAATGCAGGTGATGCTTGGGATCATCATGGGGGTCCAACCCAAGATTTGCACGACTCTGACTTTGAATGTTACAGTCATTGTGGCATTGAATTCCAGGGTGGAAACATCAGTTTAATTGTTTTAGTGACCAGAAAACAAATTTTGATATGCGTCGGCTTACCCAAAATGAAAGGTTACGTGCCCTTGGCATGCTACAGATCGGCACAACACAGGCGGTTGTGGCGCGGACGATGAATGTTTCTCAGTCTGTCATAAGCAGGCTATGGTCCAGATACCGTGATACACAATCTGTACAGGACAGACCACGCTCAGGTCGACCAAGGGCAACAACTCAAGCCCAGGATCGATTTATCCGTACCTTGGCCTTGAGAAATCGTGTCATCACAGCAAATCAGATCAGCGCTCGTCTTCAAACAGACACTGGTGTGAGAGTGAGTGGCCAGACGATTCGGAATCGACTGCATAGGGGTCACCTTCGCGCCCGACGTCCTCGCGTGATCCCTTGTTTGAGAGATCATCACATTCAGGCAAGACGTCGTTGGTGTAGGGATCGTCAACACTGGGATAATCGACGCTGGAGCAATGTGATGTTTTCAGATGAGTCAAGGTTCACTGTTGATTTTTTGGACAGACGTAGGAGGGTGTGGCGTCGTCGAAACGAGCGCTTCCAAGACGTTAACGTCATCAGACATGATCGATTTGGGGGTGGTTCTGTTATGGTGTGGGGAGGCATCACTGTTGCTGGAAGAACGGCTTTACATGTTGTTGCAGGGCGTGTTACAGGCCAGTACTACCGGGACAACATCTTGGCAGTCCATGTTGTGCCGTTCGCACGACGTCATGGTCGCCGTTTCATCTTCCAGGATGACAACGCAAGATGTCACAGGGCCAGGATCGTTACAGGTTACCTCCAACAACAGAACATCACCACATTACCTTGGCCAGCACTGAGTCCCGACCTCTCCCCCATCGAGCATGTCTGGGACATGCTTGGCCAGAGGTTACGTCAACGTCAACAACGTCCTGCCAATGTCCAAGAACTTGCTGCTGCGTTGCAACAGGAATGGGACAATCTGGACCAAAATGACCTTAGACGTCTCATTAGGAGTATGCCACGTCGGATCAATGCTTGTTTGGCAAACAGAGGAGGATTTACCCGTTACTGACTTGGTTGTGATGCTGTGGTAACTTTGCTGTTTGACCCCGGGTATCATTTTACCCTTATAATGGTCAGTCTGTGCCTTACTTACTCTAACGATCATTTGGAATAAATCGATGAATGTGAACTTCATTTCATTTTGTCATTTGTTTCTTCGTCAGTTTCATTAGGTGACTTTAATAACACTTAAAAATCAAATATCCCCTACTTTTTTTGAATAGTATATATTTGTAACACAATATTTCTATGGACGCTTACGGCTAGCCCCCGGATCCATTCACTTTATTCGAATTGTGCATTTGTTTTTGAGATCTGCGTAATATTTCTTGTCTGGATATATTGTGTAAATTATGTGTGGTGCAGTCCCCCTGCACTTACTAATAGAAACACAAATTTCTTAATAACACAAAGATTCTTCATAAAAATGTTTCTTAATAACACAATGTTTCTTAGTAACACAATGTTTCTTAGCAACACAATGTTTCTTTGTAAATCAATGTTTCTCATCTTCGTATTGTTTTTAATAAAAAAATGTTTCTTTTTTTCCTCAGTTAATCTGAATCATCCTCAAATTTATTTTCTGAAAATTCCTTTCTCACTCGCTTTGCTTTTTTAACTTTTCTTCTTTCGCTAACATCACCCGTTAATCCTTCGGCTTTTCCTGTAAGAAGAATATCAGACGGTAAACGTAAATAGCAAATGAAGCCTCATAAATTTTTTAAAAATGCAAGTAATTATGTCAACATATCCTTTCCATAAAGTATAACTTGATTTCCACCATTCTCCATTAGTAGTCGTAACTTTCCACCATTCTCCATGAGTAGTCGTAACTTTCCACCATTCTCCATGAAAAGTTGTAACTTCCCGCCATTCTCCATGAGAAGTCATAACTTTCCACCATTTTCCATGAGAAGTCATAACTTTCCACCATTTTCCATGAGTAGTCGTAACTTTCCACCATTCTCCATTTTAGTTATTCTGCACATATTTCTATGACCAGAAGAAGTAAAATTGTTTATTGGTGGAAAGTTATCACTACTCATGAAGAACGGCAAAAATCTACCTGTTGAAATTTACTTGTTGCAGGTAATTTTGACGTTCAGGATCGTGTTATACTTATGGAAAGGATATGTTGACATAATAACTTGCATTTTTTAAAGATACATTATGGGAGATAAGATAAAGAGCTGGAAGTTCTCACTATAATAGTTAAAAACTAGATAATCTGAAGGCAATTTCTGGAAATTTCAGTCAAATTGATCCACTATGAACTGAGAATTCGGCCTCGATTCGATCATCATTACTAAAGTCAGTACGATAAACAGCATAGTTTCCATCATCCATTTCATGATTAAATTATGACTGGAAGTCGAGCAGCAAATGAGATCATAATCCAGTAAATATCACAGGCTAGCGATGATATCTAGAGTTGATTATGGTCTGGATAAGTTAATGTCTAATTAATAATTTAGATAACATTTCAGGCCGAAATAAACACCTGCAATAGGCAGATTTAACTCACCACTTTCAGGTGTAAACTCCAGATAAATCTGCCGACCTTCTATAAACAAACCATGCATTGCTTTCACGGCCTCTTTTGCATCTTCTACATCTCGGAAATCAACAAATGCTTTCCTGGAAATAAATGTTATAGTTGAGTTGCCAGCCAACAAAGCATACATCCACAGTATCGAAGTTTTCCTAATAGTCAGGTATATATTTAAAAATTGATCAAGTGCAGGAATCCATGAAAATGAAATCAATCAGCAGCAATCCATCAAGTAATCATCAGAGAGAGATGGGGTTTAACGTCCAGTCCACTCGACAGAAACTAGGTCATTTCGGGACTAACACATGCTTCAATTTTATTTCAATAATTTGCTTGTGCGTAGTGAGTGGAAACCGGAGGACCCCAGAGAAAAGCCACGAGGTTGGAAAGGCGACCCTACTCATCCGAACGACTAAACAGCTGTCCTTGTCAGGACCTCTGCCCTACACCGTTGACAAGAGAAATCACCCCGAAAAATCCTGGTGAACTTTCTCGGCCACACCGGGATCGAACCGACGACCTCCGGGCTAGCGAGCGAGCGTCTTACTCACTAAGGGAACTGGGTTAGTCTATATTTATATGTTCCAAGGCCTGAGTTCACAAAGCATTCTCAGTAGCCAAGTCTCTAACTCAATATCATCCAAAGTCTTCAACATTGAACACACGAATAATTTGTCAATTTGAATTACCAGGAAAAGATGGGCTTCTGATATCCAATATTTAAGACAAAATAAACATTTTACCATTGATACACGAATTGTGTACCATAATGCGTTTTAGCGCACTCCAAGGACGAGGCTAGACATATCCCACAAGTTATGGGACAATAAATATATTATGTAGACTGGAATTACCAGATGCCATTCGATTGAGATTTCTGGTGTATTTCGCCGAACATAACTGATGTGAAATTAGATTGAATGATTGAATGTAAATCAGTTTATATACATTCATATTACATTATTATATGTATTGCGACCCATTTGTGTCAATTTCTAGGTACCAAATATTAACGATCTACCTCCTTTAAGTTAAGAAGAATTTACACAAAATTGTTTGTCTTATTTTAACTAAAATATAGCCCTTTATAAAACTTATGTGCAAAGTTTTTGTGTTTCTGGATCAAAAATATTTCTCATAAACAGTAATTGAATGTTGAGTAAAGTCTCAACTGAAGTCTGAGAATGGTTTCTGAACTCGGTGACCAGGATAAAGCCAATATTTCTTACCCCCGTGACTTTCCGGTATCTGAGAAAGTTGGTATCCTTATGGCAACAGCTTTCTTGAAATACTGATGTAGTTTGTCCTCGTTCACCTTATAATGTAAGTTTCTTACAACCAGGGTTTTCTTTCCTACTTTACCCCTTCGCGGTTTTCCATCAGCTAAAAAAAGGGAGAGAGAGAAATGAGGTTTAACGTCCACTCGACACAAACTAAGTCATTTCGGGACAAACATATTGTAATGGTAACAAAAGAGAGAGAGAAATGGGGTTAAACATCTAGGTCATTTCGGGACTAACACATGGTTCAATTTTATTTCAATAATTCGCTTGCAGTGGGAGGAAAACCGGAGAAAACCCACGAGGTTGGACAGGCGACCCTACTTCTTGTCACGTACAACTGGGAAATCAAAACCACGCCAGATGACTCAATGACAGACTGTATGATACAGCGCACACGTGCTAACCTTTCGGCCATCCAACCCCCTATTTATTTCAATAATTTGCTAGTGCGTAGGGGTCTCGAGCAGTGGGAGGAATCCGGAGGACCCAGTGAAAACCCACCGATTTGTTGTTTCTATTGATATTAAATCGGCACAGATTTAAAAACATCAGGGCCCTGTTTCTTGAAATTTTAACTAAAGATAAAATCCAAATTCTAGTAGACACTTCAATTTTGACTGGCTAAGCACTAATATCAATCTAATATTATCCAATCAAATTACTAAAATTTGGATTTTATCTTAGTTAAAATTCCGTGAAACAGGCCTCAGCTAGTAAAACAATTATTGCCAGGCCTGATTACGATTAAATCATGGACGAACTTTAAAAAACTTACAAGAAACAGGTCTAGGACCAGTGGCCTTCTTAATTTCTACTTCCGCGCCATCTAGATCTTTTTTATTGAGTTTTATAGCTTTCAGCAGATCATCTTCGCTAGCTAAATCACAGTGACCAAACCTTTCAAATAATAAAAAAAACACTACAATTTCGCAAACTTCGGTATTCTATTTATTATCAAAATGTCATTCATGGGTTTGAATCTGAAATAAAAACAATTTTAAATTCTAATGGAGGAGATGAAATGAAATGGGTTTTAATGTCCTACTGTTCTTCTCCAACTGGGCTAATCAAGATGGGCATACGCCATACAGTGTGCTATGAGGGAAATTTTACCCGAACAGCGGCACAATGGCCCACTAAGACCTACTCTTATATCGAATTCCAACTGCCAAGGGATATTTTACGTGTACGCCAATGTATACACAGGGCCTTAGTTTTCCGTCCCATCCGAATGACTATACAGCTGTCCTTGTCAGGCCCTCCCCGTCCTGCACCAATGACAAGAACTAGGTCATTTCGCAACTAACATATGGATTAATTTCAATAATTCGCTTGCGCGTAGGGTTCTTTAGCAGTGGGAGGAAACCCCACTGACAAGGGGAAACCACGTCGGAAAATCGTGTTGAACTTTCTCCGCCAATACAGGGATCGAACACCTGATCTCCAGGCTAACGAGCCAGCGTCTTACCTACTTAACCAACATGGCTCCCAGATGAGATAAAGATATGTTTAGAACAGTTGATTGATTTTACAAGGAAGAATATTTTATACAAACCTTTTTCCTTTCTTTTTCCTAACTTCTGTAACTGTGATACCTTTCTTCGTTAAATACTCCTCGATAGTTTCCGCGGTTGTCTCCTTATTTAATCCACCAAGAAAAATCGACGCTGAAAAATGAAACAAACAATTAAACAAATATCTGTCTTCCAATCATTAAAAATACATTATGAGAGATAAGATAAAGAGATGGCAGTTCTTGCTATAATAGTTAAAAACTAGATAGTGTAAAGGTAATTTACTGAAAATTTCAGTCAAATTGATCCACTATGAGCCGAGAAAGAAGCGGGTGAAATTTTTGCATAGTCTTGGTCATCATTACTAAAATCATTAACATAAACAGCATAGTCTCGATTATCCACTTTTATTGATTTAATTATCAATAGCCGTTAGCGGCATATAGGAATCTAATCCAGCCAACATCGAAGGCTAGCCTTGACATCGAAGTTTATTATGGTCTGGATAAGTTAATTAATGTCTAATTGATAATTTAGATAAGATTTCAGGCCCAAAGAAAGACTTGTAATAAGCAGATTTTGCTCTTGCATAATGCATGTTTAACAAGGTCATTAATGGCCGTGGGGGTGGGGTGGGGTCAAATGATTTAATGAGTGTATATACATACCAGAGAGAGAGATATTAATGTCCACTTGACACAAACTAGGTCATGCCTTTTTAGCAGTGGGAGGAAACCGGGGAACTACGGTACAGTGAAATCAATACTACTCCTTGTCATGAACAAGCTGGGTATCGAAACCACACCAGAAATGAAATGAAATGGGGTTTAACGTCCACACGACACAAATTAGGTCATTTTGGGACTAACATATGGTTTAATTTTACTTCAATAATTCGGTTGCGCGTAGAGGTCTTTAGCAGTGGGAGGAAATTGGAGGACCCAGAAAAAACCCATGAGGTTGGATAGGCGACCCTACTCCTTGTCACGTACAACCGGGGATTCGAAACCACGCCAGTTGACTAAATGACAGACCTTATGATACAGCATGCACGTGCTAACTAACCATTCAGCCGCCCAACCCCCCATGATCTAAAGCACACAATTTGGCCCCTGAAATTCAAGTATACCCAAAATAACCTACGTATTTCTTCCGTCTTTATTTTTTTAATTGGTTCATCATCATCATCATCATCATCATCATCATCATCTTCCTTCTTTATTTTTTTAATTGGTACTTCCACTTGTGTTGTCTTTTTTCTTTTGTTGCCCAATTCTTCTTTGATTTCATCATCATCATCGTCATCATCGTCGTCATCAGATGACTCAGAGCTATCTGTCTGTTTTGATCCTTCCGATTTGATAGAACTTTTAGGTATTTTACGTATGTATTTATTGTCTCTTTCATCATCATCGTCGCTTGTAGAATCCTCTTCTTCTTTAACAACAGGTGCTTGTTGTTTACTTTTCTTCTTTCTAGATACACCTTTATCTTTTACAGTCTTCTCTTTCTGAAAAATAGAAATTTTTTCAGTAATTGTTCTTTGAATGGCGGGGGTGGGGGGTGGAAGGCCGAATGGTTAGCCACGCGCTGTATCATAAGACCTGTCATTGAGTGAACTGGCGTGGTTTCGAATCCCCGGTTGTACGTGACAAGGAGTAGGGTCGCCTGTCCAACCTCGTTGGTTTTCTCCGGGTCCTCCGGTTTCCTCCCACTGCTAAAGACCCCTACGTGCAAGCGAATTATTGAAATAAAATTAAACCATATGTTAGTCCCTATATGACCTAGTTTGTGTCGAGTGAACGGTAAACCCCATTTCTCTCCCTCTCTCTCTTTGAATGGCATTTAATTTTAATAAGAGACAAAGAGAAATAGAGAGAGAGAGAGAGAGAGAGAGAGGGAGAGGGAGAGAGATGGGGACTTACATATGGTTCAATTTTATGTCATTAATTGGCTTGTGCGTAGGGGTCTTTAGCAGTGGGAAAAACAGGAGTACCCGGCGAAAACCCACAAGGTTGGACAGGCGGACATACTCCTTGACATGTACAACCGGGTAATCAAAACCACGCCATTTGACTCAATGACAAACTTTATAGTGCAACGCACACGCGTTAACTATTCGGCCACCCAAACCCCCATAATTAAATAAAGCACTATTTATGGTTAACAATTACTCTTGTTTATTACACGGCAACATTTCAACAAGTTTTCACAAGTCTTGATAGAAGACAGCAACATTACACAACAGCGCAGAGATACAATTTGGTATCATACAAAAAATAGATGTACATGTAGCTATATGCTTCTTACTCTTTCTAGAACACCTCATACCACTTGTAATATAACAAAACAAGCGGTTGCCATGCAAGATACACCCACATTTCCCAAGAGATGGACAGTGAACAAGCTAAATAAGCTGCCATAATCCAGGATGTTAATTTCCGACATGCATCAATATTAAAAGGAACCAAGATCTTTGGAATATAAACATATGAAAATGTGGGCGTAAAAAAAAACTTTTTGAAGGAAATCTCATCCATAAATTGTCAGAGCTTGTATTCTTAAAAAGTTGGTGAGTTTTAAATCATTTTGAATACATGACTCCAACTGTACATAGCATTTAAACAAATGGCTAAATTGAACAATTAAATTCCTGCCAAATAAAATATGGCTATTCCGTGGTCTACACATATTTCAATGGCAAAAATTAAGCAGACTGACTTCAGTGAAAGCACCTGTTACGGTACTTAGCGTACACATGATGGGTTGAAGAGTTCAAGATACAGTTGAGGCAAGAACTGGTCGAATTTACCTGATTATATATACATGTACGTACAGAGTTTACAATAAAACAAACAGGATATTATACCCCTCGCAGAGTTTCGTTTGATTAGACCTAATCCCACTCAAGCACTGCCGTAAACAAAGCAAATTTCTGTTCTAAATTATGACTGGTCAATAGTCCAATTAACACCAATACCTAACTGTGTAACATCATCATTCTGTTTAAACAGAGCTCCAGATATGTTTACATAACGTTACGTCATGACTCACAATTTTATTACGCCCAATTAACCAGTGCATAGCAGAATATTGCAGAAAATGTAATTGCGTGACAAACAAGGCTATCAAAACGGCAAAAATGTAAACAATACTGCTTGGAGACGAACAATACTTTTGCCGTTTTAATACCTTAAATCACTGTCCAAAGTTTTAGGGAAGACCCTATACTGAACGAAGGACTGTCATGTTGCTGTACCGGAATAATAGACACACTCCCTCAAAAGCTCAAGTATCAGAAGTCAATCCAGCAATGGTCAGAGAGGGATTTCTGAGGCCATTGCTTCAGGAATATGACAGGACATATACATCGTAATTACACAACAAACTTACCAACATATACTTCAACTAATTCACACCAGAATAATACAACGATTCTACCACAGGCTCTAGGACAGAGAGATGCAACCCCACGACAGAGTGACACACTTTTGGACAGAGTGATCAATACACTCTAGGACAGAGTGAAAAAAACCAATGCTCTCTGGGACAGAGTGATGCACCCCAGAACAGAGTGATGAAGGCACTCTAGGACAGAGTCATAAGTGATGAATGAAAGATCAGAGTCATGAGAGATAGAGGTACTCCTGGACAGAGTTATCAATACACTCTAGGACAGAGTGATGCAAAACCAAGACAAAGAAATGCAATGCTCTCTTGGACAGAGTGATGCCAGATTGATGGAGGCACTCTAGGACAGAGTGTTGGAGGTACTCTAGAACAGAGTCATGAGTGATGGATGTACTCTGGGACAGAGTGGTAAACCCTATGGCAGGGAATACACTCTAGGACAGAGTGATGCCATTGAAGAGAGTTATACACTCTAGGACAGAGTGATGCCCTGAAGACAGGGATACACCCTAGGACAGAGTGATGCAATCAAAGATGGGGATACACTCTAGGACAGAGTGATGCCCTGAAGACAGGGATACACTCTAGGACAGAGTGATGCCCTGAAGACAGGGAATACACTCTAGGACAGAGTGATGCAATCAAAGATGGGGATACACTCTAGGACAGAGTGATACACCACAGGATATACAAGATACAGGATACACTTGAGGATATCAGTCCTTCACGTTTAAGGGGAGCTTTTGCTCCTGCTCCTCTCGACGCACGTCGGCTTTCCTTCGAAGGAGTCATTAAAGACTCCTGCAAATTAGCTAAATCGCTCTCCTAAATATTGAGATTAATAAACTACTTTCAGTTTTTGTTTACTTTTAAACTGCATATATTCAAGGTATCAGGAGCTTTTTATGGCTCCCGCACAATTTTATAAACATGAAGGACTGGGATATGGTAATTCAGTATCCATAGGAAAGCTGGTTGTCATGGAAATACACATAAATTACAACGGAGATCAAGCTATACCTAAAGCAACACAAACAAACTTAAAAGCTGTGCACTTACTCAGTGATACGCTATATGTCATGTGGTTGTGTTTAAGCAGATGGCCCAAAAGGAGACCCAACTATACGTTAAGACCCAATGTTTAAGCAGATGGCTCACGAGAATCATAACGGAATGGAATAAACTATCACACATACTTATGGAAAACAGATACTGATTTTTTTAAGCTAATAGTATTTCTTAATAACGTTGAGAAAATACCCTTCAAAACGTCGCCTAAATAAATCAGTAGCTGTTTTCTATAAGTATGTGTTATAGTTTATTTATCTGCCCAGTTACTAAATGTCTTCAAAAGAATAAAATGGAATGGGGTGTAAGGTTTCATCAACTCAATTTTCATTTTAGTTGTCAAGTTTGCAATGGTAGTGGGAGAATTCGGATGTTTCTGTCTTGACTAACATATGATGAATTTCATTTCAGTGGCTACATCTGCAATGCAAGCGGGAGAATTTTCCCCAGAGATCAACGTTTCTATTTTCCCTAGTTTGAATTACAAACTACAAATGTGCACACCAGCAGACCTCAGGTTATCATCTTATCTCAACGACTAGGTATGCTCCCCTTTTCAAGTTGTCAGCCATGTCACCCAATAGACCATGCCTAAACCTCATGTCACCCAATAGACCATGCCTAAACCTCATGTCACCCAATAGACCACGCCTAAGCCTCATGTCCACCCAATAAACCATGCCTTAGCCTCATGATTTATTTATGGTGGGGCATTATTCGAATTAATCTGATTTACTTCCCCTAAATTTAAGTTTTCAAGCGCATAACTTTATTTTTATGAAATAAACAAGATATTATGACAACCATTTCACAGAAGAAAAAGAGCCAGAGTGGCAAGACGATTATACAGTTTTCTGTATTATTATAAATCAAGGCAAATTTTCAAAAACAAAGAATAATCTTTATTTAATAATAACAAGACAAAGAATAATTATATTAAATAATCAGAGGTTATTTCAGAAACTTATATCTCAAACTTTCAAACTTTGTTTATCTTAAAGTTGAAATTTCATATTTTTAAGTTATATTTTCAAAATTTATTAAAATAAAGCCTTAAAATAGATGGTATTTATAAGCAGTCCTACCTTGTTAAAGAATAATCCTATTAATCCTATAATTCACTATTGCCAGTTGAGAAATTGGCAAAAATATCATTTTTATCATCAAATTCCAACGTTTGAAGATAGCTACTCCATAGTAGAGAATAGAAAACAAGGGAGGTAATTGTGTTATTATTTCCGGTGTAAATGAGTTTTAAGTGTGAGAATGACACCTATGATCGTATAATAGTGAGTTGATAACCTATTGAGCAAAAGACATAGAAAATATTATGTTTTGACTTTCTTAGAAAATATGAAATTATAACTTTAAGCATACATGTACATTACAGTACATGTAAGATTTAGATAAAGATCTGGCTATTATGTATGGTTTAATGGTAGAGAGCGAGACATTAAAATATATTGATACTGCACGAAGCGTTAGCCGAGTGTTGTTTCAATATATTACGCAATGTCTTTAGCTCGAGACCATTTAACAACTTAAAATACAGACACTATCCCGCGCGTGCTTTTTCTTTGAAATTTGTCATGCGAGACCAATATTTCATCTAGGATAGATCATGTATGATTGGCAAGTTGCCCGTACGATTATTTGAAATAATGGTACGTCAACATCAAAGGTTTACGTCACATCTGTATTTTAATATTATATAATAGGTCAATAATACGTCCTGAACACAATCTTGATTAAAATACAGATCTATATTTCGTTTTGTTTCTTTATACTTTCGTTAACCTACACTACATGAAGATCTGACCGGTTGTAGTGGAAGGTTGCATCAAAGGTCATACGAGTGGCTTTTGACCCTATGACGTCAACCATATGATTAACCAATTAGCATTGCCGTTTTTAGTGGGTTACCCATAGTTCCATGCACCTCACACCAAAATCTTGCTGTAACAGATTGTTTCATTGGCTAATCCCTCACATCATCCAGAACGCAGGTCTTAAATCAACTCTTCCAGATCCTAGTGTAGTGAAGATAAGTAAAACAAAATTTTTGAACTGGGCTAATGAAGACGGGCATACGCCATACAGTGTGCTATGAGGGAAATTTTACCCGAACAGCGGCACAATGGCCCACTAAGACCTACTCTTATATCGAATTCCAACTGCCAAGGGATATTTTACGTGTACGCCAATGTATACACAGGGCCTTAGTTTTCCATCCCATCCGAATGACCATACAGCTGTCCTTGTCAGGCCCTCCCCGTCCTGCACCAATGACAAGGAGAGAGAGAGAGAGAGAAAGGGGGTTTAACGTCCACTCGACACAATTTTGCCTGGACAGCGGCACTACGGCCTACTCTTATATCGAATTCCAACTGTCAGGGGATCTTTTATGTGCACACCAATGTGTACACGGGACCTCGGTTTTCCGTCCCATCCGAACGACTAGACAGCTTTCCTTGTCAGCCCCTCCGTCCTGCATCACTGACAAGGGAGAACCACGCCGGAAAATCTGAATGAACTTTCTCGGCTAATGCTGGGATCGAACACCCGATTGAACTATAAAAAACGAAACGAAATAGGATCTGTAAAACGAAACGAAATAGGATCTGTTTTTTAATCAGATGTGATGAAGAGCTGACCCTTATTGTTATAATAGTTCAATAATACATCATGAACAATGATTACATGGAAAATTGCAGTTAAATTACTTTATTTGGAGTAAAGTTATGAGTGCTTGAAGTTTTAATTGTCAGGTACCATTAATACCATAATATACAAAGTCTAGATTATCCATTTTAACTTTTAAAATATCAAATGGCACGAGTGTACCAATCCATTCAATATTGAATTTGCTGGTCTTAAGAGTTGATTATAGCTTGTCATGTGAATAAATATCTGAATAATAATTTATAGTCCCATTTCATTTGAAGTCCAAAAAAAAGGACCTGCTACAGGCACATTTAGCTTTTACATTACGCAGCTTTAAAAAGGCAAAATGTATCCTTAATAAAACACGAATACTTGAAAGTACCAAATACTTAAAAGTACCTAATACCTGAAAGTACCAAATGCTTGTTTATGATTCCCAAATCTGATTTTACATGATCCTTATTATCCTTATTATCAATTTCAACCCAATCTGATTAAAACACAGATCCTATTTCATTTTGTTTTTTTTATAGTTCAAAATTCAGTTTTACTTGTCTCTATTACACTAGAATCTGTAAGAATTGTATAATCGGCATTTTGGTTGAAGTGATGGATAAGCCAATGAAACAGTCTGTTACGGCGACTTCTTGGCGTGCAATGCACCTGTGGGTAAACCACTAGAAATGTCAACGCTGATTGATCAATCAATACTGACGCGACCTTCCAGTACAACCTGTCAGATCTTCATGTAATGTAGGCCATCGAAAGTATAAAAAACGAAACGAAATATAGATCTGTATTCTAATCAGATTGGTGCTTTACAAGTTCATTTGTTAAATTCTAGCTTCACATAAACAAATAATTTGACGCAAAAAAATTACGTTAGACCACTATCGATATGTTATGATCGCATTCAGTTTGTTGTTTTGCTTGCTTTTTCAGTTAGTTGCGATTCAAATAAATCCAACAATCGCTTAATTTCTTTGATTTCATTGGCTAGCTGATAAATGGGGTCAACTGTCTTACTAAGTTCTTCACACTTAGCCATAAGCGCGTACATAGACTTGATACTCGTGTCCACTGAATCACATGTATAATCCACCGAGTCTTTGTAAGCCGTTAAACACGCCACGCTACGCGCTGACATCTTATGAAGACTTGATCGAAGATTGCCAAGCATTAGATCAACATCGTCTGCAACTCTTCTGGCTTGATTTTCCAGTTCTACAATGGCATTTGGGTCAATAGGTGGAATGTCATCTGGACTTTGCTGAAATAAACTACTGGGCGATCTGGACCAACCCGACGCTGTTGATGTAGCCATGGACGTACAGGCCGATGTATTACTAGAATAACTAGCTGTACTGCGAACACTTGATCGTCGACTGTTACTGGATCCCGTTTTCGACATCGGACTACTTCTACGAATCTTTTCCTGTAGATCGTCCGCGATAAACTCAATCATATCACCTTTACGTAAAATAGTTCCTTGAGGCAAACTTTTCGATAGCGATTCTTGCGCTTCTATCTCAGCCAATATTTGTCTTGTCGGGGGAATAATGATCACATCACTTTGAGTTCTACTGCGACTGTTTGACAATTTTTTCTTCTCAATCGTTTTCTTGGAATGAGTATTGTTCATCGTACCGTTCACTGCTTCTGATTGCATTATCTCCTGAGGGTCATGTAGTGAAAGACTATTTGGTCGTGACCGCCCATTTGGATTGCTTTCAGGACTTAACTCATCTGTGATCTGAAAATTGCTCAAATCCACCAGCGTTTCACTTTCGCCCATAGAATTAGAATCATGAAAAGCACTGGCCTGTCGATCACTTTCACACGCTGCCTCGAACGATTGAGGATCAAATTCGTCCTGATCAACGCTTAGACTTTGTGACAAGCGAGACATTTCTTTGATTGTTTTAGATTCTTCCGAAGAGACGGGCGACAGGACATCACTAGTGTCCTCCGACGACACTAAATCCGGAAGATGTCTGTTGATACTGTCCGTGTGTTGTTCCGCCATGACTGGCAGAAGTGTCTGTTCCATATTGTTGATATTTTCACTCAAGTTCGTTCGACCGCGACTACTTGAATCCAGAAGACCATTTTTAGCAACAGAATTGGATGTCTGTAAATTGGATATTAGCAGGCCATTCTCATGGCTCATAATTCAAGTTGATTTATCACTCACAGATGTTTCATTTAAAGCTGGAAATACCTAATTCAACCATTTCTGAAAATCAAATGACAGGAAATGAAGTGGTAAGAGAGAGAGAGAGAGAGAGAGAGAGAGAGAGAGAGAGATGGGGTTTACTACATTGATTTCTTTTGATGTTTTTGTGGACATTTTGGACACTGATAATCTGTGTGGAGTTACTAGAGAAACTGGGTTTATTGTCCATGCAACAGTGAGTGACTGTGTATATACACCCATCACCCATTTGTTTCTTTGTATATATGTTGGGCACATTCTTCACCCCTAGCGCCGATTGCAATCTTCGCTGCAGTGTAGCACAGAATCCACTTTGTTGTCTGCGCAGACTATAGACTATATACTATATACCCTGCGCACGGCACGCCGATTGTAATCTGCACTTATCTAGGGAAAGAGGTTTTACACCATAATGTTCTATGATGTGGAAAATTTTGCCTGGACAGTGACATGACGGCCTACTCTTATATGTGCACGCACAACAATGTGTACACAGGACCTCAGTTTTTTGTACCATCCGCAGGACTATACATTGCCCCTTTGTCTTTAACAAATTAGAACAAATAATATGGAAATATACATAGTAATATAACAACCGATATCAGTTTTCTGTACCATCCGCAGGACTATAGTATACATTGTCCCTTTGTCTTTAACAAATTAGAACAAATAATATGGAAATATACATAGTAATATAACAACCGATATCATTTACTAAATAAAAATATTACTGCAAGTGCGATATTTTTGTCTCATATAATTAGAATTCGTGATTTTTACAGCTGTGCCTTCAAGTGTAAAAAAGAAACTCAATTATAAAGCGTTTTTCTTGACTGCACTTTTCACTTCAGTAATTTGTTGTACTGCGAATTTAACTAATCACTGTAAATACTGTAACATAATACATTTTCTACACCTTCAATTTTACCTTAATAGATTTCGAAATTACAGGCTGCATGGTTGCTATAACCTTAAACTCTCTAGACTTAGTGAAAATATAAAAATAATGAAATGGCTTCAGATTATTTCCACCACCTTCTTCAACAACAACGTGGTCACGTGTTTTCCTGTTTCGTGAAATATGCACGAGTTATCTTTTCTTTGTTTTTATTTTTGAAGCCTGGATCTACAAATTTAAGCAATATAAAGTTTTCATTTTTGATGTAAAAATTTAGAGTTCTGTCCAATATATGGAACAAGTGCTAGGCCTATTTAATTTAGAATGATATGAGATTTAGTACTCGTGTCTAAGGTTAAGAGTCAAAAGTCTGGAAAACAAAGTCTAAAATACTTCTTTATAAACCGCATGTCCTGCTAACCGAGAAATAATTTATTATTGATATTTATAAAATAAAAATAATACTGCGATATTTTTGTCTCCCATAATTACATTTTTCTATTTTCTTGATCGAACGATTTATTTGTTCGATTACAATTTCTCTGTAAATAGAACGTAGTTAGAATTATTTAAGTCTCCGGTTAATTCCGGAGAGTTACGGGTATTACCACGTGACTAAAACAGAGAGCACGTGGGTCGGTCTTTTACATCTAAGCGTCTGAACGAAGCAGTCGTGAAAACCTTCCTGCTTGCTGCTTTGGTTAATTTTGTAATCAAGCGAGATCGTAATATCAGAAATTTGCAATCATGTTGCCGAAAGTAGCTAAATCCAAGAAGGTGAGATTGAAGATGGTAAACAATAGCGGTAAACGCAGACTGCTGGTGATCTAGTAACTTAGAAAAACTGAACAAAGACATGGAAAACTGATCTCCATTTTCTTGGAGTTGTACTCTGTACCACGTGGTTGAAAAATTTAGTATTCTTAAACGCAGAGGATTCATGGCACGTTTCGCCAAATTGTGGTATAACTTGGCAAATTCAATAATTTAAGATTTTAAATATTCATAATTTGAGAAAAATAACGGTGTATTTTGAATTTAACATCGGATGAGATCGTACTTGTACGATTGACCTATATAAGCCGCTTAAACATGGGAAGAACTAGAAGCACGTGGTCGATATTTTGTTGCGAAATAACTTGGCAATCTTAGCACTACAAGCCATTTAAAGTGAAGCATGTTGGTTGATAACCTTCATTTTGTAATTTTCGTAAAATTTATTGGGTTCTAAACCCAACACAAAATTACAATATCTAATATGGACATTTTGTTTGGCTCATTGGTTATATAAATACAATTTGGCTCAAACCGGTTGGTACCAGTAACCTAGTAAACATGATTTTTGATACGAAAATTTATAATGTAATTTAAGATGTATCCGTAAGAAATATTTGCTAGGATTTCCCAATGGACGAACTGACGAATGGTTGAAAATGGCTGGTGAAGATGTCCTGTCCTAGGATTGAGCAGTCTCCCTAGACTGTATATTTGCCTTTGGTCGTTGATAACAATTCTTCTGGTTGCTCCTCTGGTCGTTCTGGTAAATCTCATGCATGGGATCCCAAGCTGGTCGTTGATCCCCCACCGGGGATAGGCATTTTGAGTTCCTTTTTCTTGGGTCGTGTGTTATCCCTAATCCTAAAGGGATGGTTGGACGAAGATCAAAGTCCATGCATGGGATTTGAATATGGTTGTACATCTCTTTAAAGAGCGTCTTCAATTACCTGGGTCGTTGCTACTGGATCCCTTTACCTTGAAGGGACGGTTGGTCGTTATTGCCATGTACCCCCCTGGCCCCAGGGGGAATGTTTGTATGTGATGGCACCAGTCTATGGCTGGCAGTTACCCCTAGAACCCTGTATCTATGGAAACTGGAGTTGATCTGCTTGATGCAAACTGCCCTGGAGACCAAGTGTAAGTAATTAATGGTTTTGATAATTAAGATCACAGCTCAGATATTTTTAGTTTTAACAATTTGTCATTTGTTGAGCAAGCCTGGAAATACCTACAGGTCATCTGGCAGTGTTGGACTCCCTATCGCGGGGTGCTTTTCCTATGATAATTGGCTTTTTACTTTTATTGATATTTTTGATATGTTCATGGCACGTAAATTTAAATGTTGGTGAGTTGGTCACATCCATAGTCTCAGCATTTTGTTGGGTATGACTTGGTGTTATTTCCAGGCGTGTTGATTACACTGTACCAGGTATCATTTAGTCTTGTGTATTTTACATTAATATCTTTAATATTTTTATTTTAAAAACTTTGTTTGAAAAATCATTTAATATCTAATTTGTACTTGTCCAGTTTAAAGATGGCCACTCAATGTTGATAATGAGCGTTCAATTTACCAGTGTTTAATTTCTCAATCACTGTTCAAAAATAAACCCAATTGATTATTGATGTATAATGATTAATTACGTAACAGTTATCAGGAAATTAAATGCATGTAAATTGAACACTCATTTTCAAAATTGAATGGTCAGCTTTTCTGAATTTTCAAGCCAAGTTTTGATACAGAAATTAATGCTAAACCACAAGATTACACGATACACTTAAGGTGTTGGCAATATAGTTGAAAAATATGGTCTTGAAGAAAATGTACTGGGTACTGAAGGCTTAATTTATTGGGTAGGAAAAGGAAACTCTTACAGCGCAGTGGATGCTTACGACTAGTCCCTGGATCCAATCACTTGATAATTTGTTGCTATGTCTTTTTTCTGTCTTGTCCGCAGGTATATCTTGTCGATTTTAGTTTTGCGTCTAGTGCGGTCCTCCTGCACTTACTATTAAGGTTACAAGGAGTAGGCTGAAAAGTATCATTTTGTTGAGGAAAAAGTATTTGGTACTGGCAGAATAAATTATTGGGTAACAAAAAGGCAGAAGTTTTTATTAATAAATTTTGAAATGTTTTTCAAAATATTTTACTGGTGACATTTGTTTTTATGGAAAATTTGTCATGTTATTTTGTTAATTGGGTTTATTTAACAAATAAGTTGTGTTTTTTCTCCAGAACAAAAAGGATGTTGGAAAATCCAAAAAAGCAAAACAGGTTGTCGAGGCTGAAAGTTCTGAAGAAGAGTCAGAAGAAGAAGATGAGGAGGAAATCCCAGAGGTATGAATTAAAGATTTCGATGTTTTAAACCCTTTATTGGAGAATGGTTGCTGTTGACGTCTTCAGGAATCGAAAATGACCATGTCTGTAATGAAACTTTATAAATTTTGTCCTTGATTTGTAAGATTTTGTTAAATCTGGCAACATTTAGTAAATTTTAATTGATTTAGGGTCCTGTTTGTTTTTTATACAAGTCATTCCTACGCTGGTACGTGACAAGAGTAGGATCGGGTGCAGCGCAGTAATTTCGCCACTGTCCTAAAGATCTCCACGAGGGTGAATTATTAAAATTAATAATAGACTGGCCTTGTATCTTTCGAAACTGTCGAACTCATTCACTTCACTTTCCTAGAATGTTGCATCCAACTTAATCAACACAAGGGTTGATTTAGAACAGTTTCTTGTTCCTCCACAACCTTGCCCGTTGCATAAAAACAATTTTTGTGATTTTACTAACTCAAGTTTTTTTGTTACAGCCAGTAAAAACCAAGAAATCTAAGAAACAAAAGAATGGTAAAGCTAAAGCCCCAGCGGCCGATAGTGACGAGGAAGAAAGTGAAGACGAAGAGGAAGGTTAGTATACATCAGGAGGACCACCAAAATATACCCGTCCGCAACTAAGAGGAAATATCGATATTCGGTTCTTGATATCGATACTCGTATAAAAATAAAGGAGCTATTAAAGTAGCTAAGTCTCTAACTCAATATCATCCAAAATCTTCAACATTGAAAACAGATTTATTTGTCAAATGAAATCAACATTCATGTTGTGATCTTACCGGAAAAAGATGGGCTTTTGATATCCAGTATTTAAGACAAAATAAACATTTTACAATTGGTACACGAATCGTGTACTATAGTGTGCTTCAGCCCCAGTTGTATTAAGAGACTCGAGGGACAAGGCTAGACACATTGCACCAAATCAAACGGCGCATGTAGACTGGAATAACCAGACGCTAGAAATTTGCACTCGCTTGAGACGGCTGGCTTATTTCGCCGAACATAACTGATTTGAAATTGTAGTAAAACGGAAACCATTGAATGTAAATCAGTTTATATACATTCATATTACAGTATTATATGCGTTGTGACCCACTTTTGTCAATTTATAGGTCCCAAATGTTAGCGATTTAGCTCCTTTAAATAGAATTAACTGTCATATTCAAAACACGCACACAAAAAGGTACACACACTGCGTCAGTAATTTTCGGGGTCGTTTGCAACAGCAATAACTTGATTTTAATAATTTATTTGTTATAAGCGGCCGAGGAAAATTGTCAAGTGATTGATGGCGAATGCGAAGCTACGAATACTATTTTGTTAATAATACAGGGTTCCCGCGATCCTTGAAAATCCTTGAATATCCTTAAATTTAAAATTTCATTTTCAAGGTCTTGAATATCCTTGAATTTTGCGGAAATAGGAAAATATCCTTGAATTTCAGTTGAGATCCTTAATTTTGTTTCAAATGTCTTCAATTCCTTTTAAATAATAGATTATAACGATAGTTGGTAATGTTTTGGTTATTTTTAAGATGAAAAATTGTAACTTGAGGGTACAAAATGTCCTTGAATTTGACGTATATTTATCCTTGAATATCCTTGAAAAAATTGATTGGCTCTGTTAAAATCCCTCTGTAGGATGGGTTCTTGGCAACCAACATATAGTTGTTAGGTTGGGATGAAAACGGGGGTTCTTTGTATACAGTAGGCTGTTCGGGCAAAATTTCCGTCATAGCAGCACAGGAATGATGCATGTCCAGCTTCATTAGCCCAGTTGGAGTAGCCTGTTAATCCTGATTTCATTTAATTTTCAGAAAAACCCGTAAAGAAAAATAAAAAGGGCAAGAAAGAGGCTGAGCCAGAGGATGATGGTGACGATGACAGTGAAGAGGAAGCACCTGCTAAGGAAGAAGGTAAAAATAGAACTTAAACCTAAGAAAAAAATAAAACCAAATTTGTTCCTTATACTTTGTTAGTAGATTGTAGAGATGATGTCTGAGTATTTACACTGTAATTTCAAGTCTGACAAAAAAAGAAATCGGCATTGGTACAATTAAAACCTGTTAAATTCAAAGCACATTTTCAATGCACAGCTGAAGGTCACATATAAAACGAAAATGAACAGTGGAATAAGTTTGAATGCACTGCTGTAGGACAGGAGAATAATTCTGAATAATTGTTTTTCGTTTATAGAAAATGAACAATGGAATAATTTTGAATAATTTTGTTTATTTATAGAAAATGATTCAGATGAGGACTCTGAAGAGGAGGAAGAGGAAGAACAAAAACCAAAGAAACGAAAACAAGAAGCCGCAGACGAAACCCCAGCAAAAAAAACAAAAAGTGATGAAACCGGTGAGTTATATTTTTTTTAAACAGGGCCTGAAATGCTTTTAGTTGTACTGGACAATATATCAGACACTGACCTAGAACTGAAAATTTTGAACTTTTAGCTGTATCATTAACCCGTTAAGCAAGAGGTTTTTAAAACGTTAACAACCCCTTATTGTGTAATTAATTTGACGAAGTGACGAAGAACTATGTTCTAAGAATAGGTTGGGGAAAATATCTCCAAGGTGTTATATTATGCCCTACAGAGTGAGTGGCAGTTGTCCAGGGACGTAATATAACGCCCTACACATGCTGCGATCATGGGGGAATTCCCATAATAGGTTGGGGAAAATAACGCCCTACACACAGTGAGTGGCAGTTGTCCAGGACATTATATAACAGCCTACGCACTTAATGGGTTAATGTAATTTAGGGGGTTGGTGTGGTGGTTATAACGGCTGTTTACTCTTTATATTTATTTCATATGTTTCAAAATTGTTATATTTGATATTTTATGAATAAACCTCATTTAAACCAACAATTATTGGGCAGATCGATAGCCCCACAATGCCTATTCGTTAGTTTTCATTTGAATGAGTAGATTTAAATTAATTTTCTGATTTTGAATTTCTAGTATCCCTGTTTGTCGGTGGACTTGATTTTGAAACTACACCGGATACTATTAAAGATTTCTTCTCAGAAAATGGAATTGAATTAAGTGACGTTAGAAAGCGTGAAGGAAAGAGGTGAGCTAGTTTTATCCATGGCTTGTTAATGTTCTAGATCAAGTCTGTAGGTCCCGTGTTCGATCATGCTTTGACCGAGACAGTTAATCCGGATTTTCAGGAGTGCTTCCTCATAGTCACTAATATAGGACATGGAGGGCTTGGCAAGGGACAACTTAGTTGTTTGGATGGCACGAAAAACTACGATCCCATGCACTCATTGGCACGCACGTAAAAGAACCCTGACATTCGAAGTAAGAGTAGGGTTGCCTGTCAAACCCTGTGAGGTTTTTCCAGGTCCTTCAGTTTCCTCCCACTGCTAAAGACCCCTAAGTGCGAACACATTATTGAAATAAAATTAAACTTTAAGTCCTGAAATGGCCTAGTTTGTGTCGAGTGGAAGTTAAAATCTTGTTTCTCTCTATTGAGAAAAAATAAAAAAGATGTTTGCCAAGAATTGTACTTTGTGTAAATCCAGTTTTATCAATAAATGATTGTTTTGCAGATTTGGACATGTTGATTTAGAAGATGCTGATGATGTGGACAAAGCAATGAAACTCCATGGATCCGAGATCGATGGCTGCGAAATTAGAATTGATAAAGCTGACAAGAATACCTCAGGTAAACCTACAGGTTTTTGTGAATGAGATTTTTCCCCCTGTGCTTTGGGGGAATCATGGTAAGGCGCCGACTCGCTAGCCTGGAGGTCGGTTGTTCGATCCCTGCATTGGCCGAGAAAGTTCATCCAGATTTTCCGGCATGTTTTCCCTTGTCAGTGATACAGGACAGAGGGCATGACAAGGACAGCTGTCTAGTCGTTCGGATGGTATGATAAACCGAAGTCATGTGTACATATTGGCCTTCACGTAAAAGATCCCTTAACAGTTGGAATTCGATATAAGAGTAGGCCCTAGCGCCACTGCCCGAGCAAAATTTCCCTCGTAGCACACTGTATGGCGTATGCCGGTCTTCATTAACCCAGGTTACGAGCAGAACAGTAGGACGTTAAACCCCATTTCATTTCCTCTGTGCTTGATTATGTACCATTATGGATTTTGATGGTTAGGGGCAAGGGTGACTGTTTCCTCGGATGGACCACGTTTTTGTGGCATCTGAATGACAAAAATGAAATGAAATGGGGTTAACGTCCTACTGTTCTGCTTCTATGCTGGGCTAATGAAGACAGGTATGCGTCATACAGTGTGCTATGAGGGAAATTTTGTCATGGCAGCTGCACTATTGCCTTCTCTTATATTGAATTCCAACTGCCAAGGAATCTCTTACGTGCATTCCAGTGTTTACATGGGACCTCGGTTTTTCATCTATCCGAAGGACTAGACAGCTGTCCTTGTCAGGCCCTCCGTCCTGCATCACTGACAAGGGGGAACCACGCCGGACAATCTGGATGAACTTTCTCGGCCAATGCAGGGATCAAACACCCGACCTCCAGGCTAGCGAGTCGGTGTCTTAGCCACGTGCACCTAGACCGTTCGGATTGGATTAGAGGTCTCAAAATTAGCAAATTATTGACTGTATGTTCATACCCGTTCCATTTCATTTAGAATTGGGAATTGATGTTAATTTTTCTTTTATTTGCAGGTGGAGATCGTAGAAGCCAGGGAGGTGGACCTAAAGGTAAAACCCTAACAGCCAGAAACTTGTCGTACGATACCACAGAAGAAAGTTTAAAGGATTGCTTCGAGGGAGCTGTCAGTTGTCGAATCCCAACTTTCCCCGATACAGGAAAATCACGAGGGTTAGTGTCAGGTTTAGTCTTTTGTTTTGATGGATGTCATTAGTCATTCAAACGTCTGACCTGTCAAAAATATGTACTAATTGAATTAGACGGTTGTTTCGTAATTGAACTTCTGAGCACAACAAAAATTTAAATGCCTGATGGTATCTTGTCGTTAAAGATGTTATGGCAGGTCTTTTTGTCTTCAAAATGTTAGATAAACTATTTAAACATTTATTCACATGACAAGCCTATAAGCAACTCTCTAGATTATCGGATGGCCGAGATTAAAATGGATAAAAAAACCCATGGCAAAATATAAAAATGACAATAAAATGGATAATTGAGACTTAGCCTTGATTATCAAGTACTGTTGCTTCAGTAATAAACCTTTTTCACTACCGGTACTACTTCAATCTTGACTACTGTTCAGAATAAAGGAATATGAATAAAATTTTCAATATATCTGCATAGTGTTCAACTATTATAACAAGAAAGGACAGTTCTTCGTCTAAATTCTTATTCATCTAAATCTTAATGCATCTAAAACTTTAAAATTTTCTGAAATCTTACAGGACTTTGCCTTTAAATCTTGTAATCTTGTTTTATTTACAGACGTGGATTTATTGATTTTGAGTCTGAAGAAGCCGCCGAGTCTGCGATGAAAGTCATGAATGAAACAGAAGTTGATGGTCGAACTATCTATGTAGAATTTGCCCATGAACGAGGTAAATTGGTTGTTTAATTTTTTATATGCCAACATTGAATAATTTTTTATATGCCAACATTGAAATGTCGTATATTGTTGGCGTCCACAAGCTAGACATGCTAAAGTTAATATTTTATAGAGTGAATTCCCCCACGTTTCTTTTCATATTTAGGGTCTCATGGTGTTTGCTTGGCCCCTTTTCTATGGAATTCACTACCCTTGTCGGTTAGGCTGGCCAAGAAAGTTTCAAATCTCGGCTTAACATCTTTCAACAAGGTTTATTCTTTTCAGTAGAGAATGTATTCAAATGTAAAGCGCTGTAGGAACTGACATAGTTAATTTTATGCTGAACTCCCATTTTTTGATTAACAGGTAGTGGAGGAGGCGGTGGTGGAGGACGATTTGGAGGCGGAGGAGGAAGAGGCGGTCGAGGTGGTGGATTCCGTGGTGGTCGAGATTTTGGTGGACGAGGAGGTCGTGGGGGTGGATTCCGAGGTGGTAGAGGCGGCCGAGGTGGTGGCGGAGGATATGGAGGAGGCCGAGGTGGTGGCGGATATGGAGGAGGTGGTCGAATGGGAGGAGGTGGTAAGTTGGAAATCTTTATATAGAAAAGATATTAAATAATTGTAAAGCAAAAAAATTCTTGATTCATTATTGGTTGAAATTTTCGGGGTTTTGTGATATTTTGGCATTGGTTCAATCAAGGGAAATAACCCATTATTGTAGGAGTAGTTTCCCCTCTTTGGTTTTCTGATTTCATTTCCACTGCTATAGACCAATGCACAATGGAATTACTGAAGTAAATTGGAACAATAGGTTAATCCTGAAATGACAGGGATTGTGCTTACTGGAAAATAAAACCTTATTTCTCAAGTTGCTAATTGGGTGATTCTATTTCCCTGTTCTAGTCTCCTGATTGGGTAATACTTATTCTAATTCCCTGTTAGTGTCCTCTGATTTGTTTATTCTCTGCTAGTGTCCTCTTATTGGCTAATTCAAATCACCTGCTCAAATAAGTAATTCTAATTCATCGCTTTTGTTGCCGGCGATTGGGGAAATTCTAATCCTCTGCTCACCACCATTTGGGTAATTCTAATTCTCTGCCTGCCACTAATTGGGTCATTCTAATTCTCTTCTTCCCCCTGATATAATTTCAGTTCCATTTTCTTACACTTGTCTCTGGGCAATTCGATGTACAAAAGAATTTGCAATAATTATGACCATTTTTCTTTCGAAATAATTGACCGTGACTTTTCTCTTTTTCAGGATATGGCAAAAAGAAGACCTTTAATGATGACGATTAAACTATTGGCTATCAACAAAACCAAAAACCCAACATGAATTCATCCCTTGATTGGATAGAACCAGATCTATTGTACATAATTCAATTCTATTGGACAGATAAAATACTGAGACAAATTGACAGTTTGTTAGATGTTTTGATCATGAAAATTTTACAGAACTGAGCGAAAAACTTTATAGATGTGTCGGTGTATTTAAAAAAAATTTCATTCAAGGCTTGTAAAAAATAAAAAAAACATTACCCTGTGTTCAGATGTAGTTTAAAGAAATTTTATTGTTGTAAAATTTCACCTAGCTACAGATTATAAAAGTTTTATTTCTATCTTTTAACACGAATCAGATTTTTTTTTTTTTTATATTTGTTATGTAAATATTTTTTGTTATTTTTTAAAACTTTAATTTCTTTAGGTTATTAGATATTGTTGTAAATTTAAATTTGAGTTAACTGGAAAGTCCATTCTGGCCATATAAAACCAGGGCACAAGTTCACAAAGAATTTACTCAACTTTCAATCACTTTTTATAAGAAATATCTTTGATCCAGAAACGCAAAACTTTTCAGTTTCTTATTGATGTATTTGATAAGTTTTATAAAGGGATATATTTTAGTTCAAATAAGGCGAACAATTTTGAGTAAATTCTTAATTCTGAGAATGCTTTGTGAACTCCGTTGCCAGACCTTTTCATTTATCTTAAATTTAATTTTCTTTAAATAATGCCTAGTAATTAAATATTGTTTCATTTTATAAATTGACCTAAAAATATTTGGATGTGCTCTATATTTAGAAAATTAATGTTTACTTCTTTATCCGGACAAAAATGTCATGTGTAGCCGTATTCTATTCCAGACCTATCGAAAAGGGTTGGAGTCATGTCATCACGATCGTCAGTGCTTCATTTAAAATATCGTTCTTCATTTGTAAATATCCATGCTATACTACATTAAATTAAATCTTGTTTCGGAGCCATGAATTTGCATCTGGGTGTCGAGTCCTGATTGCAAACACGGTTTTGCAGAACAATGGAACCACATTATCCTCCTGTTCAATTGATCATAGGAAGTTTCTAGTGTCATTTATACCATCAATGTACTGCTCTTTTTTAAAAGGAGAAGAAAAAATAAAATTCAAATTCAGGATGTTTTATTTCGTTTTATTCAAGGGAGCAACGGTTGCTAAGTGGGTAAGGCGCTGGCTCGTTAGCCTGGAGGTAGGGTTTTCGATCACTGCATTGGCCGATAAAGTTCATCAGGTTTTTTGGACAATTTGCAGGACGGAGGGCCTGTCTATTCGTTTGGATGGGATGGAAAACCAAGGCCCCATGTATACATTGGCAATTGGCATGCACATAACGATTCCTTGGCAGTTGGGTATCCATATAAGAGTAGACCATAGTGCTGCTCCTCGGGGGGCGGGGGAAATTTCCCCTTATAGAACACTATATGCCTGTCTAAATTGGCCCAGTCCCATCGGAACAAGAGGACATTCAACCCTATTTTATTTCATTCTTTGATTAAGGAAGCGGATGTTCAGAGTAAAAGGATGTTACGGGGCATTGCTTGTTGCGGGAATTCCATGGTGGCATTTCATTAGGTTCTGGTTACAGGTTATTTGGGTGATCAAGGGAGATAATTGGAATAGCGAGACATTGACAATCACTGTCCTGCTGCCAAGATTGCAGTCTTTTCATATTTGTGTTAGTGTGTCCTTGGGGGGGGGGGGGGGGGGGGTATAACATTTACTATCACATTTAGGCGGTACTTTTTCTTTCTTAATTTGCTGAAACAGTTGATGGATCCATAGAAAATCTACAATTCCTGCAGTTATAAATTGGGATTGACTCAGACCTCTGACCTAGTGATCTGAAGGACACCGTTTCAGCATTTGGACATTGAAAATGCATTCTTTCCACCATGAAATTTCCAAGATCGCTGCCCGTAATATGGAGAAATTGGGCGAAACATCACCGGGCACTTAACTTGAGTCGGTTTTCTCTGTTGGGTCGCCAGTCCAACGTCGTGAGTTCTCTTAGTCCTCCGATTTCCTTCCACTGCTATAGACCACTACGCGCAAGCGAATTATTGAAATAAATTGAACCATATGTTAACCACGAAATGACCTAGTTTGTATCGAGTGGATGTTAAACCCCATTTCTCTCTCCCCTGTGAAGGGTTCTTACATGGAACCTTTTCTGGTCCCATCCAAACAACTAGATACTGTTCTGTTCCCTGAGGCGGATAAAATTCAGTAAATTTATCGGCCAACAGTGGGATTGATCCACTGTGGCTGCTGCATAAAGAATGAAAACGTATATCTCCCCCCCCCCCCCGTAAGTTAATTTGATGGTTTTAAAGACATTTTAAATATGTAAGTAAAGCTAGGCACAAATGTTGAAAACTATTTGCTTTATATATCCAGAGTGGGGGTTGGATGGCGAGTGGTGTTAAAATATAAAGCCTTATTAGGCCTAGGCCTACACAATTATGAATCAATACACAGCCCCATCTTAAAGATGTGTTGTGTAAGAATTAGATAGGCCTAAAGAGCTGACAGGTTTGAAAATAGATAATGGAAAAGGAATATATGTTGATTGATATCTTCAGTGAAATTACTTCATTTCTGGGCGAAGTTTTGACTATTTGAAGAACAGTGTAGTCTCGATTTTCATTGCTACCGTTGTTACGATAACAACAAAGCCTCGATTTCAATCCGTTCAAAATCCCAACCACCGATAATATAGAGAGTATTATGAGCTTGTCATGTGAATAAAACTGTCTAATTTTAAATAATTTATATAAAATTTGAAGCAAAAAGTTCTGCAATAGGCAGATATTTATCGCTTAAACATATGCATAAATTTTAATTGTTAAAGAATAATTCTTATTAATCCCAGAATTCACTCTCTATTTTGTCAGTGTAGAGATAGACAAATTTATCATTTGGGCTATCGATCTTCTTAATCAATAAATGCCGTGGTATACTGACATTTTTGATGATCGTATTATAGACAACACGTACGCCATACAGTGTGCTATGAGGGAAATTTCCCCGGGCAGCGGCACTATGACCTACCCTTTTTTTCATCGAATTTCAACCGCCGTTGCCAAGGGATCTTTTAGGTGCACGTCACGGGACCTCAGTTTTCCCTCCCATCCGAACGACTAGAGTAGACAGCTGTCAATTGTCAGGCCCTCCACGTGAATATAAGCAAGAAATGTAGACGCTATTCAGTATAGTACAAAGCATGAAATATTTTATGTACACGCTTCCATTTTCGTAAAAGTTTCATACACAATCAATAATGTAATGTAATGTAATGCAGATGTAGGGTCTCTTTTCTAGTTGTCGAAATTTATCGAGAAATGCCGATTGCGACGGAATCTGTATAAATTCTTTAAATTTCCAAGGGAGGTAAATCTTTGTAACCGGAAACACGTGTTTTTATTTACAAGCTTGTTTATTATATTATTTTGTTGAATTTGCGCACTGTTAATCATTAAAATGCCCAGTAAAATGACAAAAAAGAAGAAAAATACACAAACAAAAGTTGTAAGTATTGAATAAGAACACGACAGATTTGATATGGTTCTATTTTAGGTCTAAAATGATGGCACGTTTTCGAAAATACATGAAATAGGCCAACACCACCATTAACTGATTCAGAGAAGAAATAGTCAATTTCATTATGGTTAGGCCTATCCATTTTGTGTGAGAGAGAGAGAGAGAGAGGTTAAATGTCCATTCGACACAAACTAGGTCATTTTGGGACTAACGCATGGTTGACTTTTATTTCAATAATTTGCTTGTTGAAAGTAGAATATTTACGACTTAAAGTTGAAAAGATGGACGTATTAGGTTGAAAAGCACGAGCGGTATATGTTTCCCACACGAAAATGTCCATTTTGGATAAGAATTTTCTCTTTGGCTTTTTATTTTCTACTTTCTACTGCAGATCGCATTTTGAACCTGATACCCCGCCATACATTTATTATGGTTGATGTGACCATAATTGACCCTAAATCTATCACTATTTCAACTCTGTCTCAAATCACATGAATTACATGTACTACCATGTTTCATTATTTTAATATGTTCCTGGGACCAAATATTATAATCATTTCTGGATAAAGACGATAGAGTGTGACAAAATCCGACATTCACGCTACACGATAGTTGTAGGGAAGGGAAGTAACTTGTGTAAGATTTTCTATTAAACTCATACTGGAAAATGACAGACAGTAGAGGATTTATGACTGACATTGTCAGAGACATTTGTCTTCTTATTCCCAGACTTAATTGTCGACTATTATCTAAAAATAATCATAATCGGGGGTAGTTGGAATTCGATATAAGGGTAGGCTGTAGTGACGCTGCCTGGGCAAAATTTCCCTCATAGCACACTGTATGGCGTATGCCCGTCTTTAATAGCCCAGTTCGGAGCAGAACAGTAGGACGTTAAACCCCATTTCATTTCATTTCATTTCTAAAAATAATCTTTCAAAATTCAATTCAATTTGAATATTTTTTTTTATTTTCATAAGAAGAAAGAAAAACTTGTAGAAACAGTTGAATCAGAAGAGGAAATGGAGGAGGATGACAGCAGTGAGGAGGAAACAGAACAATTAATAAAACAAGAAAAGATGAAAAGAAAAGATGTCGAGAATGATGATGATGATGATGACGATGATGATGATGATGATGATGAAGAAGAAGAAGAAGAAGAAGAAGAAGATGATGATGATGATGATGATGATGATGATGATGATGATGATGATGATGATGATGATGATGACGACGAGGAGGAAGAAGTTATGCAAGGTAGGCTTCTGATTCTAATACCCAGTATTAATGTTGTTGGGTGTCATACACAAGACAGGTTATGCTTTCTAGTATTTCTTGATCAGAGCTATACTATATACCGCAAAACACCGGAAAACAACCGGAAAACACCATGTTATACTGAATACCGGAAAACACCGGAAAAACACTAAATACCGGAAAACACCCTAAATAGGTAACCCTAACCCTAACCCACCGCTGGTCCTCTGGAAAACACCGGAAAAACCTAACCCTAACCCTAACCCACCGCTGGTCCTCTGGAAAACACCGGAAAAACCTAACCCCAGCCCTAACAATAACCCTAACTCTCCGCAAACAGAGGACCAGGCTTTTTGTTACCTATTTAGGGTGTTTTCCGGTATTTAGTGGTTTTCCTGTGTTTTCTGGTATTCAGTATAACATGGTGTTTTCTGGTGTTTTCTGGTGTTTTCCGGTATATAGTATTGCCGCTTGATCACCTGATACCAGAACTACAAATTTTGCACTGGACATGTATTAAAACACAGAAAAACAAAGACTTGTGCACCAAGAGTGATAAACCCTGATATTTTTCATTTGGGGAGATCACGTGGTTAATAAATAGTACAGCAAAAAGCGCTCAGACGATAAGATTCATAAACAGGTCAATATTTACCAAGAAAACAAATAATTGACATGTCCTAGGAATAAAACTGTTTTATTGATGTGTATGAAAATAAGGACACAAAAGATATAAGAGTGTTTGTGTATACATCAGGGCTGTCGGTAATTTTTCACAGATGATTAGCAGCACTGCTAATCAAAAAGTCCAATTTTGCCAAATTTGATTAGCAAATTTAAAAATTGATTAGCAGTTTTTCAGTTTCAAATCCACATAAAACACCTAAATAACAAGATTATTTTAATTTTAATTGATAGCAAATGATTAGATTTCATTCTTAAGATTTTTTTAGAATGTTAGCACTTCTACAGCTAGCTGTGAACATTTCTGAATGAATGTAGACTTTTGTTAGGCCTTACGTCTGAAGCCAATTCTTGGCAGTGGCTTCTTATTTCTTCGTTAGAAAACAATTTCGTCTGCTTTTTATCGTGTGTTATTATTTTTGTTCAATCGGAAGCACGCGGTATTTTACGAATAATCTCGATTAACTAGACGCACGCGATATAAACAATAATAGTTTACGGGAAATCTTACTTTGATTTCTCACTTTACAATACGTTTACACGTATTTATTTTTTATATTTTATTTACAATACGTGGGGGATACACTGAATGTATTTTTTTTCAAATTGAATACTGATATAATTACTCGAAATTGACATGTCTCGCAACGTGAGTGGTACTACTTGATTCCCTATTTCCGGTTTAATAGTCCCGATTCATAGAGTTATGTCCCTGTATTATATAGTATCATGAATTGAGTCTGGGTAGTTCGAGAAGAAAATGTCACACGGAGAATTCCGTTTTGTTTATTAAATTTATTTGATATTTTATACGCGTTGAAAGTGTTGAGAAATGTGGATAAATCTTTGTGTCAATATCCAAAATGACGGGCATATTATTGATTCGCAGTTACTGCGAATCAAAAACGTTAGATTTTAATTTTTGATTAGCAACGGACAAAATATGTATCGCAAATTGCGCTGCGATACTGGTTGTCGGCAGCTCTGGTATACATGTATGTATTGTTTAATGGTCGAGAGCGAGACATTAAGTATATTGAAACGGCACGGCCCTCGTGTTGTTTTAATATACTATGCAATGTCTTAAGCTCGAGACCATTAAACAACTTAAAATACAGACACTCCGCACATGCTTTTACAGTGAAATATGTCAATATTTCTCTAGTATAAATAATGTACGATTGGCAAGTTGCCTGTACGATTATTTGAAATAATGGTACGCCAGCATCAAAGGGTGACGTCACATCTGTATTTTAAACATAGATAATGTGTGATATGGATAATTACTGAAGCGACAAAAAAAAATATAAAAAAAAAAATCATGATACATCGATTCAGCATGTTGTAAATCGTGAGAAGGTGAATCGCGATACATCGATTCAACAGTATATCGTGTCAAGACTGATTTATATAAAGATAATAATATTTTATTTTCTAGAAACTGTAACAGCAAACAATAAAAGAAAACGCCCAACACCAGAACAAAAATCTGCTAAAAAAAAGAAAACAGGAGAAGCAGGTAAATCTATATTTATCTATGTTTATTTGTCATTACCTACAACAATCTGATTAAAATACACATCTATATTTCATTTCATTTTTTTTTTATACTTTCGATGGCCTAACAGCAGGGGCGTAAAAATATTTTTGAATCCACTAGCCCAGGGCTAGTAGTCTACTGTCAGGCACTAGCCCGGCATTAATAGCCACTAGTCCATAGTTTGACAAGGTACAAGATTTAATTAATCGTTTTTAATAATGATCGTAGACTTAATTGATTGCCTAATAATTAAGGATGTATACGTCTACTCCGTTAACCCGTCACGGTTCGGTTACACTGGTGAAACGGTTTAAAAAAAACTACAAACCGATATTCGTTTTCATATCTTATCTGACCTTCAAAACCAGGAATGGTAGCCACAACTATGTTTTCTTTCACTAAAGACCATGTAAATACTTCATATAGCACATGTCATTTATAATATATCATGGTAAATTAGCGTCCTTTAATTCCCGCTCGAAGATTTGTATATGTTACGTTATTATTAGCACTTACTGCAAAGCAGGAAATAGCCTCGACTGATTGACAAATTAATTGTTTTACCGTATTTGTTCACCTGGTCACTCTATAAAGAGTCTCAAAATGAAACAAATCAGTTTGATGTGCTGATATAATATTAAAATAGACAGGATAGTAAAATTGTTTATATTATCACTCGAGTGCCATGCTGTGTGCCGATAGGGTCAAAGTTGAAGACACACAGGTCACTGGAACCAATCATCATGGCGTGTGTGTAATGAACACGTGTAGTAAATTCTTTGGAAATACCTGACATGTTAAATAATCAAAATTATCTTGTATTTAAAAATACAAAGGTATGCTTTCAAATATTTACATGTATGTCAGAACTAATCTAATATAAAGTATAAGTGAGTCTTTTGTTTTTAAATCAACCTGATTTCAACTGGTTTATACGTGACCTGTCAAAGCGTGCAAGATGGAGAAATGAAATGTCAAGAATGAATGAATAGAAGGGGTACAAAAAATGTCCATATAGCTCTAAGTTTTACTACAGAAAATCTTTTGTTATGATTGAGTTTTCCTTGGAATTTGAGAAATAAATGTGGGATGTTTTACAGTTTATTTATCTCTATCGCCACTAGTTTAATTCACAAACTAATGAAAGGGCACTAGCCCAGGACTAGTACGGCTAAATAGATCACTAGCCCGTAAGTTATTTTTGGTAGCCCCGGGCGTCGGGCTAGTGGATTTTTACAACCCTGCCTAACAGACCGTTTCATTGGCTAATCCCTCACATCCACTACAACGCCTGTTATATAACAACTCTTCCAGATCCTTGTGTAGTAAAGACAAATTAAAATGAAATTTTGAACTATAAAAAATGAAACGAAATAGGTTCTGTGTTTTAATTGTACCTACAAAGTATGCCGTCAGATCATTACCTAGGTTACAGGTTCGATCCTAGTGCTAGCCAAGACATTTGTTAGTGATTTTCCAGCGCCTGTTGTCTGTGATGCAGGATAAAAAGCCCGGCAAGTAGAGGTGTAGAGTCATTAGGATGGGACCATTGGCAGTAGTTCTGAGTATTTCTATCCACATCTGAGTACAATGTTATCTCTGCCAATCTAGAGAAAAACACATGATCATTTGTATGGGACAGAAAACCAGGTCCACTCATGTACATTTTGACATACTATACACATAAAAGAGAGAAATGGGGTCTAATGTCCACTCAACACAAACTAGGTCTAGTCGGTACTAACATATGGTTCTATTTTATTTTGATAAATTTCTTGTTACTAGGGGTCTTTAGCAGTGGGAGGAAACTTGAGGACCCAGAGAAAACCCAAAGAGGTCAGACAGGCGACCCTACTCCTTGTCACGTACAAGCGGGGAATCGAAACCACGTTGCTTGACCCAATGACAAACTTTGTGATTCATGCCACTTGACTCAAATCACTAGACCACCCAACTTCCCCGTACATGAAATAACCCTTGACATTAGTTGGGTTGGTGCCGAGAGTAGGACGTTAAACGCCACGTTTCATGATTTGAAACTACGATTGCCAGAAAGATAGAGTTAGCCGTATTGTGTTGACATCAATTTTATTAGAATCGGCCATAGAAAGCAGGCCTAGCTATGGACTTGAGAATGATGTGTGTCTGTCTTTCAGCCTATTTAGTAGTCGGTGGTTTAAGTGAGAAGACGACAGGTGGAGCTGTAAAAATGTTTTTTAAACGAAGAAATATTCAAGTAACGGAAGTCATCAAAGTCCCGGCTAAAAAGTAAGTAGGAGTGAGACAGAGAGGTGGAGGGAGAGTTGAGAGAGAGATAGGGATTGAGATGGGGAGAGATAGTGACAGACATTGAGAGAGATTGCGAAACTAACATCTATATTTTGATGATTCGCTTGCACTTATGTAAACTGTTAAAAACATCAACTTTGATGCCATAAAACATTGTTTGAACTTTTCTAGCCTGGTTCTCCTGTGGTGCAGGATGTCCACTGACAACAGGAGGGCCTGGCAAGGGAAAGGCATCTTGTCATTGATAGTTGTGATTAAATGAAAAGTAGGCAGAAGTAGGAGGTTACATGGTCCAATCCCACTGTTGGCCGAGAAATTTCAAAGTGATTTTCCCATCCGTCTGTGGTGCAGGTTAATTGGCCTGGCAAGAAAAAGCCTTGAATCATTTGAATGAGTCAAAATGGCATACTCTTCACAGTGTTTCGTTTGATTAGACCTAATCCCACTCAAAACTGCCGTAATAAAAGCAAATTTCTGTTCCAAATTATGACTGGTCAATAGTCCGATTAACCACCAATACCTAAGTATGTAACTATATGATTCGCGTTTAAACAAAGCTCCAACCAGTGCATAGCAGAATATTGCAGAAGAACTAATTGCATGACAAATGTAAACACTACTGTTTGGAGACGAACAATACTTTCACTGTTTTTAATACCTTAAATGTCCATAGTTTTAGGGAAGATCCCAGATTAAACAAAGGGCTGTCATGTTGCTGTACTTAGAGATTTGACTGAAAGGGAAGAATGGACACACTCCCTCAAAAGTTCAAGTATCAGAAGTCAATCCAGCAATGGCCAGAGAGGGATATGCAAAATTGAGATCCTGTGAATACCATTGGCAGTACATTAAAGGATACCACATTGCCATATTGGTATCGAAATGTAAACAATGTATTTTTAGCTGGCTGTTTTCCTGTAGAAAATACAAATCTATAATACACCTGACTCTGTCTATTAAAAGGATATCCTCGATATTTATTCCTCTAGTTATGCTATCAACATCGGTTTGTTGTTTATTTTTACAGGGTGATGTATTTAGTATTAGAGAATGCTGATCAACTGTCGAAAGCTTTAAGAGCTAACAATAAAAGATTACATGGTATGAAGATTAAAATAGAGAAAATAAAAAAATTACCCAGTCAAAGTAGGTGGATTTATATATTTTATATGATAAACATTCTTATAATTAAAAGCGTGGGGGGGGGATGGCCGAATGGTTAGCACATGAGCGCTGCATCATAAGGTCTGTCATTGAGTCAACTGGCATGGTTTCGATTCCCTGGTTGTACGTGACAAGGAGTAAGTTTGCCTGTCCAACCTCATGGGTTTTCTCCAGGTCCTCCTGTTTCCTCCCACTGCTAAAGACCCCTACGCGCAAGCGAATTTCTGAAATGAAATTGAACTATGTGTTAGTCCCGACGTAACCTAGTTTGTGTGGAGTGGAGGTAAAACCCTCTCTCTCTCTCTCAGTGGTACAGGGCGGAGGTCTATTTATTGGAGGGGATGAAAAACCGAGGTCCTGTGTACACATTGGAGTACATATAACCCTTGTTGGAATTTGATGTGCACATATAACAAGGAACCCTTGGCGAGAGTAAGCAGAAATGCTGCTGCCTAGACAAATTCTTCCCATTGCATTGAAGCTGAAGGAGAAATGTCCGGTTTCACAATGCATTCACAGAATTAAGTTAAGAATTAACTCAACTTTCAGTCACTGTTTATGAGAAATATCTTTTGGTCCAGAAACACAAAACTTTGAACATAGTTTCTTATCGATGTATTGGATACATTAAAACAAAAGTTTATAAAGGGCTATATTTTAGTTAAAATAAGGTGTACAATTTTGAGTAAATTCTTAACTTCTCGGGGCCTGAATGCTTAAACCCACCCTAATTGCTAATAATTCTAAGTGTCATAGAATAATTTATTTTCTATTGTGGTTATCTAGATGAATTATCCGAGGCAGGTGAACCTAATAAAGATTTATTGGTGAGAAATTTATCGTTTGATACACGACAAGATCAACTGAAAGTAGTGTTCGAGGGATGTAAATCAGTCAAATTGTTATTTTATCAAAACTCTGAAAGACCGAGAGGGTAAGTAGGCCCCGATTATTCCCGACAAAATTCTCATTATTTACTGAATAGTAACTAACATTAAAGCGCTTGCGTGTTTTGTTTTTTTTTTACATTTTTCGAACTATATCAAATTTTCCAGCTTCAGAAATTTTTTTAAATAATGCAAAGTAATTATGTGAACATATCCTTTCCATATCTCAAATGTCATTGTTACCTGCCACAGGTAGTGAGTAGTCATAATTGTACACCAATAAACAAACGGTGATGTAATTTTAGTCCTTCTACTCATATTCTAGTCTGTTTCTATGAGCAGAAGGACTAAAATGATGTCACAGATTGTTTATTGATGGAAAGTTAGGACGTTGAAATTTATCTGTGGCAGGTAACATTGACATTTGGGATCATTTTATACTTATGGAAAGGATATGTTGACATTATTACTTGCATTATTTAAAAAAATTATGAGGCTTTTCCGGTGACCTTTAAAGCTAAAATGTACTGAAATTGAAATACGTATTAGAGTAGACCATAGCATTGCTGTTCAGGCAAAATTTCTCTTCACATTGTGTTTTTAAATTAAATTATAAAGAAATGTAAACAAATTATGTCAAAGTCGAAGAAATAAAACTGCTTTATATCACGATATTGATATGGATCAATTTAAGGACCAAAACAATTTAAGAGTTTATGTGTACCTATGGATAATGTGTGGCAGGTTACTTACTGAAGCGACAAAAAAACATAATAAAAAGAATCACAATACATCGAATCAGCGTCTCGCGATTCATTACATGCTTCATGAGAAGGTGAATCGCGAAACATCGATTCAACAATATATCGTTCCAGTACTACACCCCAGCTCCTTATTCATATCGTAAAATGAGCTGGTTGGTACGTAAAAATAGGACAGTAAACCCCATTTTATTTTGTTTTATTGACCTATCTATCATTATTATAACAGGTTGGCGATTGTAAATTACGAAAATATAGAAGATGCCGAGGCTATCATGAAAAAAGTTAACGGACAGGAATTAGATGGAAGAAAAATATTTGTTTGTTACGCTCTAAAAAAACGTAAGTTATTAATGATATATTTACCGATGTAAGAAAATCAATTCATGGTTCCAAATTTAATATTGATCTGTGTTTTCTTATGAAATATTCCTAGATTGAGGTAACATAATATCTACTTCTACTGAAGTAGAGGTTTGCTACGCCTATTCCTCCTAGTACGAAAAAACGAGTTCCGGGTACATATTGGCGTGCATGTAAAAGATCCCTTGGCAGTCGGAATTCGATATAAGAGTGGGCTGTAGCTCTGCTGCCCTGGCAAAATTTCCCTCATAAACCTCATTTCATTTCATTTATCCCAGTTGTGTTGGGTGGTCTAGTGGTTTAACGTGTGTGCGTGAAATCTTAAGGTCTGTTATTGAGTCAAGTGGTGTGGTTTCGATTCCCCGCTGTTACGTGACAAGGAATAGGGTTGCCTGTCCAACCTCGTAGGTTTTCTCAGGGTCCTCTGGTTTTCTCCCACACCTAAAGACCCCTATACATAAGCAAATTATTAAATAAAATTGAAACGTGTGGTAGTCACGAAATGACCTATTTTGTGTTGAGTGGAAATTAAACCCCATCTCTCTTTTCTCTCTCCCCCTCCCCCTCTTCCCCCATCCCCCATTCCACCCTGGCTGATATCACAGACAAATGTGTACTAAGAAACTTGCCATAAGGGCTAGGCAGAATTGAGAGGCAAATCCAACATTTGTCAGGGGAAGGAGGACGAAAAAGAAATTCGCAGCCCCTATCTCAGTGAAAAAAAAAAGCACAATTGTGCCCTATGGTGGCAAGCAGGGACAGACCCATGATTTTATCTAGAAAGGGTTTATAAAAAAAAGGTGCTGTGGGCGCCATTCTTGTTATTGTTTCTATTGTTTAAATCATATCAAAAGGGATTTTCGTGGAAGAAAGCAGAGGACTAGGTATTAAAATTGATCTGTCACACCTTCTAATTAAACTAGAATCTTGTAGAAGTTAATTAGCTGATAGGCATTTTCTCCTTAGAGAAAAGCAATCTGATTCATTGAGACTTTGGGTTACAATAACTCTGGTTCTAACTGAGTTAGAAGGTGTTTATTAACTGAATGACTTGTGGGTTTTGTTTTAGAAAAGAAAAATAGAAACAAGAGGAAGAGACCATTACCAGGAGGTATAGGAATGAATGATAGTAAAGAAGTTATAGAAGCGAAGAAAAAGAAACATCAAGGTAGGATTTTAGATTTTAAAATTTAATAGTAAGTGCAGGAGGACCGCACTACACACAAACTAAACCGATAAGACAAACCAGGGGACAAGACCAACTATGTAGGTATTGCTAGATATAAACAACAAATATCAAATCAAGTGGGGGGTTGGATGGCCGAATGGTTAGCATGTGCGCGCTGTATCATAAGGCCTGTCATTGAGTCAACTGGCGTGGTTTCGAATCCCTGGTTGTACATGACAAGGAGTAGGGTCGCTTGTCCAGCCTTACTGGGTTTTCTCCATTTCCTTCAGTTTCCTCCCACTGCTAAAGACCCCTATGCGCAAGCGAATTATTGAAATAAAAAGGTTGAACCATATGTTAGTCCCGAAATGACCTAGTTTGTGTCAAGTGGACGTTAAACCCCATTTCACTCTCTCAATTACAAGAAATGCGTAATTGAAATAATGCGACCGTTCTTGGTCGTATCCGTAATGGCGATAGTCTGCCAGTTGACATCATGAGTTAGAACATCAAACAATTAACGGCAATAGAGTTCCGTTGACCGGTCCCACATATTTGAATATGCCAAGTCATTATTAATAATGCGACCGGTCTTGGTCGTATCTAGAATGGCGATAGTCTGCCAGTTGACGTCATCAGTTAGAACATAAACGACAGTAGAGTTCCGTTGACTGGTCCCAAATTGTTCTCACATATTTGAATATGCCAAGTAATCATTTGGATGCTATTTGAATATTAGATTCAATAGAAATGATCAATTTTTGGTTGGTTTTCAGCGCATTTTCATAATTAGACAAAATAAACATTCTAATTTATTTATTTTTTTGACAGAAAAGAAGAAACTAAAGAGAGAAAGGAAAATGAAGAAGAAAATGGAGGTGGAATAAACTATATCAAAAACATTTAAAACAAAAATCTCAAAATATTTGGACATATGTTGGGAGGTGCTACAATAACAAACAAGTTTCCAATAGTGAGAGAAAACCATTAAGTAATTATACAGCCAGTTCCTCCAATAATGTTTACCAAATTTACAAGTCTCTCATAGTAGACAGAATCTTCCAGTAATTACAGCAGACACCTATAATCTTGACCCAATTTACCAGTCTCTCACGGTAGACAGAATCTTCCAGCACCTGTAAGACTTAAGGGACAATCAAGATATCAGAGTTTTTGTTATGACAGATAAGATACTAATTAACATTTCAGACCACATTTGCTCATTGAGAATAATCTGATGACATAAAATTGAAAGTAGGACTTAAAACCTGTATGTTATATTTCATCCATACACATTGGATGATTTCATTTTCATTAATTTGACTTTATGTTCAAAGAATGTATATAAAATGAATTTAAATAACTTTGTGATTTTTCCTTTGTGTTGGTCAAGAAATGTTCTTCAAGATTTACCAGCCTAGTTTCAGGACGGAGGGAATGGGCAATAAAAAGTGTCCAGTCGTTTGAGTTAGTGCTGGCTGCTTGGTATTACCACTGCAGTCACGATATGATACGTATTGCGATTCAATTACTACGATACAATTCGTATCACGATTCATAAACAGGTGAATATTTACTATGAAAACAACAGGATAAATGATTAATTGATATTTTTAGTCCAGCTGATGTCAAAGAAATAAAATTGTTTTATATCACGATATTGATGTGGATCAAAATAAGGACCGAAACAATTTAAGAGTGTTTGTGTACCTATGGATAATGTGTGATATGGATAATTAAGAGTGTCAGGTTAATTACTGAAGCGACAAAAAAATAAATAAAAAAGAAACATGATGAATTGATTCCGCGTCTTGCGATTCAGTACACGAATCGTGAGAAGGTGAATCCGGATATATTGTGTCAGCACTAGTTTGAATGGATTAACCTTGTGTAGGCTACCATTGGAAACTAAATGAAATGAAATGGGGTTTAACGTCCTACTGTTCTGCTCCTAACCTGGGCTAATGAAGACGGGCATACGCCATACAGTGTGCTATGAGGGAAATTTTGCCCGGACAGCGGCACTACGGCCTACTCTTATATTGAATTCCAACTGCCAAGGGATCTTTTACGTGCACGCCAATGTGTACACGGGACCTCGGTTTTTCGTCCCATCCGAACGACTAGACAGCTTTCCTTGTCAGCCCCTCCGTCCTGCATCACTGACAAGGGAGAACCACGCCGGAAAATCTGGATGAACTTTCTCGGCCAATGCAGGGATCGAACACCCGACCTCCAGGCTAGCGAGCTAGCGTCTTACCCACTTAGCCACGTGATCCTCTACCATTGGAAACACACTAAAGATCCCATGATAATAGAAATAAGAGTAGGTTATATTGCAGCTGCCCAGGCAGAATTCTTCTCATGACAAACTGTATGTCTTCTTTAGTCCAGTTAATGCAAGAAAGTAAAACCCCATTTCAATTTCTTTAATACTGCACCCAATCAAGTTCAGGGGTCACGGTGGCTAAGTGGGTAAGACACTGGTTCGCTAGCTTGGAGGTCGGGTGTTCAATCCCTGCATTGGCCGAGAAAGTTCATTCAAATTCTCTGGCGTGGTTCCCCTTGTCAGTGATGCAGGGCGGAGGGCCTGACAAGGACAGCTGTCTAGTCGTTCGGATGGTGCGAAAAACCAAGGTCCCGTGTACACATTATTGGCGTGCACTTAAAAGACGCCTTGACAGTTGGAATTTGATATAAGAGTAGGCCGTAGTGCCGCTGTCCGGGCAAAATTTCCCTCATAGCACACTGTATGGCGTATGCCCCCGTCTTTATTAGCCCAGGTCAGAGTAGATCAGTAGGACGTTAAACCCATTTCATTTCAATCTAGTTCAGAGGGAAATTGTTGCAATCAAGTTTAGAGGGGAAATGGCCCTAACTCATTTCATTATAGAAAGAAGACTGGATGAATTATTTCTCCTTTATTCAACAATCATAGATATATGTAGTATATTTATATATATAAATAAGTATATAACATTTCATCAAACAAGAACCCCATTTATTCACAATATGAGATTTATCTCATAAAATTTTAAATCAATTTAGATCAATTATGGAGATCCCTTTTTCAATCTTTGCTGTAAATATGGGACCTTAAATTTTAAATCAATTTAAAAGAAAAGATATGGAGATCCCGTTTTCAAACTGTGCTGTAAATATGGGACTTTAAATACAGCCCTGCAAACAAACATGAAAATAAATATATTATACAGAATAAAATATAGAAATCTTTAACTTGAACAACAAGATCGTGTGTTGTGGAATATATCTATAATCAGAAGCATAACGAAATCACTGACTGGATAGTGTCCCTTGCCAGGCCCTGTTCAACTGTGACACAAGATCTCATCGTCTAGTGGAATGATATCTATAATAAAATTATTTTATTATTCAAAAACAAAACAAAATCTGTTCCTTGCCAGGCCCTCCAGAAAGATATTTATTTTGACATATGTCACCTTGATCAAACATACATTATGCAAGAGCTAAATCTGCCAATTGCAGGTCTTTCTTTAGGCCTGAAATGGTGTCTTAATTATTAATTAGACATTAATTAACTTATCCAGACCATAATCAACTCTTCGATGTCATTGCTAGCCTGTGATATTTACTGGATTATAATCCGATCTGCTGTTCAATGCTCATTCATAATGTATCTTTAAATATTGAATATTAAGCTTTCAAAGTTAGTTCAGATCTAGACTCTTGTTTCAGTCATATTAACCAGTTTTTGACTGACTGGCAGTGAAATTTGACAGGCTAGAGAATTTACCTGTTAGTCAATTTAAAGGACATACAATTTAAACACAATAAATACAAATCAATTTATAATGTATAAACGAACATTGGGACAATGCTAAAATTGTTATATTCTTGGGGCAAAAACTTCCTGCTAATCCAAGGAAATCAAAATATGTCTTTTTGACTGACTGGCAAACTCTTAAAACAAAAGCTCTCTACCAGAGATAGAGAGAGAAATGGGGTTTAACATCCACTTAACACAAACTAGGTCATTTCCGGACTAACATATGGTTCAACTTTATTTCATTAATTTGCTTGCGCGTACAGGTCTTTAGCAGTGGGGGGGAAACCGGAGAATCAAGAGAATACCCACGAGGTTTGTCACATAAAAGCAGGGAATCGAAACCACGCCACTTGACTTAAGGACAGACCTTCTGATCCAACGTGTACATGTTAACCATTCCCCCCCCCCCCCTTCCAGTCCCAGATGGTACACTATACTGTATTTGAGGGAATAACATGGGTTATCTTTCAACTGGGTCCACCACAGTTCATCCTAGTTCATCAGCTCTGGTATTTACCAAGTTAGACTCTTTATTCTTTTTGTTCTTCAGCAAAATGAATTATTACCCTCTCACATCTGATTTCCTGACGGAAATTTCTTTTTTTTTTTTTTATAAGATCAAAATACTTTGTTACTTGTCTTGAAAAACCTTTCAGTTCAAATTGCTAAGTTTTTAATTTTAAATAATAATTGTTCAGGAGAGACAAGCGGCTATTGGTCAAGACTGTAAAGAACTATGAATTCTAATATACATGTAATATACTTTAAGAGAGGGAGAGATGGGGTTTATTCTCCACTCCACACAAACGAGGTCATTTCGGGACTAACATATCGTTCAATTTTATTTCAATAATTTGCTTGCGCGTAGGGGTATTTAGCAGTGGGAAGAAACCGGAGGACCCGGAAAAAAACCCACGAAGTTGGACAGGCGACCCTACTCCTTGTCTATAATTTAAAAGATATGTATATATTATGTTATGTTTATACTATAAAGGCACATTATCAAGCAGAAGACAAATCAAATTATTATCTACATGAGTCATATTGAAATAAAACAAAGGCTGACCTGTGAAGTTATACATGCAAGTTATTAAAAGATTTAAAATGTGATATGTATACGGTGTCAGTGCCGGACTGGGGTGCCGAAGGCCCACCTGTCAGGTCATAGACCAAGGCCCACACAAGTATCCTGTCCTCTCCTTCCTTCTTTCTTTTTTGTCCTCCCCCTCTCCTTTTTTCTCTTTTCTTTTTTCTTTATAGGCTTAGTAGGCCCACTTTTTTTAATGAGCTTAGGCCCACCTGTCACGGACAGGTGGACAGGTGGGCCCAGTCCGGCACTGTACGGTGTTAATCAATAAATACAAATTAATTACAACAATAAACAAATAGTTTTATATCTCATAAACCCCGTAAATATAATAATAATAAGTGGCCATTTGTTTCGTGCTCGATCCACAAGGTGTGCTCAAAGCGCCCGATTAATCCTAACATATCCTTGAGTATATATTTCTTTAAATAAAATACAAACACAATTTTTCATATCTTAAATCATGATAAACTGTCCTCCAAATTCAATATTTAAGACTTAATTGAACATACATTATTCAAGAGCTAAATCTGCCTATTGCAGGTCTTTGGCCCCGAAATGTTATATAAACTATTAATTAGACATTAATTAACTTGAAAAGACCATAATCAACTCTCAAGGCATCTTATGTGTCTGACTTTCATTGGATTTGAATCTGATCTGCTGTTCAACACCCATTGATGATTAACCCGAAAAATGGATAATCAAGACTATGTTAATTATCGTGACGGCGGCAACAGTGACAATCAAGGCTACAAAGATTTTAAAATAAGGTTTTCACGGTTCAGAGTGTATCAATTTGACTGAAATTTTCAGCATATTCCCTTTACATTATCTAGTTTTTAACTATTATATTGAGAACTGTCAAATTTATCTAATCTTCCATAATGTATCTTAAAAGTTACAATTTCATATTTTCTAAGAAAGTAAAAACATAATTATTTCTATGTCTTTTGCTCGATAGGTTGTCAACTCACTATTATACCCTCATAGGGGCGATTCTCACACTTAAAACTCATTTACACCGGAATTAATAACACAATTACCTCCCTTGTTTTCTATTCTCCACCATGGATCTTCAAACGTTTGAATTTGAAGTTGAAAATGATATTTTTGCCAATTTCTCAACTGTCAATAGTGAATTATAGGATTAATAAAATTATTCTTTAACATAAAAATATGAAATTGTAACTTTAAGAAAACAAAATAAAACTATTGAATGTATTTGAACTAATTCTAGACTGATATCCCTTTCAGATTCAACTTTCACTTGTAATGGATTCAAAATCTCTCAAAGGACGATCAGAGATTTGAAATAATAGAGAGTATTATTATTCAAGACTCGGTCGATGTTTTGGTTTAGAATACATCTTGTGATCCCAGTTCATAGTTAATATTTCAACACAAGAAAAATATATATTTCTATCAATTGACTTTAATGTTAAGACTACAGATGTCTTTCTGATCACGGTGTTTATTAAAGTTTTAAACATCCCCAATCAATAAGTCTTAAAACAGGTGTCTTTCTGATCACGGTGTTTATTAAAGTTTTAAACATCCCCAATCAATAAGTCTTAAAACAGGTGTCTTTCTGATCACGGTGTTTATTAAAGTTTTAAACATCCCCAATCAATAAGTCTTAAAACAGGTGTCTTTCTGATCACGGTGTTTATTAAAGTTTTAAACATCCCCAATCAATAAGTCTTAAAACTATAAACAATATAGACTTCAGGTGAACTGCTGCGAAGCTGCAAACTCTTGAGCTTGACGAATTCTCAATCTTCTGAAAATACAAACGAATATGTCCTGTCCGAGTTTCCATAGATAAAAATTTCACTGTTTTACCGAGTTTCTGGCAGATTCCAGGTAATATATTCTTGGAAAGTCGGGTTTCATGGGATCACGGGCCATAATTCTGACAGCAATCATAAAAAATCATTAAAAACTATTGAAAATCAATCGATTTTTTTAAATTCAAAGAGTTTTTGTCTTTGTTAAATTACCAACCTGCTACAAGAACGAATTTCTGGTTCCTTATCTGATGGAGCTGGCGATGGTCCGTATACTGTTCGTGCACTGGATGGTGGAGGCTCTGCTGGTAGACTCTGACAGGTAGTTCGTAACGATTCAAATCTGTAAAACGATATATTACATGCAGTCTGATTAAAACACAGATCCTATTTCGGTTCATTTTTTATAGTTCAAAGTTTTATTTGTCTTTACTACACTAGGATCTGGAAGAGCTGTTATATTACCGTTGTTTTGATTGAAGTGAGGGATAAGCCAATGAAACAGTCTGTTACGGCGACTTCTTGGCGTGCCATGCACAGAACTGTGGGTAAAACACTAGAAACGCCAATGCTGATTGATTAGGGTTAAAAGCTGCTCAGGATTTTCTGAGTTCGACATGGTTCCCTCTTGTCAGTGGTTCAGGACGGAGGGCCTGGCAAGGGACAATGTATAGTCGTTCAGATGAAACAAAAATTATCTTGGAATGGTTAATAGCCCCGTTTACACTTGGCCGCGATAAGCGTACCAGGCCGCGATAAATTTCAAGAAATTGACCCATTTACATTACTCTACAATAACTGGTTTTGGAACTGTGCCAAGCATGCCAATTGTGGAACTCTTCACAGAAAGTTAATTTCAGTGCCTATGCAAATTACCCGGATGAAAACAATTATGGCGGTTGATTTATTTTGGGCAGTCATTTTGACAGAACTGATGATAGCATTTACACTATGAAAATTTAACCGTACCGTGCATGGCACTGTGCAAAGACCACCTCCCTTCAGTGTGCCAAATTGGCATGGTACTCAGTATGGTACGCTTATGTTTGACCCAGTTTACACTACAAAAAAAATAACCGTGTACGTGCTGTGTCTGGGACGCTTAGAATTTTTTATGTAAACAGGGTTTATGAGATATGCTTCAGGGAGAGCTCATTTCAATATCCCTCCCTGACATCATTCGGTGTGGGATAAGTAGTTTGAACCCTTTCCTCCCTATCTTGATTCAGTGTGGGATAAATTGTTTACCTTTGTGATATGCTGTTTTTTAAATCTGATAATTCTTGACTGACAGCTTTCAGTTGATTATCCATCTGTCGAACACTTACAACTATAAGAGATAGAATAATTAACAGTACTGGACAATAAATAAAATAGCATCTATATTTTACAATTGATGTTAGAGTCAAGGATTTTCTAGCCTGGTTCCTCCCTTGTCAGTGGTGCAGCTAGGACAAAGTGCCTGGTAAGGAAATACATCTAGTTCTCCTATGTATATGAGTAAATTATGTTTTTTCTAAATATTTGAAAGTTATGAATTTTTTTCAATATAAACCTACCTGTAGAAGCAGACATTGGTCTCATTAAAGGGGCTGTAGTCTTACTGTTAGATCTTTTAATGTGGGCCTGTAAAAATAAACAAAACAGAACCTTTAAAATCTGGAGGAGTACTTTCATAAAAAACACACATTAAAAGGTGCGGCAGGCTTCTTCTTTGTCTTCTTTTAGTGTTTTAACGTTGTTTCCACCGAGGGTGATATCGCAGACAAGTTCTCTTATTTTACTATGCTTAGTGCATGCACAGGGGTCTTTTTTGTGAGAGGAAATGGAGTAAATCCATGAGGTTGAGAAGGCGTCTCTATATCCAAGGGTTCAAAACCATGACTGCAAGCCAGAGGTGACCGGCCAGCTAGAGGTCCAAGCGCGACACTTTAGACCACTAGGCCATCCCATCCCCTTTTGCCCACATCCCCTTTTAATCATCTTTAGAGGATGTGGAATGTTGACTAACTTTCAATTAAATACTGAACAGAACTGAACCATTTTTGGACTGATACTTCTTTCAGAGTCTCCACATTCATAATATTGGTAGGGATTCCTCAATCCCTTGGTAGGGATTCCTCAATCCCTTGGTAGGGATTCCTCAGTCCCTTGGTAGGGATTCCTCAATCCCTTGGTAGGGATTCCTCAATCCCTTGGTAGGGATTCCTCAATCCCTTGGTAGGGATTCCTCAATCCCTCTAAATGAACTTAAGAGACTTTAATCAATTTTACTGTCACTTCTTTATTTTGTGGGAGCCACAGTGGGTAAGAGGCTGGCCCGCTGAATTGGCCGATCAAGTTCACTGGGATTTTCCGGCGCGGTTTCCCTATGTCAGTGGTGTAGGACAGAGGGACTGGCAAGGACAGTTGTCTAGTCGTTCGGATGGAACGAAAAATCAAGTTCCCGTATATACTTTGGCAGTTGGAATTAATTATAAGAGTAAGCCATAGTACTGCTGCCCGGGCAAAATTTCCCTCATAGCACACTCTATGGCATATGCTCGTCTTCATTAGCCCAGTCGGAGCAGAACAGTAGGACGTTAAACCCTATATCATTTTGTTTCTATATTTTGTTGACACATTAATCAATGTGGACATCTAGCAGGATTATAATGAAACCATAACAAGAGATATTGATAACTTACCCCATCGAGAATTTCTAAGTTTGGTAAAAGTTTTTGTATTTCTGTGTAATAATGTGGTTTTTCACCATCTTCCAGACCGAATGGATTTCCTGATATAAATAATTCTACTAGCTCTGGGACTTTTGATAAAGATAACTACAAAAAAATATAAAATACATAAAAAATACAAAATGTATCAAAAAATATAGTAAAGCAATGAAGTATTAAAAATATGAAAGATATAAAAAAATGCAAAAAGCAATGAAGTTACAGGTAGAACAAAGTAACATTTCTGAGTCTCACCAAAAAAAGAAAAAGCACTTTCTTACTGTGAATTCAATATTCAATGAAATGAAATAAAATGAAATGGGGCTTAACGTCCTACTGTTCTGGTCCGAACTGGGCTAATGAAGACGGACACACGCCATACGATATTCTTATATCAAATTCCAACTGTCACATAAAAAAAGGAAATCCCTTATACTGACTGTTTGGTACTTTTCAATTATTCTACCTATATGCTTATGTTTTCTTCATTTCTGCCTCTTCCGTTCATTGGGTTGATCCTTGTCGTGGTGAAGGGTGGTGGGAAAAGTTTTCTAGCCATTTGGATGGGACAAAAAACCCCAAAAAATCCACGGAAGTCCCTTGTAAACCATTGGCAGTGCTTTAAAATTCCCTTACAGTTGGAAATTAAAATAAGAGTAGGCTGGCAAAATTTCCCTCAAAGCACATCACACTTTTTTTGTCTGTCTTCATCAGGGCTAAATCTATTTGTTAGGGCCAGCTCAATTTTTGTCAAAGTTGCCGAGATGTAAATAGGATTAGGGCAAGTGATTCTTGGCAGGATTGTATGTTAAAGTTGCAATTTCATATTTTTAAGATAAATTTTTAAAATGTATTAAAATAAAGCCTTAATATAGATGGTATCCATAAACAGTCCTACCTTGTTAAAGAATAATCCTATTAATCCTATAATTCACTATTCCCAGTTGAGAAATTGGCAAAAATATCATTTTCAACTTCAAATTCAAACGTTTGAAGATAGCTATTCCATGGTGGGGAATAGGAAAACAATGGAGGTAATTGTGTTATTATTTCCGGTGTCAATGAATTTTAAGTGTGGGAAATAATGCCCATGATCGTATAATAGTGAGTTGACAACCTATTGAGCAAAAGACATAGAAAAAATTATGTTTTAACTTTCTTAGAAAATATTAAATTCTCGCTTTAAGGTTAGGGCAAGCATTAGGGCTATGTCCAGGGTTAGGGTTACATCCCGTGACCTTTGACCAAACTTGAAGTTGGCCTTATCAAATAGATCTAACCCTTCATTAGTGTGGTTACACAACCCCATTTCATGGAATTTCCTTTCTTGGGGTTGAAGATCTTCCATGAAATATGAACTGATTTAAATGTATACATTTCCCTCAAAGCACACCACATATCTTTTTCCTGTCTTCACAAAAGTAGGAAATTAAACCATTTAATTTCAACAAATTGATGATCTCGCTTATATAAGGAACAGATTTAAAGGTATATATGGGGATACTTGATTAAACGTTCTGGAATTAAATTCTCTCAATTCCGAATGAATCGAGTGAAAGGGAAAATTTCGGAGTACAATGCATGTGCCGAATGCATAAAAAATATCTCAACCAATCATGGCAGCTGTAACATATTTGTTACTTAAAATCGTGACTAACAGAACTGTGATGGGACTGAATTCTATATCACTTGATTGCAGTTCTGTCAATTCAGGACTTTTCAGACTTACAATCAAGCACCAACTATGATAGATGTACTTACGACTTCCTGCCAACTGACTATTCTATTATCACAAACACTGAATATCTGTAGACTAGGAAATAAAGATGCCAAGGGAGATAACTCACTCAACCTATTACCAGATACATCAACTTCTTCTACTGACCTACAACAAAACAACCATGTGGTTAATTAAAATACTTAACAAACAAATACGTAACTACAAAGTCATGTTCTACTGTTTCTATTGAACTATTCAAATGTTCCATACAGGGTGCTTGTCATAATATAATTTGTTTCGTCTTCTAGCCTCCAGGTCATGTGTTGCTTGGACAGTGGGACATCTCCCGCCATGCAAGAGAGAGAGAGAATAGGGGTTTAACATCCACACGATACAAACTAGGACATTTTGGGACTAACATATGGTTGATATAACGTATGGTTGACAGACCTTATGATACAACGTGCACACACTAACCATTCGGCCATTCACCCCCTCTCCTGGCATGAAAGGTATCTCGTGCAGAGTGATGAGCACGATGTACACATATAAAGGGGGTCATGGTGGCTAAGTGGTTCGATCCCTGCATTGGCCGAGAGTGTCCATCCAGATTTTCAGGCGTGGTTCCCCCTTGTCAGTGATGCAGGACGGAGGGCCTGACAAGGACAGCTGTCTAGTCGTTCGGATGGTACGAAAAACCGAGGTCCCGTGTACACATTGGCATGCACATAAAAGATCCCTTAACAGTTGGAATTTGATGTAAGAGTAGGCCGTAGTGCCGCTGTCCGGGCAACATTTCTCACAGGTCAGGAGCAGAACAGTAGGACGTTTAACCCCATTTCATTTCATTATTTCATTTCATTTCTAAATGCTCAAATTATTTTGTTGAGGAGACATTATTAAACGGAAACCACTTTCTATTTTAGCGGGGTTGAGTGGCCTACTTTGTGTTCAGTGCACTCAATACATTAACCAGTTTATAAAAAATGAATAGTTTAAGAAAAGAATTAAACTTACTTTAATTTAGCGATAGAAGAGAAACTGGTTAACTGATTATTGCCTAATTTTAATATCTGAAAAAAAAAATAATACATATAAACTTATATTTATGAAATGAAATGAAATGGGGTTTAACGGAAAATCTGGATGAACTTTCTCGACCAATGCAGGGATCGAACATCCGACCTCCAGGCTAGCGAGCCAGCGTCTTACCCACTAAGCCACCGTGACCACCTTATATTTATGGCATTTTGTGTATGAATTGGGTTCATTAATACTTGTACAAAAGATTGTAGATGCCGCTCATGTGGTTCCGCCACCAAGTCGCCTACCCAGATCACAGTTCCATTTGGTTTTCTCTGTTTAAATTGCATACCTAATGACTCTAAACACGTGTTGTGTTCTTGCATCATTTTATTCTGTTCAAGTTTCGTTAGAAGCCTTTGATCCACATAAAAATAACCAGTTACCTGTAGATTTGTGGATTTATTTAATCCAGATAAATCTGTTAATCTGTTGTTGGAGAAATCAACTTCGACTAATTTACGACAGCGAGATAAATCTGATATTTTCCGTAATCTGTTGCCACTTGCGTTCACTTCTTCTAGATTTGGTAGGTAATTTAATGCCTGGAGACAGAGAGAGAGAGAAATAGGGTTTAAAGTCCACTAGACTCAAACTAGGTCATTTCGAGACTAACACATGGTTCAATTTTATTTCAATAATTCGCTCGTGTGTCTGGGTCTTTAGCAGGGGGAGCGAACCTGAGGACCCTGAAAAAACCCATTAGGTTGGACAGGCGAGCCTACTCCTTGTTACGTACAACCAGGGGAATCGAAACCACGCCAGTTCACACACACACACACAATCTCATTGGACACCATTTGAAAGTTTAGGTTTGACAAAAAGTAATATCTAGCACATATGGATGAACACAAGTGTTTAAAAGATGCAAAATATCTTTAGATTTGTTTGTTTAAACATAAATTATTTATACTGAGATCAAGGGAGGTAAGCTAGTTTATACTAGCACTGAGAAATGAAATGAAATGGGGTTTAACGGCCTACTGTTCTGCTCCAAACTGGGCTAATGAAGACGGGCATACGCCATACAGTGTGCTATGAGGGAAATTTTGCCCGGGCAGCGGTGCTATCGCCTACTCTTATATCGAATTCCAACTGCCAAGGGATCTTTTACGTGCATTCCAATGTATACATGGGACCTCGGTTTTTTGTCTCATCCGAAGGACTAGACAGTTGTCCTTGTCAGGCCCTCCGTTCTGCACCACTGACAAGGGGACTAGCACTGAGGGTATAGAGGTCGAGTGTGTTAAAACTGATATCAAGGCAGGCAAGTTGAACACAGCTTAAATAAAATATTTATACTCACACTGAGGTTATCGAGCATGTTAAAACTAAGATCAAGGGAGGTAAGTTGAACACAGCTAATAAAATCTGATGACTCTAGTTTTAATATCTGATTACTGTCTAATCTTAATGTCTTTAATTTCTTCACAAGATTCAATCCTTTACCTAGAAAAGATTAAAATTACAAATATTCCTTAAAACCATCAAGTAAAGTGATGTAATATAAATTAAAAATATTCCTTCGAACAAGCAAATAAGAGAGAGGGAGAGAAATGGGGTTTAACGTCCACTCGCCACAAACTAGGTCATTTCGGGACTAACATATGGTTTAATTTTTTTTCAATAATTCCCTTGCGCGTAGGGGTCTTTAGCAGTGGGAGGATACCGGAGGACCTGGAGAAAACCCACGAGGTTGGACAGGCGACCCTACTCCTTGTCACATACAACCGGGGATTCGAAACCACGCCAGTCGACTCAATGACAGACTTTATGATACAGGACGCGCTAACCATTCAGCCATCCAACCCCCCAAATACTCCTTAAAACAGTCTTCTTTAGAAAAATCAAGTAAAGTGGTGTTATATAAATTACAAATATTCTTTAGAACAATCTAAAGTGGTGTAGTATAAATTACAAATAGTCGTGTAATATACATTACAAACATTCCTTAAACCTTCTATCCTTTACCTAAAAATATTTTGTAAAGTGATATGTAATTTAAAGCTTCAGACAGTCTGATAACCATACCAGGATCGAATCTAGGGACTATATGATTAGTTACCCAGTTTCATACTCAATGTGCGATCGTGACTCCTAACTATATTAGAATTGTAATATGTAAACATAACTCACTATACCTATTGTTTTGATTCGATTATGTTGTAATTGAAGGCAGCTAAGATCTTTTAAACTGAAAAAATTACCAACAAAACAATAAAATTCCTAAGGCAGAACAAGATACTATAATTTATTCCTAGTAACGTGACTACATATATAATGATATCAGCTACTGAAATTCATTGCTGGAATACCAACAATTTTATAATGAATTTGAAACTGCCATCTTTAGCCCATGGATCCCCTGTGAACTATAAGGATCCCCTCTATGGGACCCATATGCACGCCAGGGTGGGGAACACGGTTCTATATTATAAGATCATGGTAGCAGCAAATGGTGGATACAACCATTTTATTTCGTCATTAATCTTTAACTTTAGAAATTATAATATGATTAATGTCTACATCAACATTTAGTATGAGAGAGAGAGGGAGAGAGAGAGAGAGAGAGAGAGAGATAGAGAGAGAGAGAGAGAGAGAGAGAGAGAGATAGATGGGGTTTAACGTCCACTCAACACAATCCAGATCATTTCAGGACTAACATATGGACAGACGACCCTACTCCTTGTCACCTACAACCGGGGAATCGAAACCACGCCAGTTGACTGAATGACAGACCTTATGATACAGTGCACACATGCTAACCATTCGGCAATCCAACCCCCCACCCCCAACACTGATTACAATGTGCATACTTAAATTCATTGCCAAATTAAAATGATATTAGAGAATACATACCATTGTAAATTTTCTATGACTTTAATTTTATTATCATACAGTTTTAACTCTCTTAAATCCTAAATAAATAAAAAAAAATATTACAAGTAATCATCTACAGATTCAAAGACAAAAAATCATTGATCAAAATATACGTAATCATCTATAGATTCAAAGACAAAAAATAAAAATACAGCCCTGTAACTGTGAAAAAATTGTCAACCATCCAACAATAGATATACACTGTCTGTCAATTTTACAGCACCCCTGTGAACACCCCCCCCCCCCTAGTTGCTCTGAGCAAGTTACGGCCCTGGGGCATTCCACATCAAGTGTACACACTTTCCGACCGAAAAATGACAAGACATCTCAGATTTCGTTCATTTGATGTCTAATGGTGAGGTGGGATGAAAAAAGTGTAAAAACCAAACTTCAGGCGAACCGACCCAAAAATGACGTTTTTTTGGCCGACTAAATTTTGGGTCTATCCGGTGGGCCAAAAACCTTGCAACAGCTATAATTTCCCTTCTATTCGTCCGATTTTCATAAAGTTGGCACCAAAATGATCAGGAAATCAAGACCTTTCATTTGACGTATTACAAAATCAAGACCTTTCATTTGACGTATTACACGATGTTATTATATAATATTTTCAAATTTTCTTTTTATTTCTTTGACCTTGACCTTTGAACATGTCCAGGCAGAAAATCCGATGACCCCAATTATTTCTTAAAATCATGTTCTATATATCATCCACCTGTATGGCAAAAATGAAAATGGGATCTCTATGGGATCATGCCCAAAAATGCTTTCGAAAATGCCACCTGGGTTGAGTCTGCATGGTTGAGCCTGGGGTCCAATGTATGTTTGACAGGTATCCAGCATTTTCTGAGAAACAAAAGTGTATATTTTTGAATGAAATAATGGATTTAACTCTTAAAAAGGGGGAGTTTCCTAAGTTTTGTGCAGACCCTTTCAAATGCGATGACAAACTGAAGCTAAAGGACTTGAGGGATGTGTCTTAAGTAATGATTGAGAAATACCCGTCGATGGTAAAAGAAGGTGACCCTGTGTATGTTCCGCATGTAGGAAATGAATGTCGCAACTGCTGCCTGAGGCGAGTGTAGTGTTGGCGTCTGACGACAAACAGGGGAACAGTGAGGATGCTGTGCCATACGATGAGCATGAAGACACTAAATGATGAGGGAAAGCCCGTTCAGCAAACGAAAGGTGGGGCGTACACCTAGTTACGTGGCAACGAAACGGGCCAAAATCGAGGGGGTAGTGAGAAAGAGTTTGGACTTGATTGCGCTGAGTAATACTGACACCGGGGAAATACCAGCCAAAAAGTGCGATGGGAGTGGATGTGAGGTTTTTGCCACGCAGTAGGCGAAGTATAATGAAGCTGATACTACCTGCGCAGAGTAAATAACAATCATGATGGTTTTTTTCTCCAAGCATGAGTGTGAGAAAGTTGATGGCTGAATTTGGTTGTTCTCAAAGAATGAGTGGCAAAAACCTCAGCGATTCATTTAGATTTTCTAATTCTGTCTCTAATTCAATGAAATCTACATCCCCAGCTCCTTCACTCAACGCACACTTGGTGTCCTCATGCACAGCATCCTTATGGTTCCCCTGTTCGTCGTCCGACGTCGACACTACACTCGCCTCAGGTGGCAGTTGCGACATTCTTGTCCTTCATGCAGAACATACACAGGGTCACCTTCTTTTACCATCGACGGGTATTTCTCAATCATTACTTAAGACACATCCCTCAAGTCCTTTAGCTTCAGTTTGTCATCGCATTTGAAAGGATCTGCACAAAACTTATGTAACTCCCCCTTTTTACGAGTTAAATCCATTATTTCATTCAAAATTTTACTTTTTCTGAAATAACAAAAAATATTCACTTTTGTTTCTCAGAAAATGCTGGATACCTGTCAAACATACATTGGACCCCAGGCTCAACCATGCAGACTCAACCCAGGTGGCATTTTCAAAAGCATTTTTGGGCATGATCCCATAGAGATCCCATTTTCATTTTTGCCATACAGGTGGATGATATATAGGACATGATTTTGAGAAAAAATTGAGGTCATCGGATTTTCTGCCCAGACAGGGTCAAAGGTCAAGGTCAAAGAAATAAAAAGAAAATTTGAAAACATTATCTGATAACATCGTGTAATACGTCAAATGAAAGGTCTTGATTTCCGGATCATTTTGGTACCAACTTTATGAAAATCGGACAATTAGGAGGAAAATTATATCTGTTGCAAGGTTTTTGATCCACCGGATTGGCCCATAATTTGGTCGGCCGAAAAACTGACCCATTAGGTTTTCAAACCTGAAACTTCACATAAATTGTTCTCTCGTTGGGGCTAACTTTTGGAGAAAAATTGAAGAGAATCTTTTACCATGGTGTCAATGAGGTGTGTACACTTGACATGGAATGCCCCCCCCTGTCAAAGTATACGGGGTTAAGAGAATGAGTTAGACCACTCGGACATCTAACCCACATGTTCCTGAAACAATGACCGTGAGTTTTACAACATCTAGACGTTGCTACACTAGTCTGCAATTCCAAAACTTATAGCTAAATTATCTCCCTTTGCTGCAGACACGTGAACGATAGCATCCAATCAGAGGTTGCGACACAAACACACTCAAATCAAACATGATTATCTCCCTTTACTGCAGACACGTGAACGATAGCATCCAATCAGAGGTTGCGACACAAACACACTCAAATCAAACATGGTGACCGCCACGGAAACATCGACAATGAGCAAACCATGAACTTTGCAACTTGATAATCACATGTAGACATTTTAGCCGTATTCATAATGATTGAGGAATCTGATAGGCCCCCAGCTGGGTCAGTAGCCAATCGAAAGTAGTGTCGAAATATGTAGGGTAATACGTGAAGGGCTTGATAAGATGTACAGAATTAAAACGAAATCAAGCCTTCTATTGAAGATGTCCAACCTATAGCAATACATATTATTATTACTCTTCTATACGGAATTTAAAATCTCCAGTTAAGAAATTTACCTGTATGTCGAGCCACAACCCTAACCTACGCCTACTACAGCACATGTAAACATTATGTATCTATATAGAAATCTAATATTTTTTTTCGATGTTGTTGTTATTTTTTAATTATGTACGAATTTGAATATTTTGTTGACACAATTTTTAATTGTGGTCTGAAACCACCTGCTTAAATAACAATATGAGTTATGCCCCTTTATTTTCGGTACAGGGTATTGCACCTGTGTATATATATCTAAGCTAACTTACTGTATTTTTATCTTAACCTGACATTTTCTATGTTTCTACAGGACATAGCACGTGTATACGTGTATGGTCATCTTTAAACTGGACACAAGTACAAACTGGATGATTTTTGATGATTTTAAACGACTTTTACGAATTTTTAAACAACGATTTGATATTAAACGAATGTGGAAGAAATTAGAGCTAAATACACAAGATTAAATGATACCTGGATTACAGTGATTACTTACTGTATTATTTTCTAAACCTGATATTTGTTCGATGTGATTACAGGATAAATCTAGAATCTTTAATCTTTCAAACTGTTGAAGATTATCGATGTATGTTAAATCTTCACCATGTCGAATTATTTCATAAACTTTATTATATTCTCTTTCTTGATTTATAGCAAGCTGAAATATAAATATAAAGATAAATGGGGTTTACCGTCCACTCAAGCCAAACTAGGTCATTTTGGGACTAACACATGGTTCACTTTAATTTCAATAATTCGCTTGCGCGGAGGGGTCTTTAGCAGTGGGAGGAAACTGGAGGACCCTGAGAAAACCTACCCTCCTCCTTGTCATGTAATGGGGTTTAACATCCACTTGACATAAACTAAGTCATTTTGGGACTAACGTACATGGTTCACTTTTATTTCAATAATCCGCTTGCGCGTAGGGGTCTTTAGCGATGGGAGGGAACCTACTCCTTGTCATGTACAACCGGGGAATCGAAACCACGCCATTTGGCACAATGACAGACCTTATGATACAGCGCGCAAGTGCTAACCCTTCGGCCATCCACCCTCTCCCCCATCTGGATAATGAAGATAGACAAACACCGTGCAGTGTGCAAGGAGGGAAATTGTGACTGGACAGTTGTAAATCCAACTGTCAAGGGTTCTTTTACTTGCTAGCTAACTTGTACACTGGACTTTGTTTTTTTTTGTCTCATCTGAATGAATAGGCACTGTTCCTTGCCGGGCCCTAAATCCTGAACAACTGGGAAACCAGTTTGGAAAATGCTGAGGTACTTTCTCGGTCAAGACAGAGATCGAACCAGGGACCTTCAAATAAGAACTACTACTCTGTAATTGGCACATGCTCAGTAGCCTATGTTATATTTGACTGAAATAAGTATATTTTTCAGAGAAATAATAAACCATGTCTAATAAATATTAAAACAATTACTATTTCTAGGGGATCTATGGTCTTTTTAGCCATTGGTTCTCCAAAGGCAGTAGGAGGTTGTGACCTTGAACTCTGAACATCATAGAATTTGACATCTTGACCCTGATCTTCATCATCTGTGCCGTAAGTAGCCTCACTACCACATCTCTTGCCAATGGACGAGTTTGATTTCGCTCGATTAGGTTTAGATCGACTTCCACTTCCTGACCTTGACCTTGTTGAATGTGATGACCTCTTTGACCCTGCTGACCTTGAAGCACTGTTTGATTGACTGTCCTTTCCAGATCGGAGTTCAGTAAGATTTAATGACAGATCAGATGGATCAGTTAGTTTGCTGAAATGAACCCAATCCATTACAAATACAAATTCTTTTATGGGATGAAATGCTGTGATGTGTTATGAAATCTATTTCAAAATGTTTTTACCGAAGAGAGAGAGAGAGAGAGAGAGAGAGAGAGAGAGAGGGGTTTTTTTTTTTAATGTCCACTTGACACAAACTAGTTTATTTTGGGACTAACAATGGGACTCAATGACAGACCTTATCCAACCCTCCTTTATGGAATAGAATGCCGTACAATTAAAATGCCAAAATATATATTATGTTTTTATTGGATGAAATGCTGGGATGTTATTGCATAAAGAACCCTTTTACAAAATTATTTTATGCCAAAGGTTGTTCTACACCTAGATGACTCAACTGTAGTGCACGTTTATTTTTCTAAAAATTACTTGGGATGAGTAATAGTTATTTACCCAGTATGGTCAAATAAATTTGGAAAATTGAATATTATTCACCATGATTGGCATGATACTTCATTGTTTGTGATAAAAGTATTTATTTCAATACAAATTAAGACGATATGTTTTGAACATTATTCGTTTGAGGCTATATCTACTTGCACAAAGCATCAAATTGAATGTATAAATTGTAGATGGAAATTCATGTCTACTGGCAAGTCAACTGCTATATATTATTATAGTATAGTAATTATTATTATAGTCTGCAGTATTTGTGAATATTTAATTGTTTTGTAATTTAAAATAAAACACCAAAACAAACTTTTCAGAAAAAAAAGTTTTATTACGTTAGAGCCAGAGGTGATGAGATCTGTTAATTATTTGTAAATGACAATACATAATCACTTACTATATTCGATTCGATGATACTGATAGTCTAACACAAATGTGACAAATATATCTGATTTGCGGTGGAATAAAACCTACCTTGGGATTCGTCTCTGTTGTTTTGGCCTAGGATCTAGAGGTAAAACACCTACAGGGCGACCTACTGAACTGATCACTCTAGCCTTCAGTTTTGTATTCATCATAAAATATCCAAAATTATTCGCATCGAGTTCAAATTCCATAAAATTCCTCCATTGTTTACCTTAGATTCGCCTACCATAAGAATTTCTTGATTAGAAGAGTTGAACAAGGGACGTAATTTTTAAATTGGAGTTATCTCCCTTCCATAAAGCGTACCTGTCTTTTCTCCTTCCATTCGTAACTATCCCAAAAAAATATTTTAAAGGGCGTATGGCTCTATTTTTTTGAACTTTGAAATAGACAAAAAATGGTTCTAAAAGCACGTATTAATGTAATATGAATTCATGTAAAGTGATTTATATTCAATTTTATTTTTATTATTCAATTATGTTTGGTGAAATAGTGAACAGTTCAAATTGAACAGTAGTTTTCGCCTGCTTAGTGCATTCTACACGTTTTTTAATTATTATTTTGTCGTTTGTTAATCAGACTTTACTAATTACTTCCACACTGTGTTTGAGGATATGTTTTTATTTGTTATTACAAAATGGCACCCAAAACTATAGGGTACTCGGGTACATGACTTGTGTAGCCTACTGATTATAAAATGTTAATTTTGTCTTAAATATTGGATATTATTATTGAAATTGATCAATGTTGAATTATAATTTGTGTTTTTGGTTTCGAATATTATGGAAAATGACTTCGCTCCTTTAAAATACGTTTATATGATCATGATTGTCTCATCTCAGAGAGAGAGAGAGAGAGAGAGAGGGAAGGAGGGAGGGTTTAACTCACTACACAAACTAGGACATAATGGGACTAACACATGGTTCAATTTTATTTCTTTAGCAGTGGGAGGAAACCGGAAGACCCGGAGAAAACCCACAAGGTTGGACAGCCGACCCTACTCCTTATCACCTGCGACTGGGGGATCAAACCACACCAGTTGACAGTTGTATATAGTTTGGTAGGTCATTAGTTCATGGTCACAACGAAGGCCCATCTTCATTAACTTGGTAATTGAAGGAAAGAAGGATGCTAAAAGCCACTCATTTCATTTGTTGACCGTGAACTTTAGACCAGAGAGCAATCGTTAATGTCAACTTTCAGATGGTTTATTACATATCGGATGGAGCGGCAGCAGAATAGAATATATGAAGGAAGCAGAATTTGAGTATTTGTGATGTCCCCTTATTTAATGATGTTCCTGTTAATAAGGCAGACACATATAGCTGTTCTGTTTCCCGTGCATATACATCAGACGTTCACCTATCTCCAGGATGTATTAAATCCGGAGCTATTTCTCAAACAATTGTGCATGTGGCTGACTTTCAATTTTAGACAAATTTAATTTTTACAGCTTAATCCACGCCAACATCAATTCATTTTGTTGTTGTTCTTAGTGTTTAACATCCCCTTCTACCGAAGGTGATATCGCAGACAAGTTGTCTTATTTTTATTATCTTAGCACATGCGCAGAGGTGTTTTCTGTGGGAGGAAACCCACGAGGTTTAGAAGGCGCCCCTTTCTCCAAGCCACATACCCGGGATCAAAACCACAAGCCAGAGGTTACTGACCACAGCTAGAGCTCGAAGCTCGACAATTTAAGACCACTATGCCATCTCCACCACACTTATAGAGAGAGAGAGAAATGCGGTTTAATGTCCACTCGACAAAGACCACTATGCCATCTCCACCACACTTATAGAGAGAGAGAGAGAAATGCGGTTTAATGTCCACTCGACAAAAACTAGGTCATTTCGGGACCAACACATGGTTTAACTTTATTTCAATAATTCGCTTGCGTGTAGGGGTCTTTAGCAGTGGGAGGAAACCTGAGGACCCAGAGAAAACCCACGAGGTTGGACAGGCGACCCTACTCCTTATCACGTACAACCGGGGATTCGAAACCACGCCAGTTGACTCAATGACAGGCTTTATGATACAGCGCACACGTGCTAACCATTCGGCCATCCCCCCCCCCACCACACTTGTAGGTGGCAGTAACTTGTTTACATATCCTATGCAAAATGAAATGGTGTTTAACGTCCTACTGTTCTGCTCCTAACCTGGGCTAATGAAGACGAGCATACGCCATACAGTGTGCTATAAGTGGAATTTTGCCCAGACAGCCGCACTACGGCCTACTCTTATATCGAATTCCAACTGTCCGGAATCTTTTACGTGCATACCAATGTATACACAGGACCTCGGTTTTTTGTACCATCTGAATGACTAGACAGCTGTCAGTCCTGCACCACTGACAAGGGGGAAACCATGCCTGAAAATAACTATGATCGAAGCCACAACCTCCAGGCTATCGAACCAGTGTCTTACCCACTTAGCCTCCTTGTAGTTAGCAAGGGATTCAAAACATTTATGAAAGAACAGAATAACAGAATACTTTGTCTTCACCAAAGGAGCTTTTATTTACACCTCTGGGTTTTTAAAAGTTTTTTTTAATATTTAGAAAAAGAATCCTAGAATTTTTCCTCCAAGATGCTTTTTTCTCGCTTCTTCGTGATCCATAATACCTCCCGATGTCGTTAACACTAAATATCTGTAAAAATAAAAGATAACAGTTACTAGAGAGTAATGGGGTTTAACGTCCACTTGACACTAACATATGGTTCAATTTTATTTCAATAATTTGCTTTCACATAGGATGTCTTTAGCTGTTGAAGGAAACCAAAGAGAAGAGAGAGAAATGGGGTTTAACGTCCACTCGACACAACCTACGTCATTTCAAGACTAACATAATGGTTCAATTTCATTTCAATAATTTGCTTGCGTGTAGGGATCTTTAGCAGTGGGAGGAAACCGGAGTACCTCGGACTAATATATGGCTCAAGTTCATTTTAATAATTTGCTTGCACGTAGGTGTCTTTAGCAGAGGAAACCGGAGGACCCAGAGAAAACCCACGAGGTTGGACAGGCAACCTTACTCTTTGTCAACCGGGGAATAGAAACCACGCCAGTTGACTCAATGACCGACCTTATGATACAACATGCACAGGCTAATCATTCTGCTCCTCACCCCCCCCTCCCCCCAACACATGACAGCACAATGCCATGGTTACCCAACCTCAATATCTTTAACCAAGAATGTTACTGTAAGTTGTATTAATAAGAACTTACCCGAACTGTCGAGAAGGTAGAAGTTGGTTTGTCCATTTTTCCAAGTGTCTGATTGAAACATCAAATCTAGGACTGATAACACCACACTACAAACAATAACACAGATTAACATAATTATAAGACTTATAATAAATGGGACGAAATGGGGTTTAACATCCTAGGACAGCGGCGCCAAGGCCTTTTATTATATCCAATTACATCCATCAAGGGTTCTTTTACGCAAATTTCTACACAAGAATTTTACTGACCAAACCGCGAATGAACCCCAGACCGGATTAGAGTCACTGCGGCTTCCCATAATACAAACAATAATATGATTAATATTATTTATTAAGTCTGTGTGGCATTTTTCGGAAAATATCAAATTAACCCACACTAAGTTGTACTTGAAACCAATTATTTAATTACAAAATCAAACCATCAACGGTAATCCATAACTGACCAGCATTAAAGGAGCTAAGTCGCTAATATTTTGGACCTAGAAATTGACACAAATGGGTCGCAACGCATCTAATAATGTAATATGAATGTATATAAATTGATTTACATTCAATCGTTTCCGTTTTTACTCAAAGTTCAAATCAGTTATGTTTGGTGAGATACGCCAGAAGTCTGAATCGAATGGCAATCGCTAGCGTCTGGTTATTCCAGTCTACACTGATAGTATTCAATGCGCATGCTATCCAGATAAGAATATGCCGTCACCATTTAACATGATTTGTGGAATATGTCTAGCCTTGTTCTTCGTGTCCCGTGTTACAAATAGCGTTGAAACGAATTATGGTACACGATTCGTGTATCAATGGCAATTGTTTATCTTAATTATTGGATATCAGAAGTCAATCTTTTCCCGGTGAGAACACAGCATCAAAGTTGATTTAAAATGACAAACAATTTGTGTTTTCAATGTTGAAGACATTGAGTTAGATACTTAGCTACTTTAAACTATGTTTGGACTGGGATTCAGCTTTCACAACATTGTAGTTTTCAAAGGATCAAAAATCCTTCAAATGTCTATCGGAAGCAGTAAGATAAGACAATAATTTGAACTTACTTTATTTAATCTGCCTGTTAAATTGACGATAATTTTACCATTTCTGTGATCATCAATTATTTCAAATTCACCAATGTAACCTATAAATGAAAGTTAAATTTATAAAAAAATAACCAGAAAATGTAAGATTTATTATAACGCTAATAGTGAACCGTTGTTTAAGATGTATTTATCTATGATCATGGAGAATATTTTCTGGACCATGGTGCTCCACAACTTCTCTTTATTGAATTTAAACTGTCAAGGACTCTAAATGTGTACGCATGTGTACAACATCAAAGCATGTGTACAACATCAAAACGGCTAGGCACACTGTACTTGTTACCATCAGTGATGACTGGGCTTGAAAAATTCTGAGTTTCTTTTCAATCCCCGCCAATATATGACCCAGCCTATATCATTAAGGAAAACTATGTAAATGGACAAGTTTCAAAAAAGGCATGTGGGCAAAAAAAGGAAAGATATTTGAAGTCTTCAAGAGAGAGAGAGATGGGGTTTAACCTCCACACCACACAAACTAGGTCATTTTGGGGCCAACACATGGTTCAATCTTATTTCAATATTTTGTTTGCGTGGAGGGGTCTTTAGCAGTGGGAGGAAACCGGAGGTTGGAAAGGTGACCCTACTCCTTGTCATGTACAACCGGGGAATTTAAAGTCTTCAAAATAAGTCGGAGGAGGCCTGGTGTATTAAGAACTCAAGATCAAAGTCATATACTGAGCGCCATGGAAAACATCACTTTTTTTCCCAAATATTTTATTACTAGGTGGTTTTGTATGTATAATATTATGCAATACTATGAACCATTGTTTCACACAGTGCTCCCAAACGCAAAAAATATCGGCCCTTGTGCACAAAAAAAAATTGCAAGAGATGCACATGAAAAACCCAATATTCACGTGCAGCATTGTGCGTGAGCCCTTTAAAAGCATGTTTTCAACTTAATGTGCAGTACATGAACTGTGAAACGTCAATCTGTCGTAATTTGTTGTTGGACGTGTGAAGGAATCGAGCTAGAGATGCTGAGACTTACTGAAAATCAACGGAATGAAGCCATGGGAATGTCCCGGGGCTGGCATGTCTACACGTGCTATTGCCAGACACTTCAATTGTCATCAGTCCACTAAAGGTTGGTGATACGTGTTCGAGTTATTGGATCAACACGTGACCGTCAACGTCCTGGTCCACAACGTGTTACAACCCAGACTCAAGACCGCTACATCCAGGTCACTCATCTGCGTGACAGATTCCGCCCAGCGACTCGAACAGGTGCAGCAGTCGTTGGAAGACAAGGACCAGTAAGTGTCAACACCGTAAGACGTCGTCTAAGAGAAGTAGGACTCCGTGCACGACGACCTTATGTTGGAGCTATCCTCAGGGATCATCACCATCAGCGGCATTTGATATGGGCTCAAGGACACCAGACATGGAGAAGAGTAGACTGGCAAAGTGTGCTCTTCGGTGATGAGAGTCGCTTTCATCTTTATCACGCTGATGGCCGTCAATGTGTGTGGAGACATCTTGGGGAACGTCTTGCAGACTGCTGCGTCTTTAAAACGAATCGATGGGGTGGGGAGGCTTCACATTTCGTCACCGGACCGCCCTACACATTTGCAGGAGTCGCGTTAATGCTGTAGCCTACCGTGATGATGGCCCGTGGAGGACTCACGCGCTACTGACATCTGTGTCGTACTTTTGGTTTTGACCCCTCTGACTTTGTACCCTTGATTACAGATTAAACATCCATAAGTGTACAAATGTGTTGTTATTGATGTGTTCCCATTTGAATATTGTTCACAATAAGAAGCAAAATAAATAAGATATGTTTACAGGATCATTTTGTTATACGAAAAACTAAGTGATGCGTTTTCCATGGCGCTCAGTATATATTGAATCAATTGTCAGTCAGATCATAATTAGCTTCATATTTTATTCAGAAGAACGAAGGTATGAATTTAGATCATCATACTGACCAAATATACCCTCAAGTAATATATACTCCTTTCCTCTTCTTAAATAGTGGAAAGAAATTTGGGCATGCTCCCCCATATTACTTCATACCATGTGTACAAACTTGAGATATAAACACACTGCACTTGATCAAAAGCAAACATTTTCCGAGAAAGTTAATTGGAATTTTCCAACATGGTTTCCCCTTGTAAGTGTTGCAGGAAGGATGGCCTGACAAGGACAGCTGTCTAGTTGTTCGGATGATACGGAAAACCAAGGTCCCGCGTATACATTGGCGTGCACATAAAAGACCCCTTGGCAGTTGGAATTCGCTATAAGAGTGGGCCATAGTGCCGCTGTCCGGAATTTGATGTAAGAGTAGGCCGTAGTGCCACAGTCTGGGCAAAATTTCCCTCATAGTGCACTGTATGGCGTATGCCTGTTTTCGTTAGCCCAGGCAGAGCAGAACAGTAGGACGTTAAACCCCATTTCAATTCATTTAACCGACGAAAACGCTTGGAAATGCGTACATGGAAAAACAGGCCTTATACTGTTCTACAGTGTCCATAAGCAGGAGTGACAATAATTTAAACATAATTTAAATATAACTGAAGTAAACTAACCATGTTTCATCATTACTGTGAGAAAGCGGATGATGACCTTCGAGCTGGGTCTTAAAATCACCTGTCGCTTGCCACGCCTCTCAGCGGCAGTGATTCGGTTCAAGGCCATAGCTAACACACTTATCATCACCATCTTGGCGGCTGAAAAATACAATTTTAAAAATATTAGGCAAATATTCCATTATGGGACTTTAAACATACATTATGTAAGAGCTAAATCTGCCTATTGCAGGTCTTTCTTTAGGCCTAAAATGTTATTTAAATTATTAATTAGACATTAATTATCCAGGCCATAATCAACTCTCGATGGCATAGGATTTCTCCGATATTAAAGAGATTAGAACAGTTCAGCCATATTTTGATTTAAGCTAAAAATGGAGAAGCGAGACTTAGCGTCGAACAACCAGTACGGTGGTTGAAATTATTGCACACGTCTTGTCAAACCTTCAAAGGCTAATATCTTCACTGGCAATAGAGTAAATTGAATGAAATTTTCAAATTATTTATTTTACATTATCTATTTTGGAACTATTATAGCAAGAATGGCTAGCTCTTTATTTAAATCTTACATAAAGTATCTTTAATTAACAGTATATATTGTTACTAAGCCATATGTCAGTTCAATTTTTATCTTCAATTAATTTAAGAAGAACGAAGGTATAATTGAGTATATCATCATTCAAATGGCTTCGGTCTTCAGAGAATAAAAATCATTTGATGTCAGTTTACACATTTGTGATAAAATCCTATTTATTGCTTTTCCAAGAGAGAGATAGAGAGAGAGATGTGGTTTAACCTCTACTCAACACAAACTAGAACATGGGACCAACATATGGTTCAATTTTATTTCAATAATTAGCTTGCATGTAGGTGTCTTTAGCAGTGGGGGGGAAAACCGGAGAAAACCGACGAGGTTGTAATTAAAAGGAAGACAAACTTTCAGAAAATATCATCCAGAAAAATGTTGGGTTTTTCGGTTCATAAAGGAATACTCGTTTATTTTCGCAAGTTTATTTTTAATACCAGAAGCTATTACTGTACTGGAAGCATTGTCAGGTGCTTAGTTGTGACTGAAGTTTATCTATTCGGCTATTATTATTTTGCAGATTTGAACTAAAATGCTTTAAATAATGACAAAGTATTATTTAATTTCAATACATTTCTGTCAAGAGAAAATCGGCTTGTCCGCAGCTAAATGGAATGCGAAAAATCAACTGTCCAACAAAATGATCAACCAGTCCCGGACTTCCGGAACTGTGCACAGCTGGTTATAACACTGCTTATTTATGTTTGTCGGACCAATATCCACAGCGTACTTTGTGTGAGTATCGTTCTCAGAAATATAAAATTGCCACAAAAATAAAGCCATGAGTCAGATCAATTTTCATCTTCAATTAATTTAAGAAGAACGAAGGTATAATTGAGTATATCATCATACAAATGGCTTCAGTCTTCTAATTCCATTCTGTATGACAGTTTCCCTTTCTATTCCATGTAAAAATGAAAAATAATTGCAATAATGGGGCTTAATATCCTACTTTTCTGCACCGGGGGCCAGGTAACTTGTCCACAACCACTGGTTAAGTCGTCCACAACTAATACTTGACTCGTACACACTTTAATTGTATAGAGAGAGAGCGAGAAATGGGGTTTAACGTCCACTCGACACAAACTAGGTCATTTCGGGGACTAACACATGGTTCAATTTTATTTCAATAATTCACTTGCGCGTAGGGGTCTTTAGCAGTGGGAGGAAACTGGAGGACCCGGAGAAAACCCACGAGGTTGGACAGGCGACCCTACTCCTTGTCACGTACAACTGGGGATTCGAAACCACACCAGTCGACTTTAATGACAGACTTTATGATACAGCACGCACGTGCTAACCATTCAGCCATCCAACCCCCCTTAATTGTATGGAATAAAAAAATATGTTTTACTCGTTGGTTGTTTTATTTACCCAATAATCAATAAGCTTGGTTCACAGACTGATTAACGTTATGATTTTAGATTAGTTCACCGATGTTTTTGATCTAAATTTGTTAATAATTACGCAGTGGATATTCAGCCGTCCGACGGTTCTTTACTTTATTTACTATTTAGCCGTCTCTTCCGTTTGACATGCACAGTTGTCTGATTCCTGGACTTAGCGGTTTTCGCTTTGGCAATGATGCCGGCTATTTCAACTCGTGGCCTATTTTACCGTCTGACATTAATTGCCATCGGTCAGTTCAACTATTTTACCGTATCACGACGAATTTTATTTTACTGTCTCGAGACGAATTTTATTTTACCCTAACCCTGCTCGAAGAGTCAATTTCACGAAACATCATTTTAGTAAACGCACTAGCCGTCAACATCTTCTTCGGTCGCCATATTTAATCACGCGATAAGGGCGTGAGATCTCGCGGGAATCGGACAACTGCGCATGTCGAACGGAAGTACGGCTAAATATAGTAAATAAAGTAAGGAACTGTCGGATGGCAAAATATACACTATGAATAATTATAATTAGCATTACGATTTTAGATTAGTTTGCCGATGTTTTTGTAATAAAGTAGTCTCAAATTGTTTGTTAATTGGCGGTGTAAATTTTTAAACAATATTTAATTGAGTTGATATGACCATTTCGTATTTTTTCAGTTGCACCTCAAGAATCTGACACTCTGTGCTGTGGTTAGGTGGAAATACGTCTCTGGCACCAAAGATATGAAATGAAACGAGGTTTAACGCCCTACTGTTCTGCTCCGACTGGGATAATGGAGACGGGCACCCAAGATAGAAATCCGGAACGAACTAATACACACCTCCCCAATTATCTCACTGAAGTTGACAGTGAAAAAACGGAAATAATCGTCCATGCGATTCCACGAAGGAAAGGCGGTATGCATGATCTATAGATTGAAATATCAGGTAATTTCCAATCCCGTAACATAAATATCAACATTTATTTATTCATTAAATGTTCACTAAGGATTCAGGCCTGTTTATTTATTTTTGGGTGATGTAGATATTGAGATTTATCTTGATTTTCATCAAGTTTTGTTTAGGTCACCATGTTTACCTTTAGTAAGATGGCTGCAAAAGGCCGAAAAGGAGGCTACTTCCGGGAACGTAACTCACATGAACTTCCGGATTATGTAGAAATTTGGCAGGTGCCCGTAGCAGTTGAGTGAAATGGTGATTTGGAGTTAAATTACGGCCTTACTTGTCGACTGTAAGTGTGTAAATCCTTTTAGACTATTTAATTTTTAATGTCCATATTCTGGTTGTTTTAATTACTAAATATTTCTTGAGAAACAATAAAGTAACCAAACTACCAAAAGTTTGTTTACATGTTTCTATGGGAAAAGTTATCTCCCTTAGCATAATACATTTCTTTCTTAGTTTCACCTTAAATTATTTAGGCTGATTTATTGATCAGTATTGATTGTCAATTTTGATTGACAGAGCCATTAATTGATATTTTTGAAAAAAAAAAAAATAATAATCTTTCAGAAAAAAGTTTAAGATGCATTATAAAAGATTTAAATAAAGAGCTGGCCATTCTTGCTGTGTATAATTACTTAAATTACTATAATTAAAAATAGTTCAAAAATCGATACCGGTAATGAAAAATGAATTTATTGAAAATTTAACTTTATTCTGACTTAAGTTATGAGTGTTTGAAGATCTAGCATAGATTGTTTTTTATCGTAGCAACGGTCGCCTACTTAACAATCAAGGCTAAGTCATGATTAGCAAGTTTTTAAAAATTTGCGGGAGTTAAAATCCATTTAAATCTCGGCCATACGATGGTCTAGATATTTAATTATAGGGTGTTTTTAGAACAGACATATTGGAAGCCATAACCAACAACGATATGGTTTCCTATACATCTGGGGATCACAGTGGCTAAGTGGGTAAGGCGTTGGCTCGCTAGCCTGGAGGTCGGGTGTTCGATCCCTGCATTGGCCGAGAAAGTTCATCCAATTTTTCCGGCGTGGTTCCCTCTTGTCTAGTCATTCGGATGAGACGGAAAACCGAGGTCCCGTGTACCCATTGGCTTGCACGTAAAAGATCCCTTGACAGTTGGAATTCGATATAAGAGTAGGCCGTAGTGCCGCTGTCTGGGCAAAATTACCCTCATAGCACACTGTATGGCGTATGCCCGTCTTCATTAGCCCAGTTCGGAGCAAAACAGTAGGACGTTAAACCCCATTTCATTTCATTTCATTTCATTTCCTATACATCTGTTCTAAAAACACATATAGATAGCCTAGACGATACTTGTGAGAAGTAACAACCTCTAATATAACCTATTGTATTAAAATCATAATTCACAGTCCAAATATGAAGGAGTAAAATATCAAAAATGGATCTTTTACCATTTAGACACGTGTACAAGAAACATTACCCCCAAGTTTCAAAGTATTCAAATATAGGATATACGGACTTATATAGATTTCATAGATTTCTAATAAAAATACAAAAATGCCCCCCCTCCCCAAAAAAAACAATACAAAACCGGAGTATTTCAACTGAATATCATCGTGAATACCAAGTCTCAAGCTTTCCAGCTAAAATGTCTACCTGTGATAATTTAGGTGCAAAGTTCAAGGTTCGTTCAATGTTAAGGTTTCCGTGGAGCTTGCCATGTTTGATTTGAGGGTGTTTGTGTCACGGCCTCTGATTGGACAACGTTATTGTTCACGTGTCTGTGGTAAAGGGAGATAACGTACCTATAATTTCATGAATTAGATGGTCGAATGGTTAGCACGTGCACGTTGAGTCAACTGGCGTGGTTTTGAATCCCCGGTTGTACGTGACAAGGAGTAGGGTCACCAGTCCAGCCTCGTTTGTTTTATCCGGTTTACTCCCACTGCTAAAAAAAACCCTACGTGCAAGCGAATTATTGAAATAAAATTAAACCACATGTTAGTCTCGAAATGACCTAGTTTGTGTTGAGTGGACGTTAAACCCCATTTCATTCTCTCTCTCTCTCTTCAGGAACATGAAATTCCTGTGGCGAGAAAGTATTCAATTTTCCAGTGGTGTCTTTATCTGTATAGAAATCAAATTATCTCAAACATGTTGTTTTATGTTTTATTTTCAGGGGAAAATGTCTGGAAGTGCAATGTTAGAAAGGCGACCCACGTCTAGACATAGTGGTTCCCCTTTAAAAGGACAATGTAAAATACAGCATCGGTCAGATATCCTTATGAAGGAACAGGTTAGAAAATAAGAAATTTTATATTTATATTGTGATAGAAATCTTTAGCAATGCAACCAAATAATCATCAACTCATTTCCTTCTTGGGGAGACATGTTGACTCACTGAGTAAGATGCCTGCTGACTAACCATGAGGTCCTGTACTCCTCGGTTTGATCTCAGTGTTCAAATTTTCCAGTCAGCTTTTCTCTTGTCAGTGATGGTACAATAAATGTCTAGTCATTTAGATGGGACAAAAAACCTGAGGTGCCCCTTGTGGGAATTTCCCTTCATCGAGTAAGCAAAGAAAGTATAATGTTAAACCTCGGTATATTTTATATCACTGTACTCTTTCATGTGAAATGAAATGGGGTTTAACATCCTACTGTTCTGTTCCGGCTGGGCTAATGAAGACAGGCATACGCCGTACAGTGTGCTATGAGGGAAATTTTGCCCGGACAGCGGCACTACGGCCTACTCTTATATTGAATTTCAACTGCCAAGGGATCTTTTACGTGCACTCCAATGTGTACACAGGACCTTGTTTTTCATCTCATCCGAATGACTAGACTGTACCACTGACAAGGGAAAACCACACCGGAAAATCTTGAACTTTCTCGTCCAAAACCGGGACTGGATCTCCGACCTCCGGGCTAGCGAGCCAGCATCTTACCCACTTAGCCGCTGTGGCCCCAACTCTTTCATTGAAGGGGGGTGGGTGGCTGAATTGTTTGACACATGCACTTTAGATGATACGATCTGTCATTAAGTGAAGGGGCATGATTTGGATTCCCAGCTTTTTGTGACAATCTTGTGGGTTTTCTCAGGTTTCTTCCAACTGGTGCATGTGAATTATTGAAATAAAATTGGGAAGGTCGGGTGTTCGATCCCTGCATTGGCCGAGAAAGTTCATCCTGATTTTCCGACATGGTTCCCCCTTGTCAGTGATGCAGGACGGAGGGCCTGACAAGGACAGCTGTCTAGTCCTTCGGATGAGACGAAAAACCAAGGTCCGTGTATATATTGGAATGCACGTAAAAGATCCCCTGGCAGTTGGAATTCGATATAAGAGTAGGCGATAGTGCCGCTGCCCGGGCAAAATTTCTCTCATAGCACACTGTATGGCGTATGCCCGTCTTCATTAGCCGAGTATAGGAGCAGAACAGTAGGATGTTAAACCCCATTTCATTTCATTTTGAAATAAAATTGAAGCATATGTTAGTCCCGAAATGACCTAGTTTGTGTGGAGTGAATATTAAGCCCCATTTTTCACTCTTTTCTTTCTCTCTCAATGAGAATATTTTATTTCTCCAGGTTCAGAATGTTCAAACAAGTCAAGACATGTTAAAAGCTGCGGAAGCAAATCTCCATGCAGCGAAATCATCGGATGCAGACCGGTATCAGACCATTGTAAATGATCTAGAAATAAAAGTAGAAAGACAGCTAATTGTCTTACAGGTAAAAACATCATATTTTTAGTTTGTTTTCATTTTAAATGATGATTATTACAGTTTATTATTGAACCATATGTTAGTCCCGAAATGACCTAGTTTGTGTCTAGTGGATGTTAAACCCCATTTCTCTCTGTCTCTCTCTCTCTCTCTTCAAGAAACAAGCATGCCAAGTTTGATCAAGATGAGTAGCACTTTGGTAGCGTCTACAGGGCTGACAACGAAAGTGTGTCCAGTCATTAGGATGGGATGATAAACCGAGATCCACATGCATGAAAAAACATCCATGACAATTACAATTTGATGAAAAGTAGACAAAAACGATGCTGTCGGGGTAAAATTATCTACCCTAGGAAAATGACCATAGAATAAAAACATATGTTAGTCTCAAAATTACATGGTCTGTAATTTCAGATAATGCACAAATTAGATATAGAGTTGGCGTATGCGAGAGCTGATTTACAGACGGCCTTATATGAACAAGTAGGTGATATAAATACAGCTAGAAAACGGGTAAAATGGCTGGAAGACAAAATGGGTGACCTTTGTGGCAAGAAAAGGTTAAAGGTAAGTAAGGACATCTTATTTAAATAATGATCTTGTTAGTCTCAATTAGAGCAGTGGGTACAGCAAGAAGGACGTTAAATCCCATTTCATTTCTTTTCATTTGTCTTTAGATTTTTTAAATTATTTTTGAGGGGGTTGGGCGGTCCAATGTGTGTGCATTAGATTTTAAGGTCTGTTATTGAATCAAGCCCGGTCGCCTCTCCATCCTCATGGGTTTTCTCCAAGTTGGCTGGTTTGCTCCTGTTGCTAAAACCTCCTACGTGTAATCAAAATTATTGAAAAAAATTGCACCTTATGTTACTTTTTGGCACCGACTCTGTTAATAGGAGTAGTGCATGCGGAGCTGACACGGTAAGTATACCTACTCATTGGGTTGGGATGTTAAACCAATATCTACATACATACATATTGACATGAGTGTAATAGAACCCTTCACAGTAGAGAGAAAGATGGGGTTTAACGTCCACTCGACACTCCTTGTCACATACAACCAGGGAATCGAAACCCCCCTTCAGAGTAGAAATTTTAATAAAAATAGGCATGAATTAGAACCCTTCATGTAACCATTCGATGAAGAATTGGCAGATATTAGAATTTGATAAACAATGGGTGGATATTAGAACTCTTCACAGTAGTAATTCGCTGCAATCTGATTAAAACACAGATCCTATTTCATTTCGTTTTTATAGTTCAAAATTTCGTTTTATTTGTCTTTACTACATGTACACTAGTATCTGGAAGAGTTGTTGTCATTGACGTGTTCTGAATGATGTGAGGGAATAGCTAATCAAACGGTCTGTTACAGTGAGCTTTAGGTGTGTTTTGCACGGAACTGTGGGTAATCCACTAGTAACATCAATGCCGATTGGTTAATCAAATGTCTGATGTCATAGGGTCAAAAGCTGCTTGTATGACCTCTGACATGACCTATCGCTACAACCGGTCAGATCTTCATGTAATGTAGGCCATCAATGGTATAAAAAAAACGAAACGAAATATAGATCTGTATTTTAATCAGATTGTACTTTGCTGAAGAATAGGCAGAAATATTGACACAACGTTAATATCCACTTCTTTACCTCTTTCAGAGTCAGCCGGTAACAAAAGATGATAAGTCAACTAACAAGACAGCGATAACTAGTCCGGAACAGAGTGATTTGGCCATTGAATCTTCTTCGCAGATCGATCCGGATAAGTCTACCGTGGAACCAGAGTCAGGAGACGTGGAGACCTCTAGTAGCGCTGAAAGCCCAACTCGCGATTCCAAGATTATTAGTGATGAAACAGAAGTGGCTAATGAGACTGAAGAAAACAAAACACCTGTAACTGCTGAGACCAATGAAAAAGAAGTTAGCAATCTGTCGAAAAAAGTGACAATTTTTGTGACAACAACCGATGAAGATGAGCAGGCTGATGATGATGATGAAGATGATGATAAATTAGAAGAGGTAGTTCATGATTTTTTTATTTTATTCTTGCTAAAAGGCCATATAAAGAAACAACTCTTGTTCTCAGGTAACCCTGCATCACCTAAAAAGGGCTGCATGTCCGTTTTTTATTATTATTTTTATTGTTCGATTTATATAACAGTTCATTACACATGAGTGTTTCTAAGCGCATTCACATCAAAACGGTTGAAAAACATTTTTGAAATAAATATGTTTTTAAGTTCGCCTTAAAACTCTGGATGGACGAGTTTTTGGAAGATCATTCCACATTTTAGCTGCTTTGACCGAGAATGGATATTCACCAAAATGCTTACTATATTTGGGGATCCTCAATATGCTACGATCACTTAAAGAACGAAGGTTGGATCCCCGGGGAGTATAGAAATCAAAGAGTTCTTTTAAATAACTGGGTGCAGTGTCGGAATAAATTGATTTAAACACATTCATAAGAGCTTTAAATTGAACCCTCGCTCAAGCTGGAAGCCAAAACAATCTCATTAATTACAGTACATTAATGTTTATCTCGGTTTACAGGAAGTAGCTCTTTAAATAATTTGAATCAATCCAAAAATGTGGCATAGACTCATTCATCAAGTACACAACCCTTATAAATGTTACTGACAATGATAAATGTTACTGGATAATCATATACCTTTCTATAAAGAACATGATGAGATAAATATAGTGCCTTGATGAAATGTGATGTTTATGAGAAGTCATTTAGCCCAGTAGTAAATAAAATGAAATGAAATGGGGTTTAACGTCCTACTGTTCTACACGGGACCTCAGTTTTTTGTGCCATCCGAACGACTAGACAGCTGTCCTTGTCAGGCCCTCCATCCTGCATCACTGACAAGGGGGAAGTATGCCCGAAAATCTGGATGAACTTTCTCGGACAATGCAGGGATCAAACACCTGACCTCCAGGCTAGCGAGCCAGCGTCTTACCCACTGTGATCCCCTAGCCTAGTAGTGATCATTTGACAAAATAAAAAAAAAACACAAAAATAAAATCTCCCACCTGCATCAGACTTTTGGTAAGGATAGTCTGAGAAGAGAATATTTTTTTCGTATGGCCTAAGAATAGGGTAACCAGATTAATCATTGAAGAAACCTGGACATTTATTTTTCCGAGCAGACTAAAACCAAATTAAGCACGAAGCGACAAAATGAGCCCCCGAAAGCCGCGGAAAAATTGAGTGCCCCCCCCCCCCGAATTTTTTTATTCCTAGAAGCCGGGAGATGTGTTTATGCTCCCATTATGTATTATGCACTGAACTATATTTAGATCAGAAGTGGTGTGCTGAAGTAAGATTGTAGCAAACACTGTTTTATATATTACTATTAATCACTAGTTTATGTGTTTTGTCTTATTATTTTCAATTTAAAAACACCAGATTTAAAAACCAGGACATTTAGACACGTGAGATGCATCGGGACGGGACGACAAAAAGGACCCCAAAAACCAGGACGTATGGTAACCCTACCTATGAGGAACCAGGATTTTTTCCAAGCATGCTGATTTTGAAGGGTTTTTTTATAAGCAATCTACAACTATGTAAAAATAGAGTTACACATTGATTCAATCGTTTTTGTTGTTGTTCAGGAACAAAAAGAAACTGACCTTGCTGGTGGTTCAATTCTTGATTATGACCAATCATCCAGTACTAAAGAGAAGAAGAAATCAGTAGTACAAATAGTTACAGGAGATGAAGTAAAACAACCAACTTTCCTAACAGAAGTTTCTAAAGTTACGTCTAAAAGTTGTGTTACCATGGCATCTATTGTCGACAGTAAAGGTAAGGATATAGGTGTTGCTTGTTCACAGAATCCTCGGGATGAATCCCGGCATCGGACACAACAAGCCACTTGTTCCCACACATGAGTTGTAGCACCTGTGTAGTTACTCGGATGGGACAAAAATCTGAGGAAGTTGGTTGGTCTAGTGGTTAAACGCGTGCATGTGAAATCACAATGTCTGTCACTGAGTCAAAATGGCAAGGTTTCAATTCCCCACATGTAAGTGACATGGAGTAGGGTCGGCTGTCCAACCTCGTGAGTTTTCATCAAGTCCTCCGGTTTCCTCCCGCTGCCAAAGAATTATTGAATTAAAATTGAACCATATGTTAGTTCCGAAATGACCTAACTCATGTCGAGTGGACTTTAAACTTGCAGGTTGATTTTATTTTTTGGGGGGATCTATTTCAGGTTATGTTTGTGATGTAGAGGAAGATGCAGTTAGAGATTATTGGCAATCAGAACATCATCGATTTGATCTCGGACAATATTATAACGAGCTGATAGATAACGACCCAATATCATACCATAATCTAGGTGTATCCTTACCTGGATGTTTTATAAACACTGATACAGGTAATTAAAACGAGTTTATATATATAACGACCTGATATCATACCATAATCTAGGTGTATCCTTACCTGGATGTTTTATAAACACTGATACAGGTAATTAAAACGAGTTTATATATATAACGACCTGATATCATACCATAATCTAGGTGTATCCTTACCTGGATGTTTTATAAACACTGATATAGGTAATTAAAACGAGTTTATATATATAACGACCTGATATCATACCATAATCTAGGTGTATCCTTACCTAGATGTTTTATAAACACTGATACAGGTAATTATTATTATAATGTGCTTATATCGTAGCATAATCTAGGTGTATTGTTACCTGGATGTTTTATAAACACTGATACAGGTAATTATTATTATAATGATCTTATATCATACCATAATCTTGGTGCATCGTTACCCGGGTGTTTTCTAAATACTCATACAGGTAATTATAATTATAATGAGCTTATATATAACGACCTGATGATATCATACCATAATCTGGATGCATCATTACCTAGGTACTTTATAAATACTGACATAGGTAATTATAACAAGTTTATAGATAACGACCTGATAGTACCATAATCTAGGTGTTTACTTACCTGAGTGTTTTATAAATACTGATACAGGTAAATAATATTATACCGATCTTACCTGGATGTTTTATAATACTGATACAGGTAAATAATATAAGTGACATATTTTGGCAGTCATTATTAATTAATCAGCATTATGGTGCGAATGTCCCGCTTGGAATGATCCAGTGTGTCACATGGAATTGTCTGATATGCAGCCTGGTGTGTGCCAATTGTACTGGTCTATACTGGTCTAATATACTTATAATGGCTTAATATGCTGCTTGAAATGTGCCACTTGGAATGATCTAATATCCAACTTGGAATGGTCTATTATCCAACTTATGCCATATGTTGGCCAACCCTGATATTGAAATTCTGTTAGCGTCTAATCATGCAACAAAAAAACTTAGAATGTAGGTATACAATAGTAATTATTTTATTTCTGGGTTTTATTCAATCTCGTTTATTTACCCATCGTTTATCTCTGGTAAAACTCGCCAGCCATTTTGTAATCGACAGTATTTTGTTTTAACAAATCCTGCCAATCAGTAATCATGGGGGGGCGGAGCTAAATAACCGGTTTCACGCTGATTAATGGCTGGCGAGTTTTACCAGAGATAAACGAGGGGTAAAGTTGTCTCTGAAATCGAGATTGAGTTTTATTATTATTTTTAGACGATCAAGATTTTAATGAGTTACCATGGAGATTGAGAAGAAAAGAAAGTGATATAAAAGATGTACATGTAAGTTTTAACTCTTTAAGTTGAAATTCCTGTTATCCAAGAATCAGTAGTAAATTATTTGAATAGTCATTATCAAACAATGATAAAATATGACAATGTAATAAGAAAATGGAGAATCCAGACTATGTTTTTTTATCGTACCGACTTACGATTCTAGGCTCAAAATTCAATGGCTAAATTCTCGGTTCAGAGAATTTTCAGCATATTCCCTTTACATTATCTAGTTTTTAACTATTATAGTGAGAACTGACAGCTCATTATATAATCTCCCATAATATATCTTTAAATGAGTGTGATATTCACTGTATTGTTTGTTCTTGTAGAGAATAGCATTAGAGATAAACTAGCTGTCAAATTAAATGGAATGTACGCAAATCACATTATTTTTTTAGCGCGTTCTCTAGCCATCTCTTGCAAAATTTGGGCGTATCTTGCATGGCAATCGCTTGTCGAATTAAGTGTTTGTTATATATGAGTGTTATTATTTGTTCTTGTAGAGAATAGCATTAGATAAACTAGCTGTCAAGTTAAATGGAATGTACACAAAGGTTTATGATGCGGCCATGTTGTCTGTGTTACCTTCTTCAAGACAAGGTGAAGGTCAACCACAAGAATCAAGATTTCAATCTAGAGAGAGTATGTTTATTATCTGAGTTATTCAAAAGTCTTGTTTAATGGTTAAACAAGTACTGCTATATGGACAGGGTGTTGGGTGGTCTAGTGGTTTAACGCTTGCACGTGAATTCATGAGGTCTGTCAATGAGTCGTGGTTTCGATTCCTCGGTTGTACGTGCAACAAGGATTAGGGTCGCCTGTCCAACCTCATGGGTTTTCTCCAGGTCTTCCAGTTTCCTCCCACTACTAAAGACCCATACATGCAAACGAATCATTGAAATAAAATTGAGCCATATGTTAGTCCTGAAATGACCTAGCTTGTGTCGAGTAGAAGTTAAACCACATTTTTTCTCCCTCTCTCGTTATTTGGACGTCAGAAGCATAACCGTGACTTATAATTTATTTTGTTTAATTTAGTTGTTGGTCAAGGTCATCTAACAGAAACATCAGACAATACACGAAGTCAGCAGCGATCTGGTAAGAAAAGTGACGACACGTTCGCGCTGCCGAAAGTTGTATTAAAGAAAAGGGGAGGTAATGCCACTAAACTGGTCTACTATCCTAAACCTATACCACCTCCAGACGTTCTACCAATTACTAGAACGGTAATATAGCTTTATTTATACTAGAATGGTAATATAGCTTTATTTATACTAGAACGGTAATATAGCTTTATTATACTAGAATGGTAATATAGCTTTATTGTACTAGAATGGTAATATAGCTATATTTATACTAGAACAGTAATATAGCTTTATTTATACTAGAACGGTAATATAGCTTTATTTTTACTAGAACGGTAATATAGCTTTATTATACTAGAATGGTAATATAGCTTTATTTATTAGTGGGAAAGGAAATTAAATGGGATTTAACATCCTACTGTTATGCTCCGACTGGGCTACACATTGGCATGCAGGATGGGGGGCCTGACAAGGACAGCTGTCTAGTCGTTCGGATGGGACAGAAAACCGAGGCCCCGTGTACACATTGGCATGCACATAAAAGATCCCTTGGCTGTGTTGGAATTCGAATTAAGAGTAGGCCGTATTGCTGCTGTCCTGGCAAAATTTTCCTCATAGTCCAGTCATTTATATGTAATATACTCAGCCAAATTAAAAACTTAACACTCAGGATTTTTGGGACTAGATTTTTAATATTTAGTTTAAGTCAATTATTTTAGTGTTATGTTGTGCACAGACGACCTTGACATCAACAGAAAGCAAGAATACGTCTCGCCGAAAGTCCTTGAAATTGATAACGTTTGTGATGTCACAGTACCCCCCAAAATGAAATTCACAGACTTGGAGAACAATCGGAATAAAGTGTTAAGTAACATTTGTGGCCTCCTCTAGCGTCTCCTACTGCCACACAACGTCTTCTCATGGATCTCAGAACATTAGTAAACACTACCCGAGAAAGACGTCGACACTCCTCAGCAAGAGCATGTTGAAGGTCCTGCAACGTCAGTGGTGGATTCACTTGCTGACGAACACGTCGACCCAGTTCGTCCCAGATGTGTTCAATAGGATTAAGGTCGGGGCTAAGCGACGTCCAATCCAGGACTTGGACACCGGCATTTCTTAAAAAATTCTGGGTAGCAATTGCTGTATGGGGTCGAGCATTGTCTTGTTGAAATGTTAGTCCAGGCCCATGTCTCTGCATAAACGGAAGAAGAACAGGTTGCAAAATCTGATCCCTGTACTGGACAGCATTTAAGTACACTTGAACAACAATAAGAGGAGAATGTCCATGTGCACAAAAAGAACCCCAAACCATGACGCTGCCGCCACCAAATCGGTCAACTTCTCTGACGCATACTTGAGCGTAACGTTCACCTCGTCTGCGGTACACTTGGGCCCTGCCATCGGCAAATCTCAAAGTGAATCGAGATTCGTCACTAAAGACAACCGAATTCCACTGTCTTTGAGTAAATCTTATGTGTCTTGTGGCCCACACAAGTCGGTTACGGCGATGAAGAGGTGTCAATATTGGTACATTATAGGGCCTCCGAGCTCGAAGACCAGCAGCCTGCTAGCGATTTCGAACAGTTTGTGCAGTTACCCTTCCACCAAACATCTCTCTACTTGTGGAGGTTGCAGTGACAAATCTGTTTCTAAGATGACATAATCGTATTGCTTGATCTTCCTGGAGTGACGTCACACGTGGCGCTCCCGCCCTTGGGCGGTCGGCAATAGTTCCAGTTTGAAGCACTCTCATTCTAAGATTAATTATTGTCTGGCGTGAACAATTAAAGGCTCTTGCAACAGTGACCACAGACTGACCAGCATAGAGCCTACCTATAGCATGTAGACGTTCTACATTTGAAAGGCGCAGCATTTTCTAACAAAGATGAAAATAACAATTTTAATTTGTTTTTCCAGTTCAAGTTACATGTGCGTGTTCAGTTTAAGCAAACTTGCATCGATTGACCTCACGAGTTTGTGTTTGCACGTGTTTTTCAGGTTTTTCATCTTTATATGCTCAAAAGTCATGTGATCCACGTGACTTTACAATTTTATGAAATTAAAGGCTTCTTATTACTGACTATCGTTAGAAACACTTTAAAATTTATTTGACTTACCAGAAAAAACAATTTGTTGAAATTCATCAGTGTCAAGTTTTTAATTTGGCTGAGTATATATGCCTTCTTTTAGTGGGGGTGGGGGTGGATGGCTGAATGGTTAGCATGTGCGCGCTGTATCATAAGGTCTGTCATTGAGTCAACTGGCGTGGTTTTGATTCCACGGTTGTATGTGACAAGGAGTTGGGTCGCCTGTCCAACCTCGTGGGTTTTCTCCGGGTTTTCACCCATAGCACACTGTATGGCATTTGCCAGTCTTCACTAGCCAAGTCGGGGTAGGACGTTAAACCCCCTTTCATTTTTAAAGTGTTGACAAAGGTATTAAAGTTGATGCACCCGACAATATATTTGCAGAGTAAAAATAAAGAATTTCCAAGATATTCCAGTGCATTTGCTGAGCCTGGAGCAGATATCCGACCTCCAGCCAATAGAATTGTAGACCAGAGAAATTTAATGGAAGAAACAAAGTTGGTTTTATATCGTGAGAAACCAAAACCAAAGAAAGAAGGACCAAGTACGACAGAACGCAGATTTAGGCGAATGCTGGAAAGGGACAGAACTCTGAGTTCCGTTTCATCGTAAGTTTCTATTTATATTGGGGGGGTTGGATGGCTGAATGGTAAACACGCACGCGCTGTATCATAAAGTCTGTCATTGAGTCAACTGGCGTGGTTTCGAATCCCCGGTTGTACGTGACAAGGAGTAGGGTCGCCTGTCCAACCTCGTGGGTTTTCTCTGGGTTCTCCGGTTTCCTCCCACTGCTAAAGACCCCTACGCGCAAGCGAATTATTGAAATAAAATTAAACCATATGTTAGTCCCGAAATGACCTAGTTTGTGTCGAGTGGACGTTAAACCCCATTTCTCTCTCTCTCTATTTATATTGATTTCAATGTTTACATAAGTTGTATTTTAGTTTATTTAGTTTAAACATACATTATGCAAGAGCTAAATCTGCCTATTGCAGGTCTTTCCTTAGGCCTGAAATGTTATGTAAATTATTAATTAGACATTTATTAACATGAAAAGACCTTAATAAACTCTCAATGCCATCTTATAGTGTCACATTTTCACTGGATTTGAATCAGATTTGCTGCTCAATGCTCATTGATGATTTAATCCAAAATTGATAATCAAGACAATTTTTTTTACGTACCGACTTTAGTAATGATGATCGAGGCTAGGCCTAAAATTCAAGTGGTAATATCTTGATTCAGGGTGGATCAATTTGACTGAAATTTTCAGCAAATTCTATTTACGTTATCTAGTTTTTAACAATTATAACTCCCAGCTCTTTATCTAATCTTCCATAATGTATCTTTAAATTCTGTACCATAATAATATTTAAAATCGGTATGATTTCTTTCTGGATCATCTGGATGGTATGTGTACAGTATAAGCTTATAGATTCATTTTAAAAAGCCGGTGTACATCACTTGAATGATTTCAAATCGTTTGCATACTGCAATATTGTGAAAGTTGAAACTAAAAAAAGGATATCGGTCCAAAAATAGTCCAATATTAACAACAAATTTTACAACATTCAACAATCACTGCAGCAAGGTGGTTTTGATTCCCCGGTTGTACATGGCAGAGAGTAGGGTCGCCTTTCTCCGGGTCCTCCAGTTTCCTCCCACTGCTAAAGACCCCTATACGCAAGCGAATTATAAAAATAAAATTGAACCATATGTTAGTCCCGAAATGACCTAGTTTGTGTCGAGTGGATGTTAAATCCCATTTCTCTCTCTGTCTCTCACTGCAGCGAGCTGCCATTCTTAAAATCAAATTTTTAAGTTATAATAAATTTTTAGCTAGCCCTTAACTCATATTTGCAGTAACTCTGTTTGTTGTGTGAATTTTTAGCCCAGAATTCTTTGAAGTTGAAGAAGAAGCTGTATCACTTCGGTATCCTCAATTCTTTCATAAATTTACTTTCCTTTTCAATTTTTGTAGAATAGTATACATTAGTTTTAGAAATGGAAAATTCTTATTTTTTCTCGATGACATGACAGAGATTTTGTGTTCTGGGGATCTAACTAATACATGACACATGGAATACTAGTTACTTAGAATTTTTTACTAAGTTTTGTAGATTTAGATATTATAAAAATCCCCACTCGACAGCACTAAGAACGGACTTGAAGTTTGTTGGGAGTTGGTTTATTCAAACTATTCGGGTTGAGACATCCTTTTTCAATGAATGATTTTAATGATCTTGTGATGCCTTTATATACATTTTAGATTTTGTTGATTAAATTTTATATGTAGACATAGGGAAAAGGTTGATTTCAAATTATTTTACCCAAAACAACATTAATCCTTTAAATTGATTGATATATTAATATAATATGAAAATCAAACTTAAATTGTACTTGATTTTAACCCTTCTGGACTGGACTGGGGGGAGGAAGGATGAGGCCATGGATGGCTTAATGCTATTTTAGCTAGTTTTAGCTATTTACTACTGCATCTATTTTCTTTTATTCAATGTGTTTTTTTTTTATTTCTTATAATCCAAAAACACACATCAAATTCTAATGTAGTTCATTTCTTTTTAGCTTTCATACATGTAGATGTTGGTTTTACGGTCTCCTTTCTTTTTACCTTTCATATGTAGGTGTCGGTTTTACAATATTTAATTTTAGCGTAATTTTTTATTGCCCATAGATACGTTGTGGTTAGGTAACTAGACTATTGACCAGGGTGTACCAGATTTGAATACCGGTGTAGGCCTAGTAGACCCTGACGATTTCTCAAGCCCAGTTCAAATGGCCATATTGATATAATCCTTTAGTGGCATTTAGCAATGGGAAACATAACAAAACTGACACAGTGATATGGAACAACAATCACTGGTTTATTATACACATCGTGCTTGTGTATAATAAACCAGTGATTGTTGTCCCATATAACTGTGTCAGTTTTGGCCATATTGATTTCCCAGTATCGTATTAACTACACAGTTAAATGACGACTTTCACTCCAAAATCTTGCCAGACGGTCAATTTGTTGGGTGTTTTTGAAGGGTTGGGGGTTATATGTTTTATTTTAAATATTTCTTTAGTATTATCCAAATTTGGTCATTATGTCAATTTTACCAATAAGTTTAACTCTATTTATTGGGATTTTAAGATTTGAAATTCTAATCTAAAGGCATATAATTTGACTGACAAGTAAATCTCCACCTGATCAATTTCACTCAATGTCAGTCAAGACAGTTGAATCTGAGTGAAACAAGAGCCCTGCATTAAACATATCAGTTAATGAGAAGTGTAATTAAAGGGCAATATTGGTGTATCTGTTATCATTCGTCACTTCAGTCCATTATACAGAAGGATAACTCATATTTTCCTTTTGCGTTCGTTCGTCACTTCCTTGATTACTCATCTATCGTAGCAATGATCTCTGTATTAGAATTATATTTGGAACGTGTTAAACCAGTTCTATCACATATGTGATAATGACTGACACCAATATTGTCCTTTAAATCAAAGCCATTTGTTGCTATATTGACCAATTGTATTATTTTCGTTTCCATGAGATGTTTTTCCCGTCTTTGTGGGCCCGGTAGGGGCAGAAAAGTAGGATGTGAAACTTTATTTAAGTTCCATGAGATGTTTTTAAAAATTTTATTTACAGAAAAAAATTAAGACAAAGTTTCATCATGGCTAAATCACTGGCCAAAATAAAGGAAGGTTAGTATATATGATTTTTAAATTGTTTCTTGAATGACCCTTGTCAGTGGTGCAGGTCGGAGGGCCTGACAATTAGAGCTGTCTAGTCATTCAGATGGGATGAAAAACCGAGGTCCCATGTACACCTTGGCAGTTGGAATTTGATATAAGAGTAGGCCGTAGTGCCGATGTCTGGGCAAAATGTCCCTCATAGTACATTGTATGGCATGTGCCTGTCTTCATTAGCCCAGTCGGAGCAGAACCCCATTTTATTTCATTTATTTCTTGAATAGTGGAATTGTTGGTCGAGATCATAAGGCCTGTCATTGAGTTAAGTGACTTGGTTTTGATACCAAATGTGACCATGTATAAATAAGCAATTTACGGCAATAAAGATTACCATATTAGTCCAAAATGACCTGGTGTGGGTCACGTATAATATTCAGTATTTTTCAAGCATGGCCGTCAATTGTTATGTGGTAGAAATTTGAAGATTTTCCTCTTAGGATTGGATGGCTGAATGGTTAGCTTGTGTGTGCTGTATTATAAGGTCTGTAATTGAGTCAACTGGAGTAGGGTCGCCTGTCCAACCTCATGGTTTTTCTCGGGGTCCTCTGGTTTCCTCCCACTGCTAAAAGAGCCCTAAGCGCAAGCAAATTATTCAAATAAAATTGAACCATGTGTTAGTCCCGAAATGACCTAGTTTGTGTCGAGTAGACATTAAACCCCATCTCTCTCTCTCTCTTTGAGGATATGAAATAATATTATCAGGAAATGATTATAATATCTTGTTGATTCACTACTGTATTATTTAATTTCTAGTGGATAAAACCGATCAAGAAGTTGCAGGTGAATTACGGAATGAAAATTAAATTCTGTAGACCAGTTTTAATATCTTATAACTTTCATATATCCTTATTCTAGCTTTCTTGTAGCTTTTGTAATAGAGATTTTTGGAAAGTGGAATTTGTCCCACTCGTATCGTCGCAATACTAATACGTTGCACCAATGTAGTTTTAGCGTTTTGGCAGATTTTCGCCCCACGTACGTAAGAATTCCGATCTTCACTATTTGGGCACTCTTTTTCAATGATTAAATCCCAATCTTTATCATGTTTAAAACCACATCAGATATACACCTTCGTGTTCTAGGATACACATAAATTCATAAAAACGCTATGACACAAAATTTCAGTCTCTAAAAGTAGTAAAAAAGACGACGATTTTTTACGTTGTTTATATGGACGTTTTCCTCGTTAAACTGAAAGCTGTTTGATACGTGCTGCCCTGTCCGTATCCGTAGGCTGTGTCATGTATGCGAACTACACACAAATTGATTACATTGTACTTTAAGACGAAAAAACTATATGGACACACACGATACAGACCAGGAATTTCCACTTGCCAAAAGTTATCCTGTGTTTATGAAGACGTAAACTAGCATTTGTGCTGAATATTTAATCTAGCATGTAGATGATCCATAAAAAACATTTTCAATACAGATTTCTCTGATATCTAACCAAGCTTTCATTTTCTAGACAGAGTTATCTCATGTCTAACCAAGCTTCCATATTTATAACCTAACATTAGATTAGGTTTTTCTGTTGTACATGAATTCTAGCATCACTTTAAATGTATACTATTAGATCCTTTATAACACACATTAATACAACCTATCCCTTATTGCTATAATCAGGTAAATCGATATAGACAAAACTAGCTTCTCTTTTATAGATATATCCTACCATCTCTTATAGATATATCTTACCATCTCTTATAGATATATCCTACCATCTGTTATAGATATATCCTACCATCTCTTATAGATATACCCTACCATCTCTTATAGATATATCCTACCATCTCTTATAGATATATCCAACCATCTCTTTTAGATATATCTTACCATGACTTATAGATATATCCTACCATCTCTTATAGATATACCCTACCATCTCTTATAGATATATCCTACCATTAATACAACCTATCCCTTATTGCTATAATCAGGTAAATCGATATAGACAAAACTAGCTTCTCTTTTATAGATATATCCTACCATCTCTTATAGATATATCCTACCATCTCTATAGATATATCCTACCATCTTTTATAGATATATCCTACCATCTTTTATAGATATATCCTACCATCTCTTATAGATATATCCAGCCATCTCTTATAGATATATCCTACCATCTCTTATAGATGTATATCCTACCATCTCTTTTAGATATATCCTACCATCCCTTATAGATATATCCTACCATCTCTATAGATATATCCAACCATCGTTTATAGATATATCCTACCATCTCTTATAGATATATCCAACCATCTCTTATAGATATATCTTACCATGTCTTATAGATATATATTACCATCTCTTATAGATATATCCTACCATCTCTTATAAATATATCCTACCGTTGCTTATAGATATATCCTACAATCTCTTATAGATATATCCATCCATCGCTTATAGATATATCCTACCATCTCTTATAGATTTATCTTACCATGTCTTATAGATATATCCTACCATCTCTTATAGATATATCCAACCATCACTTATAGATATATCCTACCATCTCTTATAGATATATCCTACCATCTCTTATAGATTAATCTGGAGCTTCTCTTTTTAATATATAACTTACTAACTAAATATTTTAGGAATGAAAGTCAGGTTTAGTTGGTCAGTCTTTAGATTTTTTAAACCTTAATGAAAGATTAGAAAGTACATTGTATGTTTAAGTTAACATTTGATGTACAGAGAACACGACACAATTCTATGCTGCACTTTCATGCAACATCGATATATTATTGTCTTGTGCTCGAACTTTAAAACTGAAGGGCCTGACAAGGACAGCTGTCTAGTCGTTCGGATGGGACGAAAAACCAAGGTCCCATGTACACATTGGCGGGCACGTAAAAGATCCCTTGACAGTTGGAATTCAATATAAGAGTAGGCCGTAGCGCCACTGCCCGGGTAAAATTTGCCTCATAGCACACTGCATGGCGTATGCCCGTCTTCATTAGCCCAGGTTAGGAGCAGAACAGTAGGACATTAAACCCCATTTCATTTCATTTCGAACTTTAAAACGAGGGGTTGGGTAACTGAATGGTTAAACAAGTGCACGTTAAATTGCAAGGTCTGTCATTGAGTCAAGTGGTGTGATGTAGCTTTCACTTCCAGCCTCGTTGGTTTTCTCCAAGTACTCCGGTTTCCTCCCACTGTTGAAGGCCTGTACATGCAATCAAATTATTGAAATAAAAATTGAACCATATGTTAGTCCTGAAAAACCTAGTTTGTGTCGACTGGACGTTAAACCCCATTTCTTTTTCACATAGGAGCTATATATAAATATAACTCTTTGAGTATTTTTTGTAATAAAGGTCAATTATATATACATGTAGACATTATAATATTTTTGTAGTATGTGCCAAATACAAATGAAATAATTGAACGTATTGTATACATGTTTTTTGTAGCCGTCAGTGGCTGGCAGTCGATTAAACCAACAGGAAAAGGAAAAGGATATTCTGGTCTAAGATGGGAGAGAGTTAAGGTATTTGACAACTGTAATATTATTTAAAAATTATATTCCCTTGAGGTTAACTAGCACTCTGATCAGCAGTGAATATTCGTTCGGCCGCTACATTCACTGAGAGGGATGACATCACACTGATCAGCAGTGAATATTCGCTAGTCCGCTACATTCACTGAGAGGGATGACATCACACTGATCAGCAGTGAATATTCGCTAGGGTGCTAAAATCACTGCATGTGATGACATTGATGATGGTTAATTACCTCGCAATATTAATTGTTTTTCCTTCTGCAAATTAAATTCTAGAAAATGTTTTTGGGGTATTAGAAAAATAAAGTAAGTTGTTTAGATGAAAATTATTTCCTATTTAGTGTAAATTGGTATATAAAAAGAGTAAAAGGCACCATTCTGCCTGGAATAGTTTACGCAACTCGTGTCGTCGAATCAATGATCGATGTCATATGATGTGATGTCACATGTAGAAGGTGTACTTGAACTTATAAAGCTCAATAAGCATTCACAATACCTCTATGAAACAGATTGGTTAACTAGGTCTTCTGGTGGTACCTGAAAATGCTTTTTTTTGTTAACTGACCCAGTTAAATCATTTAATACGGGGGGCTATGAATGGGTTGTTGATACAATGGCTCACTAACAAGAAGGGTCCAGGATTATCCATCATAGCCTTCCCATAGTCAGCAGCGCAGGACGGAGGACCAGGTTAGAAATAGATGGAGCATGTCTATCTTCATGGAAGAAAATTGATTAATTATCAGACATTGTTAAAAATGTTAATCAATCATTGAAATTTGAAAATAAACCAGTCAATAGTGTTATTTGTTTTAAAAAATGTTGGATATATGTTTATTTCAGTCAATTGTCCATGTAAATCTGTTGTCTCCACGACCTGAAGAAAGAAGGGATGCAGCCAAGGTAATTAAAAAAGCCTTTTTAGTTTTGGTTCCAGTAGGATGTGGGGTTGCTATGGTATTTTATGTTTTATGTTTATGATTACAGCAACTAGAATTATTACTATGTGGGGTTACCATGGTATTTTATGTTTATGATTACAGCAACTGGGATTATTAAGATGTGGAGTTGCTGTGGTATTTTTATGTTTTATGTTTATGATTACAGTTGCTAGGGTTATTAAGATGTGGGGTTACCATGGTATTTTATGTTTATGATTAAACCAACTAGGATTATTAAGATGTGGAGATGTTTAATGTTTATGATTTCAGCAACTAGGATTATTAAGATGTGGAGATACCATGGTATTTTATGCGTTAAAAGAAAGACTGCATCGAGATGAAGATATGAGGGTACAATATGAAGCAGCTAAATCGTTGATTTTAATAGGTTTGTGTCCTTCTGATATTATTACAGGCCCATGTTATAACAGGCATGTCAGTGGTGCAGAACGGAGGGCCTGACAAGGACAGCTGTCTAGTCCTTCGGATGGAACGAAAAACCGAGGTCCCGTGTATACATAGGAATGCAGTTGTAATTCGATATAACTGTAGGCGATAGTGCCTCTGCCAGGGCAAAATTTCCCTCATAGCACACTGTATGGCGTATGCCCGTCTTCATTAGCCCAGTATAGGAGCAGAACAGTAGGACGTTAAACCCCATTTCATTTCATATAACAGGCAAACAGTTTTATTAAATTTATATTTTTAGCTTTTGAATATTATTCACCATATCTTGATGTCCCATTGGGCATATTTCTGGTCGGACGTTTGGAAAATCGGGCAGGACATGTCCGGAATATACTGGCGAAGTAGCACCCCTGGTTCAAACTCAAGTAAAGACCCTGGCTTTACATTATAGAAATAAAATTGTTAGTCCTGTAATGACCTAGTTTGTGTCAAACTAAACCTCTCTCTCTCCCCCTCCCCCTCTCTCTCTCTCTCTCTCTCCCCCCTCTCCCTCTCCCTCTCTCTCTCTCCCCCTCCCCCTCTCTCTCTCCCTCTCTCTCTCTCTCTCTCTCTCTCTCTCTCTCTTCATTGCTGAACCATGGAACATATATATATAAAATCCAGTTTCAATCTCATCATAGCTTATCTCCGATGTGGCTGAACGGTTAACAGGTTTTCTCTGTGTCCTCTGGATTCCTACGCACTAGCAAATTATTGAAATAAAAGTGAACCATATATTAGTCCCGAAATGACCTAGTTTGCGTCAAGTGGGCATCAAACCCCATTTCTCTTTCTCTCTGTCTCCTATACCTATCTTGAGACAAAAGATATTAACCCACATATGATGTTATTTTATTATATTGTTAGGTTGTTGGGATAATGAAGTATTACAGGTTATATTAAAGTTTTTAGTTACTGGTAATACAGAAATAAGATTAGATCTAATCACTACCATGACAAAAGGAAAGAATGTACAATATGTAGACAAAGTAAGTGATGTTTATTCTTCTTTCAATCTCATTAAAACACAGATCTTATTTGGTTTGTTTTTTTATGGTTCAAAATTTCATTTTATTTGTCTGTACTACACTAGGATCTGGAAGAGTTGTTATAGAACAGGCTTTCTAGTTGGTGTGATGAATTAGCCAATAATACGGTCTTTTACAGCGAGTTCTTGGCATGCTCTGCACGGAACTGTGGGTAAACAGTCCTTCACGTTTAAGGGGAGCTTTCGCTCCTGCTCCTCTCGACACACGTCGGCTTTCCTTCGAAGGAGTCATTAAAGACTCCTGCAAATTAGCTAAATCGCTCTCCTAAATATTGAGATTAATAAACTACTTTCAGTTTTTGTTTACTTTTAAACTGCATATATTCAAGGTATCAGGAGCTTTTTATGGCTCCCGCACAATTTTATAAACATGAAGGACTGGGGTAAACCCCTAGAACTGTCAAAGTTGATTAATTAATCAATGTCTGACCCCTGGCATGACCTCCCACTACAACCGGTCAGATCTTCATGTAGTGTAGGCCATCAAAAGTATAAAAAACGAAATGAAATATAAATCTGTAATGTTAATTAATGTCTAATTAATAATTTAGGTAACATTTCAGGCCTAAAGAAAGACCTGCAATAGGTAGATTTAGCTCTTGCATAATATATGTTTAATAATATTATTACAATGACATCATTATTATTAATTAATTAGACATTAATTAACCTATCCAGACCATAATCAACTGTCAGTGTCCTCTCTAGCCTGCGATATTTACTGGATTATAATCCGATCTGCTACTCAACAACGCTCATTTATGATTAAATCAAAAAATGGATAATCGAGACTATGTTTTTTATCGTACCAACTTTAGTAATGATGTTCGAGGTTAGGCCCAAAATTCAATAGCTAAATTAGATCAATTTGACTGAAATTTTCAGCAAGTTCCCTTTACATTATCTAGTTTTTAACTATTATAGTGAGAACTGCCAGCACTTTATCTTATCTCCCATAATGTATCCATAAGCAAAAAACTGGAATAATTATAAGAAGAAATACTCTTTTCAATTTATTTTCAGTCAATATCAGCATTTACTGAGTTAGTGAAAGTTTTAAGTCATTTTTGTTGCAATCCTGACCCCGATGACCCGATATCCATAGAAGCAGCTGTCTTGATAGGGAAGCTGTGTGTTTCAGATGTCAACGCCAAAAACAAATTATCCACTACCTTGTCAGAAACGGACGATTCACATCTCAAAGCCAAGGTAAGAAATGAGGCGATCATCATTCGCTTTAACAGCCAATGGGGCCCCACAGTCCCAGCGATTTTAACAAAATAAGTTCCTGTCTGAGAACTTCTCCAAAAATTAGACGGCTTGCTCCCCAGGAGGTCCCACGTTTAATCACAGTGTTGGCATAGAGATTTCCCCTGAATTTTCATGCATGTTTTCCCTTATCCCTTTTCAGCTTGTGGTCCCTCTACAAGTCACAATGTTTATCCGATATTGATGAAACTTAATATATATGTTTATATCCCAAACATCTAAGTTCCATTAATCAGTGTGAAATTGGTTCCTAAGCTCCACCCCCAGTGGATCCTGATTGGCAGGATTTGTTAGAATGAAATGCTGCCGATTTCTCGACAATTAGGCATCATTTAATTAATGATCCTTGGAATATTTTCCACATCTTGACATCAAAAGTTCATTTGAAAATAGCCGATTTGATTATTTACTGGGAATTATTTTTAGTGCACAATGTGAGTGATTCGGCTAAATATGTGAAATTTCTGAAGAAATGCGAGTTTGAGCCGCCATCTTGGATCTTTAGGAAGAGACCGACGGAAGGATACATCACATCATATCCAAAATGGCCTACGTATGGCCCGCGATTTTTCCAAGGGTAAACATATATCTGGGAGCCAAGATTAGTTGGTGCTATTTCTTTTCGTTTTATTTCACTCCTTAGTAGACGATCTTTTATTTTGCAATCTGTTTTATTTTATTTTAGGCTTTGGAAATTCTGGTAAAACAGTTGAATTGTACTGATGAAACAGTGGTTAGAAATTTAAAAGACTTGCTTCAGACATCTCCTGTATCTAAACATCGAGCTCTTGCGACTAAACTTCTTATAACTTTAGGTATTAAATAAATGTATTCTCTATGATACTCTATTTGGTTAAATCACAGATCCTATTTCGTTTCGTTTTTTATAGTTCAAAATTTCGTATTACTTGTCTTTACTACACTAGGATCTAAACGAGTTGTTATATAACCCACTTTCTGGTTGATGTGAGGGATAAGCCAATGAAACCATCTGTTACGGCGACTTCTTGGCGTGTCATGTGGGTAAACTAGTAGAAACGTCAACGCTGATTGATTAATTAATGTTTGACATCATAGGGTCAAAAGCTGCTCGTACGACCCCTGACACGACCTAGGGGATCACATGGCTAGGTGGGTAAGACGCTGGCTCGCTAGCCTGGAGGTCAGGTGTTCGATCCCTGCATTGGCCGAGAAAGTTCATCCGCTGCCCGGGCAAAATTTCCCTCATAGCACACTGTATGGCGTATGCCCGTCTTCATTAGCCCAGTTTAGGAGCAGACAAGGGAGAACCACGCCGGAAAATCTGGATGAACTTTCTCGGCAAATGCAGGGATCGAACACCCGACCTCCAGGCTAGCGAGCCAGCGTCTTACCCACCTAGCCACGTGATCCCCTCAGTGAGTAAGATGTTGGCTCGCTAACTTGGAGGTCGCGAGTTCAATCCCTATGTTGGCCAAGAAAGTTCATCAGGATTTTACTGCTTGGTTCCCCCTTTATTAGTTGTGCCTGGCAAGTGACAATGCAATGCATAGTCGTTTGATGAGACGAAAAACCGACGTCCCATTTACACATTGAAGTAAATGTAAAAAATCCCTTGACAGTTGGAATTTGATATAAGAGTAGGCTGTAGTGCTGCTGTCCAGGCAAAATGTCCCTCATAGCACACTGTATGGCGTATGCCCGTCTCCATTAGCCCAGGTTAGGAGCAGAACAGTAGGACGTTAAATTCCAACAATTGTACGTTTCTGGTGAAAAAATGTTTTCTGGATGGAATTGCCGTTAGTCTAAGCTCCTGTCGTCGGACAATAAAAAAAAACAACAGTTGAAGACAAACATCTTTTTCAGTTTCAGTTTAATTATTTGATTTTTGTTTACAGGACCACAACATCCATGTATTGTATCAGATGTAGAGGATATTTATAATCTGCTGGAGAGAAAACTATGGGATGAACCTAGTCTTGTAAGTTAAAGGGGGAGAGAGAGAGATGGGGTTTAACGTCCAATTCTCTCGCATGTAGGGGTCTTTAGCTGTGGGAGGAAACTGGAGGACCTGGAGAAAACCCACGAGGTTGGACAAGTGATCCTACTCCTTGTCACGTACAACTTTGGAATCGAAACCACGCCAGTTGACTCAATGACAGACCTTATGATACAACACACGCGCTAACTATTTGGCCATCCAACCCCCGCAAATAAATAGTATTAGGGACATACTGTAATGAGGTTGGATAAACTAGGAAGCTTCCTCGTGATTATGATGCAGGCTCACTGATCAGGTGGTTCCGATTTCAGATCTGATGGCACAGAGGAAGTTAAAGTAAAGGCCCATTCTCACACAGATTTCGCAGGTGTAATTCCCCCCCTCCCCCTCCTCCACCAACAAAAAAGAATGCAATAAAAGCAGATACCCTCCTAATGACATAAAAACTAGTGAGCGACGGTGATCTGTCAGGTTGACTGGAAAAGCTCCCTTTATTAATTCAATCAAGGAAAAGTTACACATGATAAAATTTAAAACATCATGCTTCTTGATATTCAGTTTGTTCCCATCTTTATGAAATATTTAAAACATATTTAAATATAATCGTTGAGTGGCATTTAGCGATTGAGCACATTAAAGTAGCTAAGTCTCTAACTCAATATCATCCAAAACCTTCAACATTGAAAACACGATTTATTTGTCAAATTAAATCAACATTCATGTTGTGATCTTACCGGAAAAAGATGGGCTTTTGATATCCAATATTTAAGACAAAATAAACATTTTACCATTGGTACACGAATCGTGTACCATAATGCGCTTCAGCCCCAGTTGTATCAAGAGACTCGAGGGACGAGGCTAGGCACATTGCGCCAAATCAAACTGCGTATGTAGACTGGAATAACTAGACGCTAGAAATTTGCACTCGCTTGAGACTGCTGGCTTATTTCGCCGAACATAACTGATTTATAATTGGAGTAAAAACGGAAATCATTGAATGTAAATCAGTTTATATTATATTCATATTACAGTATTATATGCGTTGCGACCCACTTTTGTCAATTTCTAGGTCCCAAATGTTAGCGATTGAGAACATTAATATGTAAAATAGCTTTATTTAACGTCCGCTTCCACCGAAGTGATATCGCAGACAAGAGCACATTAAAAAACACAATACAAGTTCTAAGGAAAACAATCCCTGGTTTATAGACATATAGCACCACGTTTCGACAAGTATTCTCTTATTGTATTCAAGTACTGTGCTATATGTGTATAAACCAGTGATTCTCAACCAGTGTGCCTCGAGATCTTCCTAAGTGTGCCGCAAAATTTTGAACGGCACACTAAGAAAATGTAAAAAAAACACATGATCCCAAATGAGTATTCACTGGTGTCTACTGATAAGTTCATAGCTGTGTTTTTCTTTATTTAGTTTGAGTCATTCTATGTGTCTCTGACTAGTCTCGGTCTACGGTTGTTTTCCGTCCGACTTACCATGTTTTTATTTCGCAAAATTCAAATATTTTTCATGTACATTTAGCCAGGTGTGCCGCTATTTTGCCATGTGTTCCAAGGTGTGCCGTTGGCAAAAAAAGGTTGAGAACCACTGGTATAAACCAATGATTGTTTTCCATATAAATTGTGTTGTGTATTTAGATATAATTCATCAATATGTATTTTTTGGGGAATAAACTTTTAATAATATTTCTTCCAGGAAGTTAGGGTGTCCTCAGGAAAAGCTTTAACAGCACTTGGGATGTTCTCTAGAGCCTGTGAATCAGTTGAAAAGTAAGTTGTTGATTTTTAGACCTTTATGTTATCAGTGATCTCAATCTACTGTCAAACAGTCTGATTAAAATACAGATCTATATTTCGTTTAGTTTTTTTATACTTTCGATGGCCTACACTACATGAAGATCAGACATGTTGTAGTGGTAGGTCGCATCAGGGGTTATACGAGCGGCTTTTGACTCTTATGACGTCAGAAATTTGATAAACCGATCAGCGTTGATGTTTCTAGTAGGATACCCACAGTTCCACTCATCGCATGTCAAGAACTTGCTGCAACAGATCGTTTCATTGGCTAATCACTCACATCAACTAGAGCGCAGGTTATATAATAACTCTCCCAGATCCTAGTGTAATAAAGAAAATTAAAACAAAATTTTGAACTATAAAAAAATGAAACGAAATAGGATTGTTTTTAAATCAGATTGGCTTTCAAAGGAATGGTATACGTTTCAGCTTCACTGACTTCTGTATGACAGAGGTGTATTTTCCTGTCCGTTACTTATTAGTTGCCCTTCCTTTATATGAAGCAGCGCTGCTGTGTATACATCGGTGTGCACGTCAAAGACCTGAGCCATTGGTGTGCATGTCAAAGAAAAGAGCCATGGTGTGCACATCAAAAACCAAAGTTATTGGTGTGCAGGTCATAGCCCAGAGCCATGGTGTGCAGGTCAAAGGACAGAGCCATTGGTGTGCAGGTCAAAGGACAGAACCATGGTGTGCACATCAAAGACCAGAGCCATGCAAAGGACAGAGCCATGGTGTGCAGGTCAAAGGACAGAGCCAAGGTGTGCATGTCAAAGGACAGAGCCATGGTGTGCACATCAAAGACAAGAGCCATGCAAAGGACAGAGCCATGGTGTGCAGGTCAAAGGACAGAGCCAAGGTGTGCAGGTCAAAGAACAGAGCCATGGTGTGCACATCAAAGACCAGAGCCATTAATGTGCATGTCAAAGGACAGAGCCATGGTGTGCAGGTCAAAGACCAGAGCCATTGGTGTGCATGTCAAAGACCAGAGCCATTCGTGTGCATGTCAAAGACCAGAGCCATTGGTGTGCACGTCTAGAACCAGAGCCATGGTGTGCACATCTAAGACCAGAGCCATGATGTGCCCGTCAAAGACCAGAGCCATTGGTCTGCATGTCAAAGACGAGGGCAATGGTGTGCATGTCAAGGACCAGAGCATATCACTCACCAGCAGGTCCTGGGTTTAATGTCAGTAACATCCACACCTATAATACTAATGAAATTGGACCATTTTTGGACTGAAATTTCCATGTGTATGCCATTAACAAGTTGTGAACAAATATTTCAGGAGGTTAGATGACCGTGATGAAGAAACCAGAGCAGAAGCAGTTGTTTCTGTTGTAAGTAGAAATATTCTGTATACCAAGGATTTGATTGATCGGGAAAGTAACTTGATAGTGGTGCAGGGGGGTTGGATGGCTGAATGGTTATAGTGTGATTTCGATTCCCCGGTTATATGTGACAAGGAGTAGGGTCGCTGTCCAACCTCGTGTGTTATACACTGAATGGTGGATGCCTGTCTTAAGTAGTCGGGTTAATGCAGAGATGTAGGATGTTAAACCCCATTTCATTTTGTATCAGTTAATGTGCTATTTGTTTCTAAATACAAGACAAATTCTGCTGGTGTACCACAGGGATCAGTATGTGGCCCACCATTATTTTTATATGTTTTGGTATTGTAGGGAACATTAGGAATGAAGAGTGAGAAATTAACTAGGTTATTGTTGGAGATGCTGGAGTTGGATACCAGTGAATATGTTCGTATAATGGTAAATATTATCTATGATTAATTCTCTAAGCAAAGTATTAAACCACTTTGCCTTAAAAAATTTGATTCCAAGCTTGTAATTGACAAGGAGTAAGGTCGCCTGTTTAACCTCCGGGTTTTCTCCTGGTCCTCCAGTTTCCTCTCACTCCTAAAGACTCCGGGTCGTCCGGTTTCCTCCCACTCCTAAAGACCCATACCCCCAAACGAATTATTGGAAGTAAAATTGAAGTATAAAGGGAGACCTCTATAGAATGCTGGTTTGCATCGAGTGAAGTTTTAACCCTAACCCTAACCCTAGGTTAAAAAACCCATTTATCTCTCACCCTCTCCCTTTAAAAATTTCCCTTGTTGTGTTGACAAGACCTTTGATCTATTTACATTTTTTTCTGTACTAATTTAAAAATTGACCCATTATATGTCTTTTATAGATCATTCGAGCCTTCGCTATCCTGACATTAACAGATAAACGTGTAATGAGATGTCTGAAAGAAAGGGAGAGATTAGAAGGTCCTCTAGGAATGTAAGTTATACCCCCGTCAGACTGGGGTGGCTTCCTTACTGTGCTGCTGCGACCGTACGGCGACCAGAAAATACACAAGATCGCCGGAAAACGTGAACACAACGCAGGAAAATGTCCCAAAAATTACAAACTTAAAAAAAAAAGGCGAGTTCTCACAGCTTTTCACGCCAGCGCCACATCGAAGAACCTTGGCGTTTGCTTTGAACATGCTCAAAACAAACGCTGTGACTCGGCGATCATGGAGACCACAGCACAATATCTGGCGTTTCCACCACGCTTTCACCAGGCTTATGGCGATCTTGAAGCGCTCTGAGACCATTTTTCGCGGCCGTAGCAGCGCAGTATAAAGGACGGGGTATTATGAGAACTCAAATCGTTAAAGAGTTGTTGTTGCATTTATGTGTAATCTAGTATCTGGACGATCCAAATCTACTACTCCCTATTGCACCTCAAACTGCCCTAGTCATAACTAGCTGTGAAGCGCCACGGTGGTAAAGTGGGTAAAACGCTGGCTCGCTAGCCTGGAGGTCGGGTGTTCGATTCCTGCATTGTCCGAGAAAGTTCATCGGGATTGTCTTGCGTGGTTTTCACTTGTCAGTGGTGCATTACGGAGGACAGCTGTCTAGTTGTTCGGATGTCACGAAAAACCGAAGATCCATGTATACATTGGCGTGCACGTAAAAGATCCCTTGACTGTTGGAATTTGCTATAAGAGTGGACCATAGTACCGTTGTTCGGGTGAAATTTCCCTTATAGCACACTGTATGGCGTTTGCCCGTCTTCATTATCCCAGTCGGAGCAGAACAGTAGGACGTTAAACCCCATTTTATTTCATTGCACCCCTTCATAAAGCTGTTGGTGGGCGTAGTTTCGTTGGCCGGTTCCATTGTGTACACACTTCCTGTTACCATTCAATAAATGTATATTATTTTTTATAAATTTCAGCGAATCCCGTAAAGCTATTAAAATTTTAGAAGCTGCTCGAGAGACCACTCCAAAATTACAATTGTCTAAAGCTAATTGTTTACGATCTGTACAACTAGCAGTTAAATAGAAGACAAATTTGAAACCATTTACGGACAGAGATGTGTTTGGTTTTTTTTACTGAATCAGCGCCATAGAATTCTAAACAACAGTATTTTATATAACCTTTCATTATATATATTGCGCAAATAACGGGGGCATCCTGCTACAGGAAAGGACAATGAACTATAACACATACTTATGGAACAACAGCTACTAATTTCAAAGGATCCAAGAGTGTGATTTAATGGTGACATTCAGCTAATGGATAGGGCAATAAACTATAAAACAGCTACGTGTACTAACTTCAAAGGATCTAAGAGGCTGATATCTACAATTGAACTAACCAACTGAAAACAATGGTTGGGAGACTACTTATGTCTTTAATTGATAAAAACCAACAAGAATTCATTGGCCATTTTTTTTACTTGCACTGTACTATTGGTATTATTTATTCATGAACAAGGCGGCCGATTGGCGTGTACGTAACAAGGAGTATGGTAACTTGTACGGGCTAGGGAATTATTGAAATATAACTGAACCATATGTCTCTCCCTAACTCCCTCCCTCCCCCCCCCCCCTCTCCCTCCCTCCCTCCCCCCTCCCCCCTCTCCCCTCTCCCTCTCCTCCCAAGAAAAGCCTAGTAGAAACTGTAACAATATAGACAATAAAATCACACGATGCATATTTGGCAGTGTCTTTTATTCAAGTGACATAGTACAGGCAAGATGCACGCGCAAAAACTGAGTGACAATCTCAGGCGTTACCAACCGAGCACATATTTATCTGATCGGCTACCACTCGGAAAACCTCGGATATTCCGTTACTTATTAGGAAATTGCGTCGTTCGAAGCGTGTATAGAATTTTCAGTGCAAAGTTGTCCCTGTTTGAAGAAAATCGGATAACCTTGAAAGAAAAACAGCTTCAGACTTTGAAATATTTGTATGATAAAACATTCTTCAAAGGCGTCGTCATGGGCAACGCCGTTGGTAATCCGGGAACTTGAACGTAGTTCCAATGGCGGACTTCGTCATACAGCCGAGGCTAGATGTAGGGACTAGGGTACTGGAATCTGCTGAGGTTTGTCGAGTGATCGGATACATGCTTACAAAACCAGTCGATAAATTTTTAACATGATAATACTACAGAAACGTCTTCAGTCATAAGTAGTAACTGTATTCCATAGAATTGTGAACTGTATATATTCCAGTTCAATTACTAAAGACGGGGCACAGACCACTAATGATTTACCCATTTGCTTTAATGTTAATTCTCGTCTCTTAGACCGGCTCTAACCTTTTCCCAAATTCTCGTTGGGTAGAACGCTTTATGCCACAGATGGAGCAACGTGTGGCAAATTCTTGCTCAAAAGCATGTGTGAGGATCACCATGGAAAACTTGAGATACACAAGCTGGAAGTAGAGACAAGTAAACATGCAATTTTCGGCCCTGCATTTCAACGTAACCAACCTCTCAACTCTTGTATCCCCCCGCCTCAAAATCATGAATATTCATCAAAACCTGGCAGAAAATGTATTTTCAAACCGTTTTCTTCGATTCTACACCAAAAAGTAATCAAAAATCGCCATGCAAAAGGGGGAAAGGGAGAGAAAGACTAAAAATAACTTTCGCGAAGCAATAATTGGTGAGCTGTGTCCAAATGCCATTAAAAGAATTTATGTGTATATTATATTATCTAACTGAGATATTTAATTATATATGTTTTATAAATAATTTATGGAATTGTTCATATTATCAAAGTATATTATTCGTTGTTTTATTATGTGTATTTCTGTTTGCAACTATAGGAGCCATGGTGGCGCAGTGAGTAAGGCACTGGCTCTTTAACCAAGAGGAGGTTGAATGAGCCACGGTGGCTAAGTGGGTAAGACGCGTGTTCGGTCCCTGTATTTGGGCGAGAACGTTCATCGGAATTCTCCGACGTGGTTTCCCTTCGTCCGTGTTGCAGGACGGAGGGCCTGCCAAGGAAAGCTGTCTAGTAGTTCGAATAGGATGAAAAACCGAGGCCCCGTGTATACATTGGCGTGCAGGTGAAAGATCCTTTGGCAGTTGGTATTCGATATGACTAGACAATAGTGCCGCTGCCCGGATAAATCTGACTTTTCGGGCAGACGGGTAAAGTGAAAAAAAAAACCCAACCTATTATTTGATCTAGTTGGCAAAATAAAGTGACCAAAATAAAAAAGAAAAACACTAATTTTACTTTTCTTTTAATTGAATACCAGGACTTTGTACTGAACTAAGTCAACTAAGGATTAAAACATTTTGCCTGGAGCCACTCTACTTTGTGCGACATTTTTCGAGCATCGATTATTATTTGTGAATGCAACTGCAACAGTCTGACTGTATGGTTGGAATTCAGGTCGGCATAGAGTGGGATTTTGGTAACAAAACCATTGGATAACTTTGGTCCAACTTTGGAGTTGCTTAACCCACGGGCAGGAGAAGCAGAAAAATGCATTTGCGGTAATTGAATTTTTAAAATTTTCTCCGGGAAGATGAAGCCCCCATACCCCGAGACGATTGATTGGTTGTTTGGTATTCTGGTCAGCCACCAAAGGTAGACTATATTGGAACACATTGAAGTTGATGTATTCAAGGACTGAAATAGCAGGAAAACGCGTTTTTGGCAGTTAAATTTTCTCCCGACAGTCCCGTCTCCATGGACTGTAAACGATTGATCTTTTTGATTGGAATTCGAGTCACCCATCTTTATTAGGCTATATTAGACTATTTTGAAGTTGTTGTATTCACAGACTGGAATAGCAGGAAAACGCATTTGCAGCCGTCAAAATTTTCTAAAATCTTCTTGGGTGGGGTGGGGGGGCTACACGGTAAGCCCCGTTCCTCCGCTCTCGCAGGCGATCGGCGTCGCTCTGCCCCACACCCCTAACCCCCATCGAGCCCGTCCGCCTATGATCAGACCTGAATCGGCTAATTAAATATTCACGGGATTATTTTTTTAACAAGGTAGGACTGTTTATAGATACCATCTATTTTAAGGCTTTATTTTAATACATTTTAAAAATATAGCTTAAAAATATGAAATTGCAACTTTAACAAAAATGTTAATTGGTTTGAACCGGAAGTACCTTTTCACCAGTCCAAACGTCTTTTCGGGAGTGGGTGTGTGGTGAGGGAGGGGGGGGGGGTAAATGATTTAACGCGTGCACGTTAGATGTCAAGGTCAGCCAAGTCAAGTGGCCTAGTTTCGATTCTCTGCTTGTACTTGACAAGGACTGAGGTGACCTGTCCAACCTCGTGAATTTTCCCCGGTTCCTCTGGCTTCCTCCCTTCTACGCGCATGTGAATTATTGAATTAAATTGAACCATATGCTTGTCCCGAAATGACCTGGTCTGTGTCGTCTGGACGTTAAACTAACTCTCTCTCTCCGAGACGACGATATATATAGTTTTCGACGGATTTTTTTTCGAATTCGGTGTGAAAGAATGAGGTTATGAGAGGACGAACTCCATCGATAATCAGCATTATATGACTTTCTGATCAACAGTTATGCGGAAAGTTATTCCCCCTTAGCCGAAAAGCTTCTGAACGCGATGGAGACTGCAGGGTTTTGACGGGGTATTTTCAAACTTGGTGTGAAACATTGTTTGCATGAGAGGATAAATCGCGTCGATATTCAGCGGTCTACGACTTTCCGTTCCGGATTTATCTCCCCTACTTGTTGTGGAAAACCCTGTAAACGCGATATAGGCTACAGATTTCAATAAAATGGCTTGGGAACGCGATAGAGTTTACAAGAAATGAATGTTGGGTGAACTGTCAATCCGATCTGTAGAGCGTGATATTTTGAATTATAGATGTATTATGTAAGAACTAAACCAGCCTATTGCAGGTCTTTATTTTGGCTTCTATTGTTATATAAGTTATTATTTATACATTTATTAACATGACAAGCCTATAATAAACTCTCTAAGCCATCGGGTGGTTGAGATTTTCAACGAATTTAAACAGGATCGCGAGCGAATAATTTACTTAAAAACTGGATAATCGATACTGTGTTTTTCACCATAACAACTGTAGCAATGACAATGGAGACTACTCTATTCTGTAAACTTCCCTTAGAATGAAGTAATTTCACTGAAATTTTCAAGATATGCCCTTTTATTATCTATTTTGTAACTATTATAGCTAGAACTGTCAGCTCTTCGTAGAAATCATACATAAATCATCGTTAAGAAATATGGGACCACGGTGTCTCAGAGGGTAGGACGCTGGCTTGCTTGCCTGAAGGTCGCGTGTTCGATCCCTGGAATGGCCGAGAGAGTTCATCGAGATTTTCTGACGTGGTTTGCTCTTGTCAGTTGGATTTCGGTGCAAGAGTATGACATTAGTGCCGCTGCCCGGGGCAAATTCCCCTCACTACACGGTGGGTTGGATGGCAGAATGGTTCGTTGTATCATAAGGCCTGTCATTGAGTCAACTGGCGTGGATTCGATTCCCCGGTTGTACGTGACAAGGAGTAGAGTCGCCTGTCCAACATCTTAGGTTTTCTCCGTGTTCTTCTGTTTCCCCCCACTGCTTAAGATCCCTACGCGCAAGCGAATTATTGGCATGAAATTGAACCATATGTTAGTCCCGAAATGACCTAGTTTGATTCGAGTCGGAGCAGAACAGTAGGACGTTAAACCCCATTTCATTTTATTTCTTAAGAAATACGGAAATACATATCAAATGTAGCTACCAACAATCCCGCCCCCCCCCTCCTTCCAATAAAACAAAATAATAAACCGTTCCTTGCAAGGCCCACCTATCCCGCACTACTGGCTGGAAACTGTTCCTTACAAGGCCCATCTGTCCCGCACTACTGGCCGGAAACTATTCCTTGCAAGGCCCATCTGTCCCGCACTACTGATTGAAAACCGTTCCTTGCAACCCAAATCTGTCCCGCACTTCTGAATGGACAAAGTACCTTGCAAGGCCCATCTGTCCTGCACTACTGACGGAAAATCGTGCCCTGCCAGGCCCATCTATCCCGCACTACTGGCTGGAAACCGTTCCTTGCCATGCCCATATATCCTGCACCACTGACATATGGACACCAGACTGAAATTAGCGGAGAGTCGTCAGTTATAAAAATAAGAGACCAACCTGTGTTTTGATGGATGAAAAGATAACATAAAACCAACAGCGGAAATAGACTTGTCATCTTCTTACTTCAACATCTAAAACTAACTAACACGTATTGCCGGTTTAATACTCTTAGACAATTATACAATCGATAAATACTGTTCAATTGGTCAGGTAGATTAATACAATTGGCCAGGGCGCGTGTTAATGTTTAAATTGCATCAATTTAATTAGGGAGAGAGACAGAGAGAAATTAAAACGTAAGATTTTGAGTGCACTTGGAATTGGAAATATCAGTTGAGAAGGGATTTTGTTTTAAAATTATTGTATTGTGTCTTGTTATTCACACAATATGCTAAACGTGTACTTAGTTTAGTTTAAAGTAGCTAAGTCTCTAACTCAATATTATCCAAAATCTTTCGACATTGAAAACACGATTTATTTGTCGGTTTAAATCAACATTGATGTTGTGATCTTACCAGGGAAAGATGGCCTTCTGATATCCAATATTTAAGACAAAATAAACATTTTACAATTGTTACACGAATGTGTATTATAATGCGTTTCAGCGCTATTTGTAATAAGGGACTCGGAAAACGAAGCTAGGTATATTCCACAAGTCATGTCAAACGTAGACGCTATATTCTTATCTGGAGAGCATGCCCAATAAATACAATCGGCGTAGACTGGAATAACCAGAAGCTAGAGATTGAAATTCGATTGTCGCCGAACCTAACTGATTAGAAATTACAGTAAAAACAGAAACGACTGAATGTAAATCAATTTATATACATTCATATTACATTATTGTATGCGTTACGACCCATTTGTATCAATTTCTAGGTCCCAAATATTAGCGACTTTGCTCCTTTAAGAATTTGTTTTTGCATCCACAGAATTTTTTTGCAGTTTAAGAGGATTGGACATAAGTTATTAGAACTTATAAACGTCTTTTAATGATGCCATTGTGTAAAAAAAAAAAGTTTTTTCTACAGTGTTGTTTACCAGGGTTTTTAATGCGCTGTTTTTCGAGTTTTAAACAGAACAATTACAGAAATGGGGTTTAGCGTTCTATTTTTCTGTACCAACTGGGCTAATGAAGACGGGCATAGCCATACATCGTGCTATGAGGGGTATTTTGCCCAGACAGCGGTTCTTTTACGGGTAGGTCAGCGTGTACATAGATCCCGGTTTTTCATCCCACCCGAACGACTAGACAATGTTAGTTAACAGGACCCATGTTAATACAGCGCAAAGATTCTAAATTCTAAAATGATAAACTGAATTAAACGGTATATCCCACTCATATCCAGTGTTAAGTTCATATCCGGTGCTACGATAGTATAATATACACAGTATTGAAGAGAATAAATTAACATACATTATGCAAGAAGTAAATCTGCCTATTGCAGGTCTTTCTTTAGGCCTGAAATATCATCTAAATTATTGATTAGACATTAATTAACTTATCCACACCATAACCAACTCTCGATGTCATCGCTAGCCTGCGATGTTTATTGGATTAGATCCCGATTTGCTGTTCGACTTCCATTCATAATTAAATCATGAATTGGATAATCGAGAATATGTTTTTTATCCTACCGACTTTAGTAATGATAATCGAGGCTAGGCCGAAAATTCAATCGTTAAAATCTCGGATCATAGTGGATCAATTTGACTGAAATTTTCAGGAAATTCCCTTTACAGTATCTAGTTTTTAACTATTACAGTGAGAACTACCAGCTCTTTATCTAATGTCCCATAATGTATCTTTAATACAGACCGAAGCTTTTAGCCATTAACGCGCATCATCGCGACACTTTGTCACCTTATAACTGGAGGTAAGTGCTAAATGATAAGGTCAACTCTAACCGTATAAAAACAACACAAAAAATGCCTCTAAAAGATCACAACAAATGACGTTACAGGGAAATCTCACAAGAATGGGAACAATGTAAATGTTCATTATTCAAACAGACAATAAATATGTATATTTTCTATAAAGGAAAGACAGAAAATACATTATCTATGTTTAATCGTTATTGCCTTAATAATATAAACAGGGAGAAGAAATAGGACCGGATACACAGCTAAAACCT